GTTTCACGTTGGCCGTGACGATATGCACGAGCCATGACTTCGAGGTGCATGTGCATACGTCATAGCGTCGCGAAAAGAAAACGCCACAGTCTGCGCACATAGTGCAACAGACACTGAAACGTCGTTTTCGCTAACGTTACGACTTAAAATTTGACGTTACGCCTTTTTAAGGTCTACTTGAGAAGCATGACGTTCCATATGCAACAAGTATCGAAGCCACCGCCTGTGAGACAATTTGAATGGTCTAAACAACTTCTTTTTCCTCAGAAACTGTTTCATGTTGTGAATGATGGATATTTGCTTTATTGGACAGAAGATGGAAAGAAGATTGTCTGCAATGAAGAACTTTTTGAGAGCGAAGTTATGCAAAGATATCCAGGTGAACAAAACATGAATGAAATCGACTATTATTTCCCTTAGTTGATATAGATTACTCTAGTTTCAAGGTTTCGGAATTAATTCCATCATTTCCTTCTTTTTCCTTATTTACCTGTTTCTTTTATCTTTTTATTCTTCTCATTTACAAGTGCAAGGAAGGCATTTCTGGAATGAATACATTACTGGGACTACAAAATATTACCACGTATAATTAGCATAGCCTAGACCTTTGCCTTTGCTAGGCCCTAGTAAGTTGTCACACGAAACAAATTTTGATAGTCTGTGTTTTTTTATGTCGTCTGCTGCTTGGACGCATGCTAGTCTCGCAGCCAAGGGAAATCTGCCCCGCAGTAAATGCAAAAAAAAAAAAAAAAAAAATGTATAGACTATTTTTCTCTGTTTTGGGAAGATGTTTTGAAAAAAAATCTGTTAGTCATTTTACCTTTCTTAACCCTATACATTTTCAAATAAGATTAAAAGGATAACAACAGTTCATTTTGGCCAAAAAATAAATTTTCCTGGGGTAAATGACAATCTTCTCATACTTACCGATGGTTAATGAATCCATTTCTACATTCAAAGTTAGTCCCTGTTTATTATTATTATTATTATTATTATTTTATTTATTTTTTTATTTTTTTTTTTGTTCTTTTCTAAAATTTTATTATTAGGTTACAGAGTATAGCCCTCTATGGTGGTCACGTGGTCCGATTACACACACAGATTTCAGAATAATTGTTATAACTGCTGTTTTTGTGGTAAAATAGAAAATATTATACTTCTATGAGTTGTTTACAATGTATTTAGGGTTATGAAATATAGATCTCATACGAAGAGATTTTACCCCTTTAAGAAAACTTAAATTTTGTTTTTACTAGGATTCGTGCAAATCCGAACATTTGCCAACCTGCGACGACAGCTTCGGCAGTACGGGTTTGAGTGGAAAGTAAATAATGAAGGCGACATCGAATTCATTCACCCTTCTTTTGTACGCGACCACCCTGAGTTCCTGAATGCCGTTGTCACCAAGCGAAAGTGTGGCACAACCAGCTCGCTTTCATTCGAGGCCATCGAAGCCGGAGAAACCCTGTCGGATTCCGACCAAGCTCTTGCAAGCAGACCTGTGAAGAGCCGTCGCCTGCAGCTGTTAAACCAGCAACCTGCCGACGATTGTTTGTCCAAATTTCGGCCTATTGATCCAAAACCTGCAACTGCCACCACGCCAACCGGTCCTCGGATGTACTACCATCCCTATCAAGCTGCGGCAGGCGATATGCCGTCGCTTCCACAGGCACTGGGGACGCAGAGTGGGGGACCCGTAGGTCCTTTCAGTGCTCTTCTCAATTCTGATGATTGGAAAATCACTGCACAGTCCATACCCGTACCACAATCACAAAACGCCACAAACACCCAGACAGACGAGGCCGCCAACGCACATGGGGATAGCGGAGGAAAGGCAATTAGTGGAAGCGCACAGCCCCCTGTGGGAACTCACGGCGGGAATATTCCGCCTGGGGGATGGTGGCCTCACCCACAAATTGGAATGTATCCTCCGCCACCAACGTGGGCTCCAGCGCTTAATCCGTGCTGGCCATACCCCCCTCCTCTACGGCACATGTCACCGATGAAGGTCCCGCCTGTAATGTATTGGAATGATGAAGCTAAGACCAAGGAGTCTAGTACACAAACTGACTTTGCCGTGCCACCAGAAGGCTTTTTTCCGCTTACGCATGCAGCAACGTTAACGGGAGAATTATGAAAAGTGAGATTAACATGAGGTGTAAGATGACTGTTTAATAATATAAACATGGGGTGTAGGCTGACTGTTCAATTCTTGAAATCGTATCCGCAATAACCGAATAAAAAGAATAATAGAAAAGATTTTTATCGAAATTAAAATGTTGGACGTGAGGTCATTTAATAACTGGACTTTTCGTTAGTTCCCCTTATGCGTTTTCTTTTCATTAAATGGATCTCTTTTTAAAAGAATTAAGTTCTGGTTAAAGTGAGGATGTATCTATGAAAAATTATCAAGAATTATATCAACATCTCTGTTTGATCTAGTGTATTTTTGTACATTATGCAAATCAATAATATATAATTCACATAAAGAGCAATTTTTCCTGTCTTTCTTGTGTGAAAAAAGATATAGTCTAATTTGGATTAAATAACCAGCTTGCAAAACCAAACGCTTCTCTTTTTCCTAATATATTGTGTAGAATGTAAGCATGCCCAAGGAATATTGGCTGACCTGAAAAAGGGACAATGAGGAAATCCGTTCTATGTAGGGCCTTAGTGTCGTGCTTTCCCGTGTCGACCGAGCTTTGATTGGATTCAATCCTGTACTGAAAATTGAAAGCAACCGCATACTGTTAAAACAGTTCAACCGTTTTCTCCTATTTTTCCTCTAAATACCCTTAGCTTTCCAATATAGTGTTAATATTTGATAAAACCATGACAAACGACAAATTTTCCTTTCTTTAAATTTACCGCACTAATCTAATTTCAACGTATTATTAGTCACTTTCTAGTTTTGTTTTCATTCATAACCGCTCAGCATAACGAAACGAGATTCCGTTATTATTTTTGCCTTGAAAAAGGGCGTGGATAAGAAGTTTATAACATCCCTCCTATTGTGTTGTTTTTTTAAGTAGGCTGAAGTATTTTAGGTTGGAAAACTGGTTTGGCATAGTGACGTCAGCGTGAATGGTTGGTTTCATCTGAGGGTGATCGAAATGCAACATAACCAAAGAAGCAACAACGTCAAAACGTGCGCAGAAAAAGCACTAACATTTTGCTCTCGGTGCACAACATATTTTGATATTACGATGTTAAGGAAAAATATTGTCATGCTTGCCTTGAATAGTTTTCCCTCTTCCAATAAAGAACAAATGTAGATGGGTTGATTGATCGATCCATTCAATATTCACCTGTTACTTTTACCTTAACTCAATTGGTATAACAGCCATGTTATTGAACTGCATTTTTGCATTTTTTTTCTATCAGTAGTGAAAGTAACTATATATCTTACCTCAGTGAGTGAGGTGTAAGTTTTAACCACACCCTCAGGCACCTCACCTGACCTGACGCGTAAACTGAGCTCATGGTGACATGATTGTACACATACAGGTGCACTATTATCGACATTGCCATACGTGATCAGTAGATTCCCTATGTCCAACATGAAGGGGACACTTTTTCAACCAACGGTGGCTGCATTGACTGCGTTGTGCTTTTTAGGAAGAGATGCATCGGCTGCTGAAACCATTCAGAGTTTAGAAGCTAAACTAGGAGACTTAGGGGATCTCGGTTTCCCTCTTCCCACAGGTATTGATGATTTGTGCAGATCTTTTTAATTCATTTAGTTATTACGTATGGTTATGACATGCTCATGTTTGTATTTCTGAGTTGAAACGGGACAAATAATCAGGAAATTAAAAACATGTACATCTACCCTAGATATAAAATTAATCGATAGCTTCTATTTTTACTGAAGCCTCTGAAAAATTATTGATGTCTACTTTTCCTTTTGCCATTGAATCTTCTCCGAAACGAAAATAGCTCGGGACCCGCCCTTCTATTGTTTGTCAGAGCGACACGACTTGACCTAGATATCAGAGATACACTGGATAAAAAAAACAAAAGGGAACCAGAAATTGTCATTATTTACATACTCGTTTCTAAACTTATGTTCAAACCTGTGAAAGTGACGGGTTCAAATTTTGGAAAATCAATAGTTGCATGCCATTGCGCACTTCGTCTTTCTGATATATAAGAAGCAGTGGGTGGTCGTGACTTTGAGAAAACTTTTTAGGACTGCTGTAGTTCAAGTAAGGAACAGGTTTATGAGAACTCGAGCTTTAGATTAAAACTACCTGTACCTTTGTGATCACCTGACTATATTGATATTTTCAAATTAATTCCTAAAAGACTTTCAATTAATATTTAAAAATCAATTTGTGATAAAGAACTTGTATTAATTCCTAGTAAAATTAATAAAAGCTATGCAAAAAGTATCCGCCGAGAGAAAATTTTTCGCCTAAATAGGGTGTATCATAAATTTTGACCTCGAAATTTTTCTTCAGAGAGAGAGAAAGAGAGAGAGAGAGAAGGGAGAGAGAGCGTTTTGGTGAAAAAAAGTTGTACATCTAGTATATGTAATCTTTTTACCACGCCCCTTATTCACGTCTTAGCATATTTTGTAAGCTATAATTAGCGTTTGTATTTGACTCATTATACACCGGTTTTTACTGAAACATGGGTATAGCATTCTGTGCTCAAGGGAAGTGTTTTTTACCTGTCCTTTTTAATGAGGGCAGGTGTGTCATTTATGTCGACCCTTTTAAATGCATCAATGAAGTATAAAAATGTATGTTTACTACCTACATATTTAAATATGAAACTACTTCATATCACACAGCGTAACTAATATATATTCTTGATAACTAGAGATGAGTAATAAGGCGTTTGTGTATATTTTAAAACATCCAACTGTGCTCGCTGCCCTTTTCGGTCAACGCTGCTCGTGTCTGCTCACACCGCTGAATGTTGTCATGTACAACTTCTCCTACTGTAGCCTTTCTCTCTCTCTTTCTCTTTCTCTCCTGATTCTGCATCATGATCTTTTTTTTTTTACCCCTGTCGCTTTGTGGAAAAATGAACATGCCAAATTATCCACATATTATAGAGAAAAGTATGGCGGCTACAGTATTCTTTACAGCCCACATAAGTATCGGTTGCACCAGGCTGAAGGAATTGCTGTACATAAGACATGATTAAGCAAAGGGCCCCTGCACGATAACCAACTTCCAACACCTGACAAAATGTCCTAGACAGCAAATTTACAGGCAAAAAAAAAAAAAAAAAAAAAAAAAAAAAAAAAAAAAAAAAAAAAAAAAAAAAAAAAAAAAAAAAAAAAAAAAAAAAAAAAAAAAAAAAAAAAAAAAAAAAAAAAAAAAAAAAAAAAAAAAAAAAAAAAAAAAAAAAAAAAAAAAAAAAAAAAAAAAAAAAAAAAAAAAAAAAAAAAAAAAAAAAAAAAAAAAAAAAAAAAAAAAAAAAAAAAAAAAAAAAAAAAAAAAAAAAAAAAAAAAAAAAAAAAAAAAAAAAAAAAAAAAAAAAAAAAAAAAAAAAAAAAAAAAAAAAAAAAAAAAAAAAAAAAAAAAAAAAAAAAAAAAAAAAAAAAAAAAAAAAAAAAAAAAAAAAAAAAAAAAAAAAAAAAAAAAAAAAAAAAAAAAAAAAAAAAAAAAAAAAAAAAAAAAAAAAAAAAAAAAAAAAAAAAAAAAAAAAAAAAAAAAAAAAAAAAAAAAAAAAAAAAAAAAAAAAAAAAAAAAAAAAAAAAAAAAAAAAAAAAAAAAAAAAAAAAAAAAAAAAAAAAAAAAAAAAAAAAAAAAAAAAAAAAAAAAAAAAAAAAAAAAAAAAAAAAAAAAAAAAAAAAAAAAAAAAAAAAAAAAAAAAAAAAAAAAAAAAAAAAAAAAAAAAAAAAAAAAAAAAAAAAAAAAAAAAAAAAAAAAAAAAAAAAAAAAAAAAAAAAAAAAAAAAAAAAAAAAAAAAAAAAAAAAAAAAAAAAAAAAAAAAAAAAAAAAAAAAAAAAAAAAAAAAAAAAAAAAATCCGGGCCTGAGAATTAAAAAATGACCGGTTTCTATTTAAGCCAAATATTGTCAGTATCTTTAAAACAGCGCGGCGACAAAAGTTGCAATTTGATTCAGAAGACAAGTTTTGAGAAAAAGCACACTGTGCTGTGAATTTCATTACACGTTCATCAGTTCAGATATGTCTGTTGTAGTTTAAATTGGTTCCGCTCTATATAGTACTAGTGTTGCTAACATTGAAATGAAACTGCTCCATATCAAAGTGAACTATAATTGGAGCAATGTCACAAGTGAGTCACAAAACATCCATGTAAAAGTTCTTGTTAACCTTTAAACGTTTATAAGAAAAACGTCCAAAATATACAAAAAGGTAATTGTGATTATACAACTATATTTTTATTATTTTAAAAATTGTTTTTATCATATGACATGACATTGGATGGAGCAAGGCCCCTGGCAGCAGGGTGGGATGTCTTTCATGTCTTTCTTTACGATCTACGTTGAAATATTCAGAAAGATTTTTCCTCTCCGGCAGTCAAGTAAATAGGAAGTTGGTGAAAGTGAAATAAAAAAGGAAGATAAAAACTAAAGCTGAATATATATACATATATACAAACCATGTGGAGTGACTATCCTTTTTTATATATAAATTCACCCCTAAGACCCCTAGCAGAAGAAAATACTCGGTGCGATTTCAACCAGACAGAATCCATCTAAGTATTCTACTTTACAAGAGCAGGTAAAACAACTATGGTAATTATTTCAGTTATATAGCTTGAGGAATTTCCTTTGCAGGCGGTGCAGCTGAGGCATCCACCCCTTTCAAACTTGGACTGAAGGCACTACTGCTGGACATGAACGGTCTGGCACGGGAGCAATTTCAGACCGCCGGGAACGCTGGATTTGCCTTCGCACACTGGGGCAGTGCAATAGCCAGGCACTCTACAGTTACCTACGAGAACGATGATTTGGAGGTCGCAAATCGATTTCTCAATAGGACATTGGAGGGGGAGAGCCAACTGAACCCTTTTCAAAAGAAACTGGTGCAGGCAGCCGTGGCACTATTTATGCCAGGGAAATCGAGAGTTTCCAGGGTTGAAACCTTCACGGCTTTGCTCAAAGAAATAGTAGATAGTCCAAATGTTACTAATAGTTTTGTGAAATTACTTTACATCAAAAGTCTTCTAGAGACAGCTCAGCTGAGTCGAAACGAGACTTTACAAAACATGGTCAAAGATATGCTAAGACCAACATTGGACACAGCGGACATTGTAGATCCAGACTTGCGTTTATATTATTACTACCTCGCGCTGATAACGTATAAAAGAATAGATGAAGCTGAGACTGCCAAGGAATTTGCAAACGCATTCAACAGTTCCACAAACTTGCCAGCATATTCATTTCATCTTGCTCGAGCTGGGATCTATGTTCGTTTAGGACTATGGAAGATGGCTCACAGCGCGATTTCAGCTGCAAATAGCCTTGTTGAAGACAGAACCATGTTTATGCAGGATTCTGGTGGAAATTACCCTCGTCTTAATTGGTTGAGAGTAAAGGAGACCAAGCATTTTATTCACCTCCAGGTAAATAGTGATGTATCTTTTTTTCCACATTCTTATGAAGATATAACTTTGTCATGAAATCGGTAAAATACATTGTAGTTCAAGTTTCATGCCTTTTGTGTTACAATGAACAACGTCAACGGTGAAATCAATATTGTATTTTTAATCAATGTTTCTTATTTTGTTTGGTACAATGGTTTCTTTGAAATTCTGAAGTGCCTTTAATTTTGAGCATCGTTGAGGGAGTGCCAAGCATTTGCTCGCAAACTTTGAAAAATGAAGGGACGCTTAATGTTCAAGGTTTAGGAATCTTTTAAACGCAACTAGTGTTGGAATATGAATCTGAATCTTAGATGTTTTAGGTGCGTTATGCTTTTTGATTTTTATCACTGCAGTTAACCAAGCTATATAAAAAAGCTAGACAATTTTAATAGATTGTTTCGATTCCATCCTCGATTTCAGCGCGGAGAGTTTGTGAAGGGACTAGAAGTTTTAAACGAAGTGAGGGAGTTCGTCGGACGGATTGGCAACGGTAGCGATCCCGTAAAACAGGCGTTCTTATATCGTATGACGTCAAGACACTATTTTGAGACTTACCAGCTGAATGTGAGTTATTATGCACTTTTTAAAAATTTATTTTACACTTTTGATTTTTATTAATCATTTATTTTTTGCAAAAGCGGAACATTTTATCCCCTTGGGAAAAGGCGGTTCTTTCGAACAACATGAACTATGGGCCTGGGTTACAAGTGAAACTCCGATCCCATCACTGCGCTTTAGGTTTATGGTTTTTTCAATTGAGCGCCACAGGGTCGTCACTGAAGTTATTGAATCAAAAAAATATATATATATATATTATGCTAAAGTGAAAGTATAAGTGAAATTCCATATAATATTGTGGACTGCCATTGAGTAATGTGAATATTTTCATCCGCGTGAATGTTACCATTGTAATTAAAACCGCATTCCTACAGAAGCACATTTAGAACTGCGTTACTAATATTCCCTTAATATTCTTCAGCTGCCTAGTCCCTCCCTTCCAGACGTACAGCAACTGGATGAGCGTTTACCAAATGGGTTTTATACAACGTATTCTGAGGCAGCCCTGCATGTAGCAACGGCTCATAAACTGTTGAAGGAGAGCACATATGATACGAACGAAATAAAGCGTATTTCAGTCAGAGTGGACCAAATCCGGAGTCGAACCCTTCTTCATGTGAACGGATCCGAATCATTGGCTGCTCTACATTCGTTACATTTGGTCGATTATTGCAAATATCAACTAATGGCGCTCTGGGCTTATGCAAAGTAGGTACATGTTTCACTTAAGGGACGAGGTATAGGGCATGTGTCGTATTAAATTGATTGTCTAAATACTTATGTGCACTTTGGTACAGTAATCGTCGACTCCAAATGTGGTAAAATGTGATATTTATAAGTTTGACAGTAAAGGAAATTAGCGAATTATTAACGGAAAAGTATCCATTGTGTCTAACCCTCCGTATGGAATCCATTAATTATCCTCTCTCCATTGAAAACCTTCTTGCTTAATCACAAATTTCTATATTTTTACCACTAATGCTGTCAAATGTATGTACATGTGAGCAATATAAAACCAACTCTTGACAAAACTGACCATGATACAAAAGTTCGGCTTTTAAGTTTCAATTTCAAAAGTTCATTATGTTTGTGTTAAACCTACTATGTTTTTCGAAATTAGTCCAAAGATTTCTTAATTTTCCTCATCTGAAAACTAAGACAAAGAGTGCAGAAATTGAGATGCATGTGTACAGAATCAGTCATTTTATCTTCTGCATAATAATTCATATCATATATTATATCACATATTTCCAAGGACGTAATACATTCTTGGTATTTCTTAATTCAGTAAATCTCTACCTCAAGCCAAACGTTACCTTACCCTTGCTGCAAGAATTGAAGAAGTCCATCTTCGCACAGCGTTTTCAATGGAGCCTACCATTTTGTTTTTGCCTTCAATGGAACTGTACGGGGATATGATGCAGCAGATGTACAGTGAAGAACAAGGGTCATCCAAAAATACGTTCAAGGGCCCAGCTCTTCACATTCAGGCTTACTACCAATTAGCCCTTGTTCTATATCCTAATCGTCCAAGTACGTATTAAAGTAATCTCACAAAAACGTCTAGAATTTTTTGATGATTAAGTTCATTTGTATTCATATTACTTTTTTCAAAATGTGAATTTGAAAACATAATTACGTTGACAATTACATTTCAACCGTATGTGCCACAAGAATTTGAAAGTGAAATATAAATCACTCAATTTTATGTGATTTTATCATAATATATAATATAATTTATATGTAAATATAAAACAAAACGAAGCATTTTGTCTTGGATTTTTTAAAAGAAAATTACTCTTGTACGTACCCGTAAATAAATTGGCGTCACTTTGAAGGGCAGTGTTTTATCTACTTTCATTTCTATCTAGGCACTGTATACAGAATTGCCAAAATATTTGGAGATGCTGATATGGCGGTTTATTACATACCGGTGGCTGTCAAGTGGTATACCAAGACCAAGGATAACTGGGTAGACGCTGATACAACATTTGACGGGTTAAGAGAAGCCCAAATATACATCGAATCCAAGAACCCACCGGATAGGCTGAACCTAGTCATCGGCCTAGGTGCGGGAGCAGTGGGGCTTGTGATCATTGTTGTTGTGGTAAGTGACAACTGCAAAGCATTTACACAATTTCATGTTTTTCTTTTCGATGTGCCTGTACATTCACGAATAAATACAGATCACAAATAATGAATATAATAATGAATAAAATAATGAATAAAAAGTGAATATAAGAATAGTCAAGTAGATACGAGAATAATATTTATCCTGTAGAATCCTCTCACAGAAGTGTTTTTGTTCATCAAAATCTTAAGTCTTACATGTAGGTTCAGGAGGAGGAAAAATCAAAGGCGTTCGTTTTGTGATTTTTATGGATCAGATAAGCTATGAAAACCTTTAAAGCCTAACGTGCACTTGCATAATGGACATGTTTATTATTGTTTTTAGCTAATTTACACACTAATGCATCGCATAGACCAAACCATATTTTAGATAGAATACTAAAGGTTTTTATTCTTTCATGGAAGGAATACATTTTGATAGGAAATGTTTCTTTTAAAGAGAAATTTATCCTGATTTCGAAAGAGAGAGAGATAAAACCCTTGCAATTTTTTTCAATCTTTTTTTCCTTTTTGTTGTTATTTCTTTTGTAGATTGTTGCATGCTGCAGGAGAGACAAAGAAGATTTCAACTACAACAACAAAGGCATTGAGGCAGTAAATCGCAGAAATAACAAAGACGCCAAGAGAGTAGCCAAAGACGATGTTGCGACCACCTCACGCATATATGACACCCCTGAAATATACGATGCGAGGCATTTTGAAAGCGCCAACAGCGATGGGACCGCTTCTCGCAAGCCGGAGTACAAAAACTTAAGTGAACCGGTACAGTCACAGCGGCCACAATACGATGATACAGCTGCTGCAGTCCCAACAGTGATTGTCACTGACGAAGACGTTGGCGCTGGAGTGTCGGAAATGACCGTATCGCAAACCTACTTCGATGACACCGCAACCGACCAAACAATGAGCTTCGAGCGCCATTATAACACGGCGGGGATGTCAACTTTCTCAGACAGCCCCCGTGCAACAGAAGGGACAATGACAATGGCAGCTATGGATAAACCCGACCCACACGATTCTATTGATGACGATGATGGCGAAGATGATAACCACCACACCTGGGATGAAGATTCCAAGCCTCTAATAAATATCGTCAACGTCGACGACGCGGCCGACAGCGAACGAGAAGAGGCTCCCCCGCCAGTGTACACCCCTGGTTTCCATGATCTCGACACTGTAATTGCATCTCAAGAGGGTAATACCGATGACATGTCTGACGATAACAACAGAGCGGACCATTATGATTCCCAACCTGCCGAGAGGGAAACTTTGGTGAGCGAAGGGCGTGTGAATAACGGTGATGACAACAACGCCACGGGCTTCGATGATCTCGATGATGTCATAGCATCGCAAGGTGATGATGACGCGGCTGGTGATAACCAACCTGCCGAGCCTGAAACCTCCATGACTGGCGGGACGATAGATCACGGCGATGATAACACCTACGATGACCGCGATAGCAATGGGTCTTCATTTAGGAACTCGTTCCCGCCGCCACCGCCTGAAATTGATATAGAAATCGAGGATGCACCGGTTCGAAGATATGATGATGATGACGATGATGAAAACCAGTGGGTAACATCGCTTGATGATGAGCGACGTTATTGATGACAATGATGTTATTGGTGTTCAATAAAGATTAAAGAGTGCGCTTTTCTGCTTATATGTAATTCTTAGAGATACAATTGACAAGTTTACACTTGCCAAGAATGAAGCGTTAATGTGGTGCCTTGGGCGTTAGTTGCAGCAGTATTGCATTCGGTCGTGGTCATTTATTAATCGGAAATATACCTAAAACAGCAATTTCACTATTTTGGACCGATTACGTAGGACCGTCTATAACTACGTTCCGGTATCCGTTACCTTCGACAATCTAAACATTACGAGAAACAGTACGAGAAAGGTAAATAAGTCATCGTAGTGGAAAATTTAAAAGCATCCGACAGAACCGTCAGATTGGCTACTATTTAAAACATATTATAAGAGAAAGAGATGTGAACAGATGGGAAGTGTTAAATTGCTATTTTTATGTGGCAAGGATGGGCCTCTCAAGAACTTGAACTTCCGTTTTCATTGGTTTTAACCCATTAGAATATTCTCTTTTAAATATTAAAAACTTGATATTGACTGTGAATTTTAAATGCCGCTAATCCATGGGAATTTGAAGGTTGCAGGCTAAATATACTTATAAGTAAAATAATAGGCCTATTTAAGGAAAATGTACATCCCTGAAAAATATACATAATTGAATTGCTTGATTGCTTTCAATAGAAATCTTGTAAAATCCTGGAAATATTGTTAAAACATTATTAAAGAATAAATGAAGTATAGGTGTTTTGCCTTTTACTTTTTTGAAAGATGCAAAAAGCCAGTTGTTTATAATTCATCAGTAGCACGTTGATTTTAATTGGACTGGGAATTTTGCAATAGTCAAAGTGGCATCATTTTAAATGCGATCGTCGTTCTTCTATAAATTTGTACACAATTCATGTCGAACAATACAAGGAGTATTTGTGCAAAATAAACGAGGCCATAATTGTTGAGGGCAATAACGTCAACATTTTTTGTGACAATATAAACACTGGTTGAAAAGTGCAACTGTAGGAGTAACTTACGTTCGATACAAGCCTGGCCATATCTGATCTGCTCCCAACTATAAAGCTCATAGTACAGTGTACACAATATGAATAAAATGCCATGAAAAAATCAAGCAGGGTCCTAACATTTTCAAATTGGTGAATTCAGTTTGAGAAGTGGGTATAATCAATGATCCAGAGAGATGCTTTGCTATAATGCTAGCAACGGAAAATCCTAAGATCACCCGAAAAATTGGAACTACGTATATACATACTGTAAGAAAAAATTGTATTTTTAAACCTGAAAATATGCATGATTTCTCACGAATTAACAATTATCTGAATTCTTCACGTTTTTATTCGTGTTCGTAGTATGTAAGGTGCCTCTGGACATTTCTACCAGTACAGGCTGTCTAAAAACAAACTTGAAAGATTTTAACCATCTAAAAATGCAATTATTCCCACCATTTTTTTCTCTTTTTGTTGTGACAATGTTGAGCAGCATGTTCGCTCCAATGTTGTTTTCGTCTGTGTAAACCGACCATGATCAAACATAAAACCTTAATTCTTTCTCATTCTGTCGTCATTTGTATCGTTACTAAGAAAGAGAACGCAAGATAAGTTGAATCACGCCTATTAAAATAATCTTTATTATTATGAACATATTCAAGGACATAATCTCGAGGCTGACAGCTTTTTTTCTTTCAACACTTGTATCTAGTTTTCAGATACAACACACAAAAGAATGTTTCAAATATGATATGCCCACTTGAATAAAAGAAGAAAAAAAACAAGAACACGGAATTCTTTAGTAAAAATGTGAAACATTTCCAGCTTTTGATTTGTTACATGTAACTGTCGTCAAGATGAAATACACAGGTAGGTATACTAGAAAATACATGGATTTTTTTAAAGTTTATTTTCTACTCCAGATGGGTATGGGAACTAAGTAAATGGACAAATAAACTATATAAATGCTCGAGTAACCTATCTAAAGTTTTGAAAGATGTTTTTTCTCAATATGAAACACGCCAGTTGGCAAATATTTTCTAAGCATCTTTTTCGGGAAATCCAATCGAATGTAGGGTAACATTTTAATTTTTTCACAAACAAGTACTTCATTTTGACTCAAAAAAAATTGCAGGTATTAAGAAAAAACTTTTCAGTGTGGAATCTACAAACAGATTTCCGCAAGTCCATTTCGCAAGTAAAAGATATATTTGCTGACATACTGGTCATCGAAATTTCATCTATATTTTCACGTTTTCATTTACCCGGACGGACATCTACAAGGTCGATTCCGCATGTCAATCTCGCAGATAAAGTGGTAGCTGCTGCCACAGTTTTCGTCTGCCCATTGCCAGTTGTAGGCAGGCCAGAAAGCCACGCACTGTGCGCCGCCACTGTTTGGCTGAGAACTCTGAAAGTCTGAGAACTGCCAGTTTCGGTATCGCTTGGAGATATACTGCCATCCTGAGTTGTCTGCATTGTGGTCGTAACCGTCGATATACCAGAAATTATCAGTGTAAGCTGGAAAATAAGTTAAGTGTAATAGGCTGGATAATTATAACATGGAGTGTGCTAATGATGATGACATCGAAGAAAATCACAGTGACGGCTTAAAAATATGAAGGTAAGAAAAGCATTGTTTTTTTTTCAAGACGTATCTTTCGGTTTTATTGGAAAATTCTCAGGGAAAGTTGGCAGCAAAAACTGTCCTGTACCTTAATTGATGTCTGCGGACATCACCTGATTCTAACTGCCATGTTTCCTTTTTTCTCATTCTATTCATTCACTCAAGAAAAATTCATTCACCCCCCCCCACACACACACACACATGGCAACGCGCGCTCGCACAAGCACGTAGAACACGATCAGTGGTACTCCACACACAAACTTACAGGGATTGTCGCGGACCGTTTGTTTCAGCATCTCGTTTTCGGCAGAATCTTCGATCACGGCAATATCAGAACCGGGATAATCGGCCTGACACGCCGTACGGGAGGCAGCAAACGTCTTCAAACTTGTATCAAATCTGTAGCAAGAACATCGCCAGAGAAAATACCCGCTGGGGCACTGACAAACTGGAATGAGATGAACGCCTTACTATACTCAGAAGATGAAATGGTGTAGCCACGTTTATTAAAAATAGACTATTATTAGTGGTATCACGAACCATTATCCAGGAGACACTATCACTNACGTGGTAGCGGTATGTAAAATGTAATTTTTTGTCCAAGTTACGCGTAGGCAAGCTGTGCAATAGTCAACAGACATACCGAAGAAGCTATTCTCTTTTAAGACTGAGTGCAATTTTAAAGATCCGACGCATGAGAAAGAGATAATTTGACTGGTTTAACTGCGTGATGGGTCGTTCTTCGAAAGACAAGAGAGATGTGTATTACAGACTGGCCAAGGAAGAAGGATGGCGAGCAAGAAGTGCTTTTAAATTGCTGCAGATTAATGATGAATTTCACCTCTTTGAGGGCGTTAAGAAAGTTGTGGATTTGTGTGCTGCTCCTGGAAGCTGGAGTCAAGTTTTATCGAAGAAATTAAGGTAATAAAACCCCGCTAGACATAATTGTCGAACTCAGTCATGGTGGATTGAGGGGCTCTTAGAAGGGGGGGGGGGTTCCTCACTTACTTATTTTCTGGTTCCACCAATGCTTCATTTTTATAATTTTATTTCTGAGCACCCGAGAAATTATTGTTGAAATTTACATTGCAATAATAAGTTTTACTCAATGTTAAACTTCATTCTTTTAAATTATTTTTATTATTATATATATTTTTGGTATTCATTTATAAGTAATATATTGGTATTCAGTGTTGCTAAAGTATCTAATATTCCTATTCCTAACTATATCTAACCTCCCCCCCCCCCCACACACACACACACAATTACTGAATGGACTATGTATTAGCTTGATAGATAATGATAATAATATAATAAAAGTACAGTATATAATCATCCTAATTATCACTGTCTTTCTTTTGAATGTCGTTGCACTGAATTGTGGAAATAATCGAAATATAAAAAAAAGTCTGCCAAAAAGACAACATTCGATTGCACGCAGTACGGCAAAATTTGGTGTGAAACATGAAATGTGACTATCGAAAACAAGCACACATACAAAACCTAGCATCAAAATAAGTAAATAAAAAACAAACATCCAAACACTCAAATGAAGAAAGAAAAGAAAAATTAGCAGCAATTACGTGTAGCATTATTCTCTCTGCAGGCAGTGTATGCCACGCGGTCTCCACTCATGGCTCCTGCAGTATATGATAAAGCTGCTGCCGATCCGGACAGTGAAGCGACACACTTCTGGACCCCGCACTGGTGAAAACCAAAGGTGTTTCCATTGGTTCCTCCGCTCGCTGAGTTGATACCGAAGGCGGAATTTACCAATGAAGCGATGTTGGAGGATGGATTGCAGCTAAGGGTGTCGCGTATGTTGATGTCATCGTTGTAGTCTGATTCACACCTGATGAAAATATACATAATATGTAAAAAGTGTATTTTGTTCACATCTTAGGCCTACTTATGTTATTCTTAATAAAACCTTTACATTAGTTTCGTATCAAATGCAATGGCGACCTAAACAAATTATTTGTTGACTATTAGGGTATAAAAAGCAAATTTTAAAAGAAGTTACTAGCTAGTAAGTATATGAAGTTGACAGTATAATCTTACTAAACTACCGGGTTAAAAGAATGCATAATGCATATGGTTAAACACAAACGCAAAACAGAACTCGATCAAAACAAAAACAGAAGTAACCTTAAATATTCCGTGCTGGAGGTAGTGATATGCGGCCTGGAACACCCAGTGGGGGAAAAGGGCCCCAAGAAACTGCAGAGGTTTTTGTATTCCGTGCAACAGTCTCCACTGGAGCACATGCCGTCTTCGGGGAGGAGGACCTTCACCGCCAGGAAGTCGTAGTTGCCGTACGTGGTGCGCATAGTATCCAGAACCTTGAAGGAGGTTGGGTTGGTGCCTGAAAAAAAGTATGCGGATAACATAGGCTGCGCTTATGGGAGTGGAGTGTCGTTTATGAAAAGATGGAACGTGTATCCGTTGCACTCCTTTCACCATTTTTCTTTTTAGCAAAAGAGCCTACATATATTTGGGTCTGAAAAAACAAATACGAAAGTAGAAATCTTTGGAGATTTTCAAGATTTAAAAAATTCTCAACCCTTTCTTCTCCTTTGAAATGTCATTTTGATAAACTCACCAAGTTGAAAATAACACAAAGCAACAGAAAAAACTGTGAAATCATGTGGGAAAGACTATACGAAAAAAATCATTATCATTTGTTTACTTTACATATGAAGTAGCCTCTATGATTTTAATGAAGAGAAAAATAAAGGTTAGGTACGACGACGCCGGGCGGTCGCCGCTACAAATCGTTGTGATTTTATGTTAATGTGAGAAATGATAGATGATCACCACATCATAAAATATTGATAAAGAGTGTTGTCAATTAGTCATGAAGCCGAGTTTGATTACAGTATTCTTGTCTCAAGATGCCTGAAAATTCACAGCACTGTATCATCTCTTATGTCTCCTTCAGCTCCAGCGACTGACATAATTGTTGGTGATCATTACTACATCACACGAGAAAACAGTGCAGAGACAGGACTAGCACAGTTATAAAATCAATACCTTTTCCTGCCTATATGAAAAAGGAAAAAGGAAATCCTTTGTACTGACGGTCGATTCAGGCATTTTAATTTTTCTGTCACCACATTCCTCTTGAAATGGTAAAATTTGCATTCAGCACACTATTTGTTATCTGCACCAGGCCGTTACTGTTTAACTTCGACTTCGCGATCTATAGGAGAGCATTAGCAGGCGTCGAATATTTTTTACCTTTTTTTTTTGGAATGCACGGAGAAATTTTTTTTGTGTGCCTCAAAGGGAAACTTTTGAGGTAGTACTGGGGTTCAACCCGTCCATTTTAGCTGCCTGTGTTTAAGTTTAGAAAGAAAAAATGGTCAGCTACTAAGTTGGCGGAAGACATTTACCTCTCATTTTCTACCAAGTGTGTGCAATGCACTTGCAAGTGACGTGCAATCTTGTCGAATCGTAGAACAAATTTAGCCTTATTCTCCGTTATAGAAGATGCAGCATTTGCCTTCATGCTGGTCCTAAAAGCAGCCTTTGAATTTTTAAAAAAATTTTCTCCTATTAAGAAAAAAAAAGGAAGAACAAAACGCTTACGTCTGTCTATCTCGCAGATGAAGCGCGAGTTCTGTCCGTTGCAGGCAAATTCATGCCAGTAGCCGCCTGGCCATCTGTCGGTGGTGCTGAGCTTGGCACAGTTTCTGTTATCGTCAAGGTGGTTAGGTCCAGCCGTGGCGCTCTCCCAGTTCGTATAGCCTGAAATATACACAGGGTACTGAGGAAGATTTTTTTTAAAAAAAATTTATCTAATTTTTTTCTCAATGTGGATGTGACCACCCCTGCGAAAATTTGTCTCATTTAACGCTCACTTACGGTTCTCAATCTGTCCTAGAACATAATGTTTTTCTCTGTTACCGAAAAATGTTCTTAATCTGTTAAGGGACATTCTGAAGGACTTCCCAAAAACATTTCTCGAATGTTACATTCATTACAGGACAACATTAGAACTATGAATAAATACACCAAATGTTTTAAAATAGATTGAAAACTGTAAGTGAACGTTAAATGAGACAAATTTTCGCAGGGGCAAAGACAGTTATAATAAGACAGCGAACAATATTGTTTGACCAAAATCACGGTCGTTTAGCTAGGGGAAGTCACAGTATCCGTTCACATTCACGCCGAGGAGAACGACATTCCCCCCTCCCCCCCCCACCCCCACCCACCCACCCACCCAACTAAAGGTCTACCCAAAAACAACTTCGACACAGTCCGCCAATCTGAATGAATCCATACCCTGAAATAGAGGTGATTTGGACTTGGTTTCATTAAGACTTGTTACCTACCTGACTCCAGTGACGAACCCTGGCCGTACCACACCCACACTCTCTCCATATACTCGTCATTGGCTCCAATAGTGAAACCATGTGAGATACTACTGGGATCGTAATGCTCTGCGAAAAAAATAGAACTAATTCGTAAGAAGCTATTTGTGTTAAGATATAATTATGGTATATTATATTACATTAGTTAAACATCCCCCCCCCCGCACTCGTCCTCTGCGTCAATATGAAGGCATGATATAGGTATCCTATAAAGAAATAAAACCAAAGACGTCAAATGCTCGATTGTTTTGAAAAATAGATGGTCACATACAATATCAATATCATTTCATTAATTATGTAAAAAGTAAAGTATTTCGATGTGATTATGCTAAGTAAGCAATCGAATTTCCATTAACACTGAATCGTTATGCCAATGATCGACTTGAGGAATAACAATGTACTCCGTGTCGTACAATAGGGACGATCGATCGTTGTGGCATGATATAAAAGGAAAAAAAAATAAAAAAAATAGAATAAAAAAATTCTCTAGCAGAGATGCTCAAAGGTGTAATGGGCCTGGTAACGTACTGAACATGGAGTTAAAAATAAAAAAAAGTGTGCTTCGAGCTGGGTTGCCGCAGCTTTCCGTCCTTTAAGGGCAATCAGGATGAACTTTCGGGTAGTCACAAGGAAATGGATCTCCACAAAAGAAAAATGACCAAGGTTAAAGGGGCCACTCAATCTCAAATTCTAAATGAATAAAGTTACGTGGTCGGAAATGTATGGAACGGAATCCTTCGTGGTGTACTTAATTCTACTGGTGATCAACTTTGATTTCTTTGCTAAGTGGCAAGAGAACATGTGGCAAATTCCCACAGTTCCCACACATGAAGATCACGCGCCCATTAGTGACGCATTAGAACACAAAGTGAGGCTTCTTTTAAAAATTTTGGAGTTTGAAGTTATATATCAGGAACACTTATTTTTCACATTTTGAAGGAGACACTGAAAGTAGTATTTTTGTTCCTGCAAACAAGGAATGAAAAAGGAACTTTTGGCCAAAAAAAAAAAAAAAAATCACTTAAAACACAGCTTACCGCTTATGTAATCTACAATGAAATCGTTTTCGTCTTTGGTTGTTATGGCAACAGGATACGCGCCAAGATTAAAATTTCTGCAGTGCGTTCTTGCGTCGTTATCGTTCTTCTCGACGGTGCTGAAATAATAGCAAGACGTGCGCCAATGTACCCATCCCTCCGGACAATCTAGAAATGGAAACATGAAGCATTATAACTACAGCTGCATTGGAATCGTTGTGGTGTCACTGTGGTAGAACTACTTTTCTTTTTTAACTTTACGGACACCATCACCTTGATCAATATTAAATATTTTAAAGAAAAAAGATAAAGTACGAACCTGCCTCGTGGTATTGTGAACAAGTATCCTGGTGGCCATGATAACTATCTTCTACCTACAAAGAGGAATATGAGATTTTCTTGTATCAATTCGTTGACTAACACGCCATATGCTACACGTCATTTGATTCAGGATTGAAGCAGATAATATCGTACAATAAAGTTCTAAGTTTTATGCCTTATCTGGGTTCATTATATCTACTTAGATAAAAATGATAAAAAGATAAACAAATACATTTTCTTCAAATTATTTTCTCAAAATAATTTTCTTAAAGTGAGGGAGTCAAGAACTCTATAATATATCTGGATGCAGAAGATCAAAACGCTTACCTCTTCAAAATAAGCATACCCTTGGCGATGACTTATGTAGGAGCCGTATACATCAGACCGGAGCCCCACCAGTTCACATCGACGAGTCTCGTTAGCCGACTCTTCTGTCTCGTAGTTGTAACCTTTACAATCTGCCTCTTGTGTGCAAGCCAGACTACAGAAAGACTGCGCCTTCACATCGAAACTTTTCAGAACTTTGGTGTGAAAAGCCACATTCTCGCTGCATCCTCCAGGTCTCTTAAAATTCCACGCAGCGTCGGCTGTTAAGACGACGCAAACGACAAAAATCCAAAGACAATGTCCTTGGTGTGTCCCCATGACGGACAACATGTTAATCATTCATTAAAACAGCTAGCTAATGACACCGGATTTTGTCTTCAGTCCTCCGAAAATATCAATCTAGAAATGCTACTTTTCCCTTTCGTTGGTTCTATAGATCTCAGATAATTATAGATCTGGTTTTCCTCATGTATTGTTTGTTCTATTGATTGACGCTCTGTAATCAATTACATGCTTGTATTAGTCGGATCTGGAGGTTGGGACAATGTCCTCGTCTTTTTAGAAATACGAAATTATTTATCCAGCCTTCATCTACCTATTAAGGAAATAAGCAAACACCGGTGCCATCCAACCGTAAGAAAAACTTTTTTGCTGCCCTTTGATATCCATTTACCAGGACGGTAAGAGTATTTTACAGATGCCATATAAATAAAAGAGAAGTCAATATTTCAATTCTTTATTTCCTGATATCCTAATCAGTATCAAGCTCAATTTCATTCCGTGCACCTTATAATGTGTACGAACGCATTAGCATCGCTACAGGTCAAAACCTTTTAGGTATGGATATTGCTGTCCTAGAACTTGTAATTGTGAAATTAATTGGCAAATATGAAACCTAGTATTCAACTTACAGTTGACAGTGTCTAAATAGTACAATAGATATTCCGTAAAGTACTTCATTACTTTATTCATAACGGTAATAAGTTAGAAGCTATAATACAGAGTGAGATTTTTAGAGTATCGAGGTTTTCTAATCGGAAAACGTACAAACGTTCATCCTATCGCTGCGTGTCATCCCTGAAGGGGCATAGAAAGCCGCACATTGCAGCAGAGAAGAAATGTCTTTTCATTTTGAGTGGACGCCTTGTTCATGCACACCCCGGTTTTCCAAAACAAAATACATATCTAAATTGAGAGAGAGAGAGAGAGAGAGAGAGAGAGAGAGAGAGAGAGAGAGAGAGAGAAGGGGGTGTTTTTCTTTGCAAAATTCCACTAACTGACAGCGATGGTGGGTGTCAACCCAGTGTCGATCAAAATCTTGAGAACCGTCGAGTCCGCGTTGTATAACTGTCTTACCTTCAACAAAATTGTATCCTGGGTCTACCAGTCCTTCAATCGACTGTGAAATAGTTTATGATCTCGCTTATGATCTATCTGTCAAATACTTTTTCAACATGCAGTATTAATAATATTATGTTCAGTCACTGGGCCTTACTTTCATTTCGACCTTTTTTAAAGAATAAAGCTCGGATCCTCTCAAAGCATACCAAACAATTCCTTCGGCGTTTCTATTTAACCTTTGCGACTGTTCTTCTGACATGTACCACCCCATTTTGTATGCGCCATTCAAATTGCTTGCGTAACAATTCTTAAACCACCAACCCCCTTTATTAACCTCGGCGCAATTTCCTTCATACTTATCATTATCCATATCTTTAGTACTGAATTCCATCTGGTCATGGTAACTAAGGGAATCGCCTGCATCACCATGGTAACCAAGCACGTGCAGAGGATAGTTTTCCCGCTCGTCTCCCACTGAGAACCACTTGTATTCTGCAAACTTTTTCCCGCCTTCCCAATCCCACAACTCGATCCGAAGTTTGTACTTCCGTTGATTTGTAAGATAGTGGATTTTCTTATTACCCATCCAAAATTCGGCGTACGGATTACCGAAGCCGAATTTGTACTCAACCCAATGTCGATCAAAATCTTGAGAACCGTCGAGTCTGCGTTGTATTACTGTCCAACCTGCAACAAAATTGTGGAGAATAAAAATATCTCTCATGAAGAACAGCACAGATATACATTTTTTCCATAATTAATGTTTCTAGAGTTCTGTTGCCTCTGGGCAACGGCTATTTTTGGCGTACTATCTACATACCTTGGCCCCAAAAAATAAATAAATAAATAAATAAATAAATAAATAAATAAATAAATAAAATAATAATAATAAAATAAAATAAAAAACAAACAAACAAAATAAGATCTTCATAAGCAAGTGGATATTTAGTCTGTTCTAGCTTACCTTCGTTTTCTATCATCTCACAATACACGTCATCTGCATAGTTTTCTCCAAATGGCTGGAACTTATACAATCCGCTCACTCTAAAACCTTGATCATACACGGCCTGGCAGTCTGGAATTGTACACAGACATCAAAAACAGAATTCAGAACAGTGACAGTGTCATACTATTCAGGGCTTTACCCCACAGTAATGAGACCAAGCGAGTTTTACATCAATTTTAATAATTCCTCATAATTAAAATTAAATTGTATTTGTGAGTAAACTTACAAATGTTGATAAATTTGTACCTGTTGGAACAATGCTATTCAAACCTCCCGCCGGACCACTTCCAAGATTATAATTATTAAGAAAAGTTAGCGCACTCCTAGAGAAAGATGCATTCCCCCCCTTCAATGACTCAACTACAAATTTCCTGAAATTAAAGTAGTCCATTTTCAATTTTTTAAATTCTTCCATTATTGGAGGACCACTTGGATTGGCAACAAAAAATCGCAGCTGGGTCTTCATAGTTTCTATCATCATATTTGACTGCTCTTCTCGAAGCTTTGTCAGACTAAGGCGCATAGTTTCAATGTGCTTCTTCCCTTCCTTAGTTTCCGTTTTTATATCAGATATTTCCGTTTTCAGAGAGTCGATATTTTTTTGAACTTGTGAAAAGAAGTCTCTTAGTTTGTTAACGTTTGCCTGTAAATCATTTTGTCCCAGTTTCAGTTGAATGTTTTCCCCTTGGATATTGCGCATTTCTCTTTTAACAAGAATCCATTCAGCTTTAAGGTCGCCTACGTTGTTTCTCAGCTGAGAAGTAAAATCATGAATGGCTGCCAGCTGTTTCTTGCTGTCTTGTGTTTTCAAATCTAGTGAGTCTTGTTCCAAAAGTATTTTCTGGTTTTGATCGCCAATTCCTTCCACGGTTGAACTCAAACGAAAGATAGACCCCTCGATATTTCTTAAGGACGAACTTGCTGATTGTAGGTCTGTCTCAAACTTGGCCAATTTCACGTCCAGATAATTAATCCCTCGCTCAACGTTTACTGAAGCATTTTTTTCATTAAGCAATTCTTGAAACATTTGTACTTTTAGTGACAAAACGTCTTGATTTAATCTTGCCGAAACTCCTTCGATCTTATAATCCAGATCGCTCAGTTTTTTCCAAACATCATCATTTGGTTGCCATACCTGCACATTATATGTGCACTGCCCGGTTTTAGACTGCAATCTTGCCGAATAAGAAATTGAATGTTGATCTGCGAAGACAACGAACAATATTACTAAAAGCGACGTGTTGAGACCCATGATGAAATTTTGGTACTGATCAGCATGCGCGCCGTAAGACCTGTCTGAAGTAAGCCCTGCTTTGATTACGAAATACAGGATAAGGCCAAGGAATAATTCTATTTTGTTAGACGGACATTCTATTCTACGGAGGCCAGTTTCACGAAGCGATTTAAAGTTTTGAACTTAGCTCGGATCGTTTCTGCTGTGTTTAAACCGTGTTGGAGAAGACACCCTAGCTGCGACCATTGCAGTGGTAAGCGAAGGCCAAAATTCGCTCTTCATGCGGTCGCAAGGGTGGTTTTAGTTCCGACACCATATTTAATTAGGTCGGTTGCGCGATATTTTAGAATAGCAATCTACGAGTATATCGCAAAGAATTGGAAAAATAAAAATGTAATTGACTTCCCAAAATAGCCTACTGGCAACAGTGAGTAAAACTGGTGACAAGACAATAAGAATTAAGTAGAATTTAACGTGAAGAGTTTGGTTTAAGACTAGAAATTCGAGCTAAGGGGGAATTTGGATTCTCTGCGCCTCCAACACATTTCTAATCATTTGACTCACCCGCACATCCTTTCCCATTCATAACCCGTAACCCAAATGTTTTTATAACCACATCCTTACCAGTAGATTAGGAATGAACAGGATTTTGCCCACTGACCTGCCAAACGGGAATCTTATACATTCGTTCGTTCCTTTGGTAAAGCGTTCAATCAATTAGCCAATACAGCGGCGTTGAAGGAAGTATCGGCAAGGGAAAAGTACCAAAATTATCGCGCCTCAAAAGGTTGTTGCTTACACCTTTGGATGGTCCGAAACATCTGAACTCCAGGTTGATATATAGACCGTTACAATATAATTTGGGATTTTCTACATTCTCATTAGTACACAACTCCTCCGCCACCTCGACTTAGAATAGGTAACTGCTGTTATTAAGTGTACAAGTTTTCAGTGTCCACTTCGAAACACAGGTCCATTTTCTTTTCAATAAAGCTAACAATGAATGTTTGATTTATTTTATTTGAAACATGAGCGATGTTCACTCTGTGAATAATATTGATGTTCTAAAAACGCAACAGTGAAATCAAGTAACAAATAAATTTTTAGTCATCAAACATGTAACAAGTTTACAAATACAATACCATGTTTGGCATAAAAGGCCCCCCATTGGGCTTCTTTGTAGAACGTGCACAACTTAAACATACTTTTAGTAGACCACCACCAGTAAGTAGAAAATAGTGCTTATACACAAAAAAAAATCCTTATATATTATATAAACAAAAAATGCCCCCCAAAAATCCTTTTTTATCTTTTTATATAAATGTAAAATTCTAGCACAACATAACAAATTTGACCTACACAATAACAAAAATCCAGAAATTTCAAGTGTTAACTCATTTCTTCGTCATCACCATTTTATTTTTTACCCCACCTATTTACCTTACTTCCCACGCTGATAACAAGTTATCAAAAAAAGGGTTTCTGAAAAGACAGAGTCAAAGGCATCTATGCCAATTCACTGTTAACTTCTGCCATGTGTTGTAATTGATTTTCATTGCTTTTACTTCGACTTCTTTAACTTTTGCAACTAATAAATGAATAAATCCCAAAACAGTTGACACCTTCAGTCTACGTTCATCAAGCTGCGTTTGTCTCAAATGACTGACCAACTAATGGCACCTCGGTGAGAGCATCATCTGTCCTACCAATTTCATCTAAAGATAAAAATGACTACTTTTTAATGCTGATGTCATGTAAACAAACATCTTGAAGAAAAAAAGGTTCCTGACATGTTTAATTATCCATATGTGTAAAATTACGTGAAACTGATTGAAAAACAAAAAGAAGACCTGAAGAGATAAGGAATTTGGCCACAAGCCATAATTGGTTTCAGAGTTTGTAAGGTATGGGGTATATCATAGACTAAAAAAAAAAAAAGGGAAGTGATGGTTATTCTACCCCTCTATTTATGTAAGATAAATGTTTAGCCCCAAACTATTATTTGTATTTCTTTACCATCTGAATCTAAGGTGACATCATCTGCCTTCTTCCAGCCACACATGGAGTTAATTACCTTCTTACTCAGTGCCACATCACGATGGAAACGCACTGAAAAAATATAAATATAAACAATGACAAGAATGGTGGGTAGTAAACAAATTTTCAAATCTGTGATGAGTGAAGAGAAAATTAACAGCACTGTGGGTGCCAAGGCATGCTACCTGAAAGGACAAAATAATTGCTAAAATTTCTAAAATGCAGATGAAATTCATAAAAATTCAGTGCAAAACAAACGAAACTCATTTGAAGCCATTATCATTGAACCATAATGAGTTGTTTTAATATACCTATGGTAACTTCATAACAAAAGTGACATTCAAAAATGGATGACAGATAACTTACTTCTCAAATTCTGCATTTGTGCCAAAAGCACATTGTTGGCTTGTGTTTTAAGGTTCAACATATTTCTCAAATATTCATTTTCCTCTGAAAAGATCACAATAAAATGACAATGTCATGCTAGTGGCTTTTTCATATAAATCACAAATTTATCTACAATATTTATTAACACTCAGCCCCAAATGTACTAAAGCAATAGATAACTAAAAAAAGACTATTTCTTTCACTATGAAATATCACTGTAATTATATCAATGTTTAAAATCATATTTAAAAAAACTACTTAGTAAAAACACACACTTACCCATGAGATGGTGAATGAAATATCTATGTGAGCCTAACTGTCTTCTCATTCTGTTCAAATCAGTGTCAGAAGTTACAGAGTCATCTGCAGGCTGACAAGTGACAACTCCGACCGGTACGTCAATTTTGGGCTGAAACTGGGCAAATGTGGTTGCAGCTGCTTTTGGAACTTCTGCTGCTGTTGTTGTTTTTCCAGGACAATTGTTATTGTGGTCTGACGCTGATGTTACATTGAGTCTTGCCAGACCACCAAACAAAGGAGACTGTCTTGAGTAATGGGAGTTGGGCTGATTTTGCTTTTTCGTGTCAATATTCACTGCACGGGCACTCGGAGACTCGGGTACAGAAGAAAACTGGTGAGGCAAAGATGAACTCTTGAACCCAAAGACTCTTGAGTTAGGATGAAGTGGTGATCCTTGATATCCACTTCTACGTAAGAATCCAGAAGGACGAACTGTTTCTTGACCTATTCCCCCACCATTCGCCACCAACTGTTTTTTCAACAAGGAATTCCTTTCCATATCTACTGGCACTGGACACAGCAATTGTCCTTCATGACCTGTAACACCTGGTCTCATCATGCGGTCAGTGCTCACTGACTGGACAGAGGATGGGCATTCTGGTTCTGGTACTGGTGGCTGAGATGACATGTGATTTTTGTTATGGTCTTGCTCAGGGACTTGGCCAGTACAACCCTGGGCACTGCCCACTGCTGTTCTTGGTGACACCTTTGGTCTAGATATAACATCTGACTGGTAAGAGCTAACAGGCTGGGTCCTGGAAATAGTATTTATTGTAAAATATTTCAATTATTTTTTAAATGATGCAATATAAATCATGAAATCTATCTGATCAAATACCATTACATATTGTACATACTGTGTATGCTCATTAATAGGGTATCTCAATGCAATTAGGCCTACCTGTTATATATTTGACATGTGTTAAGAGAGTCGTAATGAAATCGGTGAGCTTGCACACCTAGATATGTTTTATACTTACCTGACCCTATTCAGGACAGTCTCCCACAACTGCAGCATCCTGGGGGTGACATCCTTGGAATCCAGCAGTATTCTTCCTCTAGTCTCCACATCATGGCCACATGTACGGTCCCCCTCATGGCTGTGGTGTGAAAAACCATACCACGAGAAGAATTTCTCGCAAATCACACAGCGTATACATAAGGACAGGGCATGCTTGCACAGGTAGGCATGGAGCACACCTCTTTCTACTGTGCTGCTGCAAGGAGACACACACTCCACAGGCAAGTAGGACGTCACAGGCAAAGTGGCAGGAAGGGACATCTCACCTTTCCTTTCAGAATTTGTTGGACCTAAAGCTTAAAATCACAGAGGATATTAACATTAATGATAAGGTAAACAAAAAATGTAGTTTTTTAAATATCCGTCATGCTCCCCTTATAAGAAAAAAAGATGGTAACCATTGGAATGCGGACTAAATAGCAAAATATGCAGATAATGCAACATAAAAAAGGTATGAAAATACTTTCTTGACCACTTCTAGAGCTTGTAAATTATTTGCGCTAATGGTGTACCTTCCTGAAGCGTTTTTCTCTCATCCACAGGCCTGACTACAGTGACAACTGGAGCCAATGGTTTCACTTTAGCCTCCCTAGAGCCTGGCACTGCCTTTGCCTTGACCCCTTTAGGAGAGGACATATCTTTCCTCTTTGTTATCCTGGGAGAGGATATTCCTTTCACCTTCTCCTTTTTAGGTGAAAACAATGCTTTCATCTTGGCCACTTTTGCAGATATCTCTGGTTTGATCTGTGTTTCCTTCAGAGAAGCCATGACTTTCACCTTGGCATCCACTGCATCCGTTGTGTTGAGGCTCTGTTGTTTATACACAGTTTTACATTCTGGTTGTGTGGACAGCTTGTTGACTGTGTCTTCCAACTTTTTCAAAGATGCTGAAGCTGCAGATGGGTCAAGACTGGCCTGAGTGTCTGGACCTCTGTGGTGTGGGTATGCATTGGCCTTAGAGTCAAATGAACCGGCATCAGATCTTGAAATGAAAATGTTATGTTTTATTAAACACATATTTCATTATTTGCAGAAAATCACTTCAAACAAAAACAAACTAGTAAAATTATACATCCAACTTGATTAATTTCAATAAGATGTATAGAACAGAGATGTCATGTCAAAAAAGATCTGACTTGTTTATGACAAACTAATTATAATTAAAGTCATAATAATAACTAAGAAAAAAAGAGGGATTAATATACCCAATTGTTTTTTTAAGTCAAATCCAACCACACTAACCTGTCTGTCTGTGTTTCATACAGAACTCCATCTAAATATGAAGAGGCACCAAATGTAATATTATATCCAGGACTAGGATTGGGTAAAGGACTTAAGAATGTCACTGGACGGACCTCACACTGGGGTGGCTTGGTCTCCTTTTCATCTTTCTCAGAATTTCTTGCCTCAGTATCAGCAAATGGACAGGCACCAGTATTTACTGTTTCCAAAAATCCAGAATCTTCTCCATTTCTGTCCTCTTCCATTTCATCATCAAAACAGTTGGATTTCTCATCAGCTATGTACAATTTAGGGCTGTCTTCCTGGTTTTCCTCATTTTCTCCTGAGATCAAACATGATGTTGAAGTCTCATCCACCTCTTTCTTAACTTTGGGAAGGATTTTTCTAAACTGAGGAAGAGCATTCTGCCTTTTCTTTTGTGATAAGCTCTGTTTATTTTTTCTCTCTCCAGCTGTTCTACCATTTTTCTTCTTCATTTCCTTTTTGTCTAAAATGACAAATTTCAATGGAGGATGGTCAGTGTCCTGATTTTGAAAGGATGACTCGACAGACTCCATACTTTCCCCACTCTCTGTGTCTGGTGTTGGTGGAGTGCCACTCATTGAGAGCCCCTTTCTCATCCACTCATATACCTTCTGAGCATCATTCTCACTGACCAGACAACTGTAGTTGCTGTAATTCAAACTCAGATCTTTACACAACTGGGCAATGGCTGCTTTTTCTTCTGGCAAACACTGAACAGATTTAAACATGCTGTTACAGGCAACACCAAAGTGGGCTGATGTTACATTACGAAACTTGCTCAAAGCTTGGCGCAGATGATTACGAACAAAGTATTTTTCTTCTTCCCTTAGAACATAAGGTAACTTAAATCCATGAAAGTCAGCCACCCCACTATCTTTGGTAGGCTCTACTTTGCTTAGCCTGCTCCTGCATGATGAGTTGGATCTTCTTCTGGTTTTAACTTGTACCTCTTTCTTTTCATACAAGTGAACAGGAGACTGGGGAAAATCTACATAATCATGATCTGACACAGTCTTGAATGTTGCCCTGTCTGACGCATCAAGAAACTTAATTGGCACTGTGGCTTTTCTTTTTTGGTTAGAACTGCGGTAGCTATGATCACCTATAGTACTATTATGTAAAGATTCTTTATGTGCTGAATCTTTAAAAATTTGATCAGCATCTCCCCTGAAGAAAAATTCATTGGAAGCAGGAATATCAAAAGATGGGGTTTTCATATTTAGATCTCTTTGATCTTCCTCATAGGTATGTTCACAGGGAACCTTGCTGCAAATGTTTGGCCAGAAAGGAAGAGACTGCAAATTTTGTCTTAGTGATTGTCTTTTACGTCGTAATTCTGCAAGCACTGCTTTCAGCCTTTCATCCATACCAATGCTGTTATAAAAAAAGAAAAATAATCATAACCACATCTTGCTTGTCATTAATTCTTAACGTAAGTCTGACTGAGTGTTTAACGTTAACAAAGGCTTCCTTATTGCTTCATATTTTCTAATTATTTCTACAAATATTCAACACATCTCTATAACCGTAACGCGCAAGACGGAGCAACTCTCATACTTACACTTAATGTTCACATATGGCACTATTTATTAATATTCTTTATTTTATTTCTGCAAATACTCATTATCAACTCTAAAACCTTAATGTGCTCCATCTTTCTCCTGATAAATGTTACACACAATGTCAATGTATTATGTAGTCCGCCATTAGCTCATCGCGCCAAAAAACTTCATGCGCTTAATTAGGATTTTTACCTTCTGTGTCAAGCCTCACTGCTAACATCTGTTGTGAACTAGTACATTAAAAACGAATTTAGTCAATGGCGTTTCTTCATACCCACCTTTTTTAATTGAAATCGGTTGTAGGTTTGAATAACCCTCGCACGCCTCTGTACTTAATCCTTTTATGCCGAACGCACTCAACCCGGAGACTAAAATAAAGAATTGTTTTAAACCCCACAGGCACTCTGTGATTTTTCGATCTCACGATCTCAGTCTCTAACAGATAAGTTTAGGTCTGTGTGGTGTAGTTATTAACTCCTGTGAGTCAAAATGGGTGGAATAAAAAAAGTAAAAACGAATTTACGAACAGCGTCTTGAAAAGTTAAAGTGTCAACCCGTCAGTATTCTTTATTTTACCAGATTCCTCTTCACGTGACTTAAAGCGCACGTTCACAAACGTCACGATGAGCACAATTTACTCTTGGCCTGTTTGTCTACTACTACTCTTTTGCTGTCATAATGATTTGTCATAGACTTAGATATACTGTATTGTATAGCCTACCGAGTATTAGATTAAGTTCGAGTTTTTTATTTTCTTTATTTTTGTGAAATTCGAGTATCAGGCTCCGCACCAGACAGAGTAGAACTCCGATAAATCTGACCACTTGTCATTTCTTGCTAGTATAAAACGTCTGCGTGTAGGATCGGGCCTACTAGTATAGAATGCATAATTTATGTGCCAGCCAGTATTACCTTTTTGTAAGAGTCTTAAAAGTTAAGATGGATAAAAGACGACTGGCATTAGTATCTAATGTAGCTAAAATATTGAAAGTTCGAAGCTGGCAAGCCTGTTTTGATGGGGCAATTCAAGAGAATGATAGACCAATGCCTCACTTTTAGAAGTAGGCCTATTCAATCACTCTGGACAAACGAAACATTGTGTAAGAAAAATGTTTTAAAAAATCACTAGTCCTTGTGCATTTGTTGCAGGATATTTGTTTATAAGCAATCAATGCTACTCTAATTTAGGCCTACACTTTAAAGGGCAACCCTTTTCCAAAGAGAGTGCAACAAAGTTAATTTGACAAAGGTCGATATTTAGGGACGACGAACACAGCTCACTTTCAATCACATTAAAAAGTACTCCTGTTTTCACTCGAATTAATGGACTGTACAAATCTTGGGGAGGTTCATCCGTAACCGATATTGTAAAACGGTGCGACAGCCAGGCTTCAGATGAATATATGTTGGGTAAGATCTTCAACGGACCCGCCACCCCCAAGCAGTTAATGGCCCTGTCCTGAATGTAGTAGCCTGTTCTCTGATCCTTTGTAACCCATGCAACCATCTCGTCTTTTTATATACGTTTTATATTTTAACCTTTGAATTTTACCAAGTTTTCCTTCTAACCAAAACTCAAGCGTTGATTTTTATTTTTAAGAATGTCTGCAAACAGTACAAGCAGTGTAAATTTTGTCACATTTCAATTGTGTTGAGATGTCTGCACAACTGGCGCAATGCTAGGTGAGGACTAGTATTTCTTCACATGGTCAATTTTAGCTATCCCCCCTTGTTTATATTAAACACGAATGATGAGACCCCTCCCTAAAATTTGCTTCCAAAATACCCATACAAAAAAAAAAAAAAAAAAAAAAAAAAAAAAAAGAGAGAGAGAAAAAAAGCCAGTGTCATGCATGCAGAGGGCTGATTGTGTATGAGGTGTTATGGTGTATTACTTTTGTAAATGTTTAACTGCTGGGCAAGCAATCAATGCTCCTTGCGTGCAGAGACTAGAGAGTGTGGTATAGATTAAGAGCTTCTCTCTTTAAAGTTGTGTCTGATTACAGTTTATTGTTCAACAATATCGATTTATCATGCTTCTGATTCTCTTTAGTAATACTTTTTTTGGCAAGTTTCCTGATGCTAAACTTCTTATTTTCACATTAATAGAAAACCAGCCCAATTCTCAGATTTTATCTGGCCATCAATAAAATCATGTATCACCGTCTGCTCGTTTTCTCAGATGAATTTCATTATGTTAAACATTGAAAAAAAAGCAGTGATTATGCTAATTGTCTTAACCATGGAGAAGAACATATGGAATGTATTTTTTATCTCAATATAGATTATTTGTTAAAGAGTTTTGAAAGAAAAAGGCAAAGTGAAAATAAAATTTAACACCTTTTAATTAAAAATCCTATTGCTGCATATTCATACATTTCTGTGACTAATTCTGTGCAAATCTCTGTACATTCAGAATTTTTGCACAGAAACCAAGAAATGATGTAATTACCAAGCTGGCCTTGGTAGAGAGTAAATTAAAGTAATGAAAGAATATGACTTTAAATGTAGTTCCATCTGTACTAGCTGTAGGCATAGCACAGCTTCAGAAAGTATTAGAAGCATTTGCAATAAATAATGAAGTGATTTTACAACTACAACAACCAAGACCATGAATAAGATCTCAAGATATTTCCACAGTGTTGCTCTGAGCTTCATTTTGATTTGGCTATCCTGTTAAATTTGTTTCCAACTATCAACCATGAGGGTGTCAGCCGTCTGCCAGCCTTATCAAGAAAAAATTCCATTGCTTTACTGCAGCTCCAAAATAGTTTTGAAATCAATGACAATGGGGTAAAAATTAATTACTATGCCAAATTGGTGATACAGTAGTCATTATACCCAAATAAATGTATTTGCGAATTTTGATACAGATAACACTACATCCGTTAGAAAAAAATCATACAGAATAACCACACAGATGTTTCCTCCACATTAAGGCTAATTTATTTTGAAAGCCAATGGTACTGACTTGATGACTATGCAACAGTTTCTTTTATTGTGGTCTGGATAACAGACAGCAGAATGAGCATCTATGCATTGCTGTAATATAACTTATAAAATAATGACAAATGAAAGAGGCATTCAGCTGGCTTGTGTCCCACCAGCTGACAAGATCATCTGCTAAATTAAAAACCTAAACCATACAGAAACAAAGCACAAGTTGAAGTTTTTTTTTATCATATCCATGTTCAGAGTTCATTCATTATGCTTTTCACAGACTCTTAGTGTGGGTCATTTTTCAATAATCACAGTCATTTTACATCTGCAATAATCTGATCCACTTGGTCCCAGTCGATAACACTCATTATGCTGCCACTGCTGACAGAAGCCAGGTCTGTCATTGTTGCGGCGCCCTCTATATCTGCTATGTCCACAGCATTGGTATAGTCTGCTCCAGTCAAATAGTCCAGGTCATCAGACTCTGCATAAACACTGGCACCCTTGATAAATAAAGCAAAAAGAATAGTTACCCACACTTTTATTGTAAGTAAAACTTGAACATAATATGCAAAAGCAATGACACATCCAAGCATACCCAGCCTCCAAAGTTTCTGATAGCAACACCAAATAAAATGTACAATTGGGGATAAGATCAAGATATGAAGTTTCAAATTCATGGCTTGATATGTGATATGTGGCAACGCAAAAATGAAAAATATGGGAACAATTAAAATTATCATAATAAAATCAAACTTGAGATACTGTATGTATAAATTATACGGAAATCTTGAAATAATATTCAAAATAAAACATAGACTTACTCCTGCTGCGATGCCTTCCTGACCATCATAAAGAATTCTTTTAACATCCTCATCTACACTCCAGGGACTGACCACAGAGTCTGCTTCAGATATGTCTGGCTCAGATACTGGACGGTATGGGTCAGCATAGGGACGTGGCCGGACTAGACTGCGTAAGGGTGGGGTCTGGTACTGTATGCTAGGTGTGGGCGCTTAAAAAAATGGGAAATTACAAAATGAATAATGAAGGATAAAATACTGATCCACTTATTGATATGAAGACTTTAAAAGAAACTTTCAACATGGCAAAATAATATTAATTTTTCTACAGGCATCACTGACTTACCACCAATGACACAGACATGACATTAGTGCAAAGACTAACCACAAAAATTAAAGAGAATCAGACAAAACCAAAATGTGGCCTCACAATTTGGAATGATTTGTCCAGAGGAGATCTAATAGATGTGGATTGCTCCCCTTCAGGGAAAGGAGTAATTTTTTTCTGTTAACTTGTCAAAATCATTCAAAATATTTGTTAAGCATGATTTGAGAAGTCTATTGTTCTAATTCTAGTACTTACAATAGGCAGCCCTGTATGTTCCATGTGGTGCCTTGGCTTGCAGTTCCTGTAGCTGCTGTGAATAGGTCTTAGGTTTGTGGGCAGGCCTGTGAGATCTCAGGGATGGAGTGGTTCTTGGGGTTACAATCCCTGCTAAAATATAACATTTGAATTTGCAAATTAATAAAATATACTTTCAAGAAGTAAAATGAAGGAAAGGTGTATGGGAGATAATGTAAGTCATATCAATTCAAGAAAAAAAATATCCACAGTGTTTCCTAAAATAGATAACTAATTAATGATTTAAAAACACTACAGTGGAATGTTCATAGAAGTTACCCTCTACCAGGGCTACAGATTGATTTTTCATTAGATATTCATAGATCTGTCTCTGGTGAAACTGACGGCTACTCTCTGCATGTGAGGAAATGTACTCAGAGAAAATGTCTACATAATAACAACTGTGGCCCTGGTAGAAGGTACATAAAAAGAACGGTATTATTAACAAGGGTCTTCTTTCCCCTCTCACAACACCAGTGAGCAGGATGCAACACATAGTCAAAGATCCAACACTCTAACCATCACTCACCAGAGGACCCTCTTCCAGTGTGTTTCTTGGGAGGAGAAAGTTGCTGTAGTTGTTGAGCATATGTGAGGGTATTTCTGCGAGGACCCCTCTCTGGACGGATACCATGCTGCCTGGACGGAGTGGTGTGAAGTGGTGTTGTTGCTGACAAACAAAGAAAGACAAGCATCAAGGTTTTGATATATTCTAAATCTTACAATGTGTGGAATGGTCAGCAGTATTTTTAATTCTAGAGTTCATGTAACATTTCAAAAAAGAGAACAGCAAAAAAATAAGAACAAATTTAAAAATAAAAACTGGTACATGTAAACAGTATCAGCCGGCCATTCTAACATTAGTATGCTGCATGATTATCAATACTGTTAGAAAAAATCCAGCATCAGTGAGTTCCTAAGAAATTCAGTCATATTTCTACCTCTAAGTCTCCTACTCTGAGGAGTGTCAGATCCTCTTCCTGGTGTGATAGTAGCAGGTTTTTTCATCTCCTGAAGTCTCTCCGTGTACGTCTTCACAACTCTTGGTGACTCTCTTACTTGTGTCTTCTGTAGACCCGGGATACGTTTTGTCCCTGAGAGAATATAAAGACATTCAATGTACCATCCGTTCTCTTTCCATTCTGAAAATACTTTTATCTACTGTTTATAAAGTAATCAACAGAGGTAAGTCAAAATGTGCAAGTGTAAATGAATAGAGATGGCAAACCCGTATAGTATTGGCCTTAAATGTGATTTCATAGAAAAAATCTATCAAAACTGGGAAAAAATAAATTATTAAAAAACTCCCCTCAGCCACATATATTGATGTAATCATGTCTTCAAGCATTTATTAGAAGTTATGTTTAAACTGAATAATGAAATGTAATAAAATGCAAACAAATATCAATATATAATACATTCAAGAACAATAAAAAAATTATTTAAATATTTTCTTTTAAAAACTGCAAATTATCTTTTTCACAAACAAAAAGAAACTCGCTGCACACTTACCAAATAATCTTTGTAGAGATTTGAGGGAAGAACTTTTAGGTTTACTAATGGTCTGAGTGGCACCTAAGTAGTCCTGAGATTTATCATGGGGGACTGGGGATGGTTTTCTTCTTGTTACTTCAGGTCTCTGAACTTTAACTAAATCAGTGTAAGATTTTATCACAGGCCTGTGGCCACTGGCCTCAGGCTTATGGACAACTTCCTCCGCCTCCCTAATGTCTGACAATTGCCCGGTGCCTTCATATGTCCTTGGTCTTGCCCAGGCATTAAATGTTTCTGGACTCCCTTGGGGATATTTATGATAAATCATGTCATCATAGTTATCCTCTAGTGTAAGATAATCTTCAGAAGTGATAACCAATCTGTCTTGGTCTTGACCCTGCACTGCCCTCTGTCGGTTGGGTATAGAGTATCCTTGTCTACTACCAGGGGGTGCTGTAGCAGGTTTCTTCTTTTTTGTGGGTGTTCCTGCTGCTTTTGATGTAGGTCTTCTTTGTCGTTTCTCAGTTCTCTCTGTGATTTCATGTTCTTCTTTTGGGAGGTCAAGTTTATCAGCAACAATGTCACTCATTAGCTGATGGGCCAGTTTTTCACGCTTCTCAGTAAATTCTTGCAGTCGCTGTTTCTTTTCTTCTTCTCGCTTTTTCTCAACAGTTTTGATCTCTTTGAAAGTAGATGTGGCCTGTCAGATAATAAAAAGAACCAATAAGGACTTATGTGGTAATCAGCACAGATTTAACCACATTTGTGTTTAACTGTGAAAAGAAAAATATTTCAAAAGAAAATTTCCTTCACTATTTTTATCTCTAGCAAGGTACTTTCCATGCAGATCACGTTTACCAGCATTTTCTAACAAAACTAACTAGAATGCCTTAATAGTAAAAAAATATAATCAATAATAAAATGACACCCAGACTCAAAAATGTACAGAACAATTTGCACATCCTTTCTGCTTTTAAGAACTTGGATAAAACAAAACACTCAAAATTAGAGTCAAATGGTAAATTCTAATTTCTCACCATGACAGGGACACCTTCAGGAGGCTTGTAAGGTGTCCTCTCCCTTTCTCTCAATTCCTCTTTCTCCTTCTTGTACTGCTCCAACCTCTCATGGCGTTTCTTAGCAGACCACTCATGTAGCTGTTTCCTTTTCTCAGGGCTCATTCTTCCCTTATCCCTGGGGGACGGCTTGTTGAATATGTCCTCCATCTGTTCTAGACTTAGATCTGTTGGAGGGAAGTCATCCCCTATGGTTAGCCTGTCAGATTTCCTGGAAAATAATGTAAATCAAGATGGAAGTTATAACCACTGAAACTTGATTTCATTTTCAATTTTTGTGTGACAGTTGGTAGAAGTATTAGTGTGAATAAAAAGTGGATAAATGGGATAAAATGCAGCATCATGCTTATGTTAAACAAAGAGTACACAACTAGCTTTGGCTCATCACAAAAATAACCTTTAACTTATGAGAAAATGTAAATTGCTCATATACATATTGCTGAAGAATATTAAGAACCTTGTTAAAGAAATCTGAAACATGGAAGAGTGGTTTTTATGAACAGCTCCAAGAGAGTAACTGCACAGTCATAGAACATGATCTAGCGTCTATACTATTACACAAAAGCACAACCAAGAAAGTCCATTAAGATCTATATGAGCATTGACAGATCACTCATTTGAAGAATAATCACTGTGCTTGGAGCTGTATGCTGAACAGCAAGACCTTTTCCTTGGAGAAAAGTCAGGGTTAATGTACATTTAAGGTGAAATAAAGAGCCAACTCTGACTGCATTAATTTCCAAAAAACAAGACTGCAAGGGATAGATAACAACATTTAGGTGCCACTGGAGTGGATTTGAACACCGCACTATATGTACTCTAATACTGTTGACAAGTATAATTACACAGAGGTATGGCTCCACTGGACTAATTAATCAACCATGATGTCCTCCCAGCACCAATCAGGGCTTACCAAATAGGCCCAAACAGGCAATTCATAAGGAGTCGTTGTGGATGATAATGCCTTTTGTTTCAAAACTGACATACTTGTATATCATACCACTTTCTCTGCATTTAAGTCTTATTTTCCAATAACAAGATCAAAATATGGCAATGCATGTCACAAATAAATATTTCTGTTCCTTGCACCTTCAGTTTGATAAATTTACCTCATTATATAATAAAATAAGTACTGCTATTAATGTAAATGCATATTTCACAGAAAAAAATCTCCCCCAAAAGTTTTCAAGACATTTTTATCTCACGCTAATCAACTTCTTCGCCAGTGAACAAACTCCATTGCTTCCCCCTCCTCCAACTCATACCGATCCTAATCCAATATCCATATACTCAGAAACCTGCACACTCATCTTGCATAATTTTAATACGTTTTTACTCTCCCCCCTCCCAAATTAAACCTAATCAATAGCCTGATAAAACAGATGCATGGTTGACTCTACTATATTTAAAAATAATAATAAATAAATAAATAAATAAATAAATAAATAAATAAATAAATAAATAAATAAATAAATAAATAAATAAATAAAACAAAGATAATTATTTGAAAATAAAACCAAATAATAACGTTTCAGCTAAAGCATGATTCATCTGACAAAAACCATCAGCAGCCAAGCTTTACCTGATATTCAACTTGTGCATTAGCTGGCACAGTCTCTCCTGTGCCCCTGACATACATATCAGCCAGCCCATCTAATACCATCAAACATAGCACTGATGCTCTAATACACTGTGATCCAATCTAGCCCATCTCTCCTATAAACCTTGGCTTTTATTTCACATGCAAAACCTTTCAAGGCGTCCTTTCAAGGACGGGTGGAGCCACAGGTAAGAGTACAGTGTTAATCTGCCCAGTGTTCAATATCAATGTCTTTGTTTAACTGTCATTTCTTTCAGGTCAAATGGTAACTTGAGACCTTTAAGCAATTTGCGTTCAATTCAGGTCAGGTATGTGATGTTTCTTATTTTTTTCTAAATTCGCTTATGAATAATTATTTAATGATAAATGCTTGTTGCATATGACAATCTGTTGTCAAAGCAACTAAAACAAGAATATAAACAATATGTGATATGCCTAATGCTTTGCTTATCTTCTCTTAAACCTAGCAGTTTAGCTTTAAATGACACAAATATTTGTTAAAAGTTATTTTCTGTTAATGTAACATTTTTGAATCAGATGTATGTTTGAATGTTTTGAACTCTTGTTTGAAGAAAATGAAAAAACATTTAATGAAATTGCAACCAAAACCAACTACTTAAACACTAAGAAAGAAAAAATACACAGACCAATAAATTCACATTAAAATCTTACACGTATACAGGTAGCTGAAGTTTAAGGCAATAATTGCTTTTGAACCTAATAAATAACAAGTGACGGTTTATTTAAGAAAATGTTCAAGGCAAGAAAAAAGCATTTATCAATAGGCAAATGTTTTGCATACACTCATAAATTACTTAGTATAACTATATTTCAAGTGCTGCAACCATGAGTGGGTTGATGAGTTTTGCTGTTAGAAGAATAGGAATCTCCCTGTAGCTGGCTATTTGGCATTCAGTCCAATCCACTAAATATAAGATACAAAAAGGTAAAAGGATACATCTTTTACACAACATTTTCATGGCCAGATTGTGTACCCAATCCCCATTTCGTTGGCTAAAGCCACTACTTATGACACTCCAAGTTACATTGTCTGACATGAACAAAGCCAGGAATCAACCAGAAAATCCTTCACACCAACTTCAGGCACTTAGCCAATATAACTATTTAATCTGGTCCATAATCAGCTAAAGGAAGCAAAAAAAGAAAACAGACTCAATCCAAAAGATTTAAAAAATCCAATCTGTGACATAAGCAGTCACTAAACTACAATCGATCCAATGTTACTAAAAATAAGCACATGTTAGTATGTTATGTTAGAGTGTAATGACTCATGGGTAGCCAGGCAACAAGTAGTAAATGTTTTTCCTCATTCATTAATCTAACTGTATCTGCTGTCACCCAACAGAATGATACACCTACTATGTATGCAGACACATGCAGAATAAAAAGTAATTGTTAAGTCCCATGTCAAAAGATCCTTTCCAATGAAATTTTCTCTCGAAACATGGTCAAGGGGGAGGGGGAGGGGGGGTAATATGACCACCATCACTACACATTAATCACTGACATTTTTTTCTGTCTATCTAAGTGAAGCCAATCAATTGTTATACAGTTTACAAAGAAGGCTTTCCCCATGTCAAGTACCCAAATACATCCATCTAAACAGAACTATGCTGTCCTTTAGTAATTACTTGAAAAAAGAAAAAATTAGTCTTAAATATTTATTTCTCAATACTACTAGTAAGAAGCACTTTTGTTTTACACTCTCTTATAAATAATTACTGGCTCACATTGCACTCAGGATGATAAAAAGGCGTCAGTGTTGACAAAATGATTTATATTGTATGTCAGACAGAAAAACAGAGGCACCATTAACTCCTTATTACTATGGGGACAGGCAGTAAATATTTCCCCACGCGCTTAACACCCCCTCTTCACCTCAAGACATCTAAAAGAAATTTAACACCTGAATTGACTCCTACTGTTTACCAAAAGTTTATAGACACAACAACAAGGGCTTGTTATAGCAGTTTTACAGCAGAAGTTAATTGATGAGTCAATATTATGTTACTTTAAACACTGTAAGAAGAATGATAATAGGAATAAACCTTCGAAACATGTATCTGTCAAAAAAAAAAAAAAAAATCAAACCTGTGATCCACTTTAAAATTACCAGTGATGCTGCACAATGTTTTACTTTTGAAGTTTTGTAGTAGATGACAATTGCTGTAAGCTATAATTCTCATTTAACAAAATTATTTTCATAGATAAACATTTGAAAAAATATATAAAGCTTGTGAAGCTAGGGATGTGTCATCAATGTACAGCTTTAACTATAACTCTGTACTGTCTGTAGTGAATACCAATGGACTAAATATAACAGAGATATGGATAGCATGTTTACCTGAAATTGGTAAATACACAGTGCAAACAATCCTTTTTTAATTGTCATGTAAGCATCTGATTAAATTTTTATCATTTAGTCATCTTAGCAATGCTGAATATTAAACTAAAACACATGCCTTATCAGTTAGGAATTTATTAAAACAAACACTCACTTTGCTTTGTCAGCCATTCGTTTGGCCTCAGTTTGGGACAGCCCCAGCTCCTCTGCACCAATCTCGCCTTCGTTAAGCAGCTCCCCAATGATATCACTCACTCCACTGACACCAGTTAAATCTTTCGTACTGTCAGCTTTTTCTTCCTCCTCTGCTATGGACCTGTTTATGGATTTATAGATGGGTGAGCCATTAAGTTTATATCACAGATATTTGATACTGATAATGACGTGAGCAGACATATAGAATCAGTTGAGTCGGTGGTAAGGTGGTGCAAGAGTAATGATCTTATTTTGAACGTAGCTGAAATCAAAGAAATGATAGTGGATTTAAGAAGGAATCATTGATAATGTTGAAGTAAGGAGGGTAGGGGAGTTTAAACTACATGGCATACGTCTGAATAGTAAACTGAATTGGAAAGATAATATCCCAAAGAATGTAAAGAAGGCACGGTGAAGACTGTATTTTTTAAGATCACTCAAAACTTTTAGTGATAGTGTGCCTATTTTAGTTAACTATTACAGGTGTGTGATTGAAAGTATCCTGACGTACAGAGTCACAATCTGGTATAGCGGGACTACTGAGGAGGAAAGGAATAAACTAACTGTAAGTAAGATTATCGGGCAGGACCTCCCCAAGCTGGATGATATTTTTAAAGACAGAATGGAGAAAAAACTGTTAACACCATAAAAGACTCTTTTCACTCAGCATCATCATCACTTTTTACATTTTTACCAAGCAGTAGTAGACTTTTAAAGGCAGTAAACACTTTTTAAACAGCTTTTATCTAAGTGCAGTAACACATTTTAATTTGATCTCTAAACCAAATTGTTATTTTATCTAACCTATTGTATTACTTTTACTCTGTATATTATCAAACTTGCTCCAAAAGGAAAATTATTTCAGATTTTTATAATTGGCTAAATAAACTCTTATCTTATTTCTAATACATGGGAGAACATTGATGTCTTATTTCATCTTCTCAAGATAGAATGTTGAATTCAAAGTCAATGCATTTAAATGTAATGTATGGCTAAATTTTTCAAGTTTTGAAAAAATATCAATGCTGTTAGTGTAAGTCTATTTGTGGTATTTATTTCTATAATTTCTTCATTTCTTGTGAACTCAGACAGATATATACTCACCTCTGATGTTGATCTCTCTTGCCCAGTCTTTCTCTTATAGCATGTATCCTATCCTCATTGGTCAAGCCATCTTCAACTGCTCTTTCCTGATTAAAACACACATTTTCATGTTGTTATATATCATCTCTGGGAGCAATAACCTTAACCTCTAGAACCCGAGTATTACTTTTTCAGATGTATTCATTCTCATAAATTAACAAATTGTACATATTATAAAGCTACATACCTCGTCAGCCTGGACAGTGGACATCTGGTCATCAGACCTCATCCTTTTCACATCAGATGGTCTCAGAGGGACAGGTGGCTCCAAGGAGTCACCAGGCACCTGCTGGGGTTGTTGAGCTACTCTGGCTGGGGGATATTCTGACTGGCGTGTTTCTGGTGTTAGTGCCTCTCCAAGGCTTTCTACAGTGTGCAGCAGCTGAAGCGATACCAAATTTGTTTTTATTTGGAATTTGTTGGTGAAGGATTTTAGAATTTGCTTTTATTGTTCTGTGAACTATTCACCAAATAACAAGCATTAATTTAAAAAACTTGTTTTACTTCTTTTAACACCTGATCACAATCATACCAGAATTATACTAAGGTGACAATTTTTTTCATAATCTCTTATCAAGCCAACAACCTACCAGTCTTGTGTTCTTGAAGTCAGTCTCCATGTTCTGTGACATGACATCAATGGCCTTCAGTTGCTGGTTCATCTCCTGTAGTCTTCTAGCTATACCTGCCTTGGACTGCTGCCTGCTCTGCTTGGATAACTCCACAGCCAGAGGTACCATCACCCTAGAATATGAATGCACAAATGAAGTAAAATCCAGTGTCATCCAAATACAAAACACAAATATGATATCCTCCTTTATAAAAGCAAGTTATAAAAACAAGATAATCTTTTTGGGTTGGGGAGCAGGGGGGGGGGTGTGACTTGTTTTAAGTTTTCAAAAGAAGAACACTACTATCAGATTATCCATTCAAGCAATGACCACACAAATACCATAAGAAAAACCAAAGAAAAGGTGAAATTACAGACATGAAGTATATTTAAACTCCCATGAAAAGGAAGAGGTTTTCAATACTTACTCTTCTTCATTTCTATCCATTTGTGTTGGAGCCAGCATCCTTGACGTGAGTGGATCAGGCCCTGGAGATAGTTCCTCTGTAGATAATGGAACACAGAATGCAATAAGTAGACATGAGAAATGATATTTTCTTAAAATGTTTACAACAAAATCTGTCAATTTTGCTGTAGTAAGTACAGATTTACAAGCACTTACAACTGTTACATTACTTTTTAAATTAATTAGCTACTTATTTTTAATGTTACTAAAATTGCATTGTTTTAGAATTACCTGCATAACTCTTTTAATGTTTGTACAGTACGTTTAAAAGAAAAAGAGAGGTGAGACTTTAAAAATAATATCTTCATGCTATGTGTTTTAATCTGATTGCCAATAAATTTTAATCTGATTTCCTGGCAGAGGTACACCTCTGCTCAGGATAGGAAAGCATCTAATCTAGATCTAAATAAGCAAAAAAATCTATATCTCAAATCTTTCTTAATGTAGGACTGTAATCATATTAATTTCTCTCTACCTGTCCGTCTCCCGGGACTGTGAAGTAGAGATGACCTGATGGACGGTTTTGGGGGTGATGTCACTGTCGTATCCCTTTCTGGTATTTGATCTATGGGTCTCCTAGGTTCATCAACACTTCCTTTCTCCTGCACTGAGGCTATGAGGTCATCAATACTTGCCCCATCCATGTCTATGACATTTATGTAAGAGCGACCCTGCCCTTTTCCCTGCAATGGGGGGAATTATTGTTACCTCGACTATATTCTCTTCAACATTTTGTTAAATGACCTTGTGTAAGGCTGAGCAACACAACATTTAACTAGAAAATGGTATGCGATCTATAAACAAATAAGCTGATGAAACTGGAGAAAAATGTATAACATGGCATCCCTACACCTACCCCAGTGGAAGGTGCACTGTGCTCAGCACTGTCTCCATCTATATCACCAAACCTCAGACCAAGGAAGATGTCAGGTGGCAACATGGAAGGTCTAGTGGCCCTGAAGTAGTCATCTACTGCCTCCTTCACTGGGTCTGTACCTTAAAATAAAATACAGACTGGATAAGCCTTACATTTATATTCATAATAATGTGCTTCTACGTGTGATGTTAAACAAAATACATAGTAATGCATTCAGAGGAACAGATGCATGTTTATATTCCTTCCTTTTTCTTAATATACCCAATGTGGTTACCTGTATCTCTGGTGATACTGGTGGCAGCCTCTGCAGTATATCTTGGTTCTTCCTCCCATTGTTCTGTCATGGTGCCACTGTCTGCCAGGTCTGTGGTCATGGTGGCAAACTCTACCTTCTGAAATAGACATGTACCTTTCAGATGCTGGTTGCAATCCTTGCATTCACATGTGTGTATGCAAGCAGATGCATCTGAAAATCATTGTTTATCATTTCTGCAAACCTCTTTTTAGTTTGTATTCAAATTTTATTTGCATCAAGTACTTGTCTCTCAGTAATTTCAAAATAATTTTGATCATACCTTTCTTGGTTTAACTCCCTGAGTTGCTTTATAGTGAAGTGAAGCATTTGTGGGCTGACTGTCTGCAGAAGGATGATCTAAGTAATGATCAAAAGTTCCTGAAAGTGTGTAAAATTGAAATAAATAAAATAATTTGAAATAAACATGATGGAAAAAGAAAATTATGCAATAAAGCTACTGGACAAAATAATGAATAACAATATTTCATTTGGTTTGGGAAACAATCAAATTGCAATTCCGTAAATAATTTGTTAACAATATGATTTTTAACAAAGGCTATCTAACAATGATTTTCTGTGATGCATGGATAATTCCACTGCAGTTTTATATGGTTTCATTTACTGATAGTACAGATGTTATAGTCTGTCAATATTTCCATTATATACCAGGTGGAATGGCAAATCCACTGTGAATGTTCAGGACTGTCTCCTCATCTGCTTCTTCTGTCTGGACAGCAGAGGATGACACAGTGACTCTGATTGGCTGCTGAGATGAAGAAGTATCAACAGTTTTGGTTGGTGGAACTTCTGTGGTCCTTGGTGTCACACGTATCACATTGCTCGGGAGAGAAATCTAAAGAGACAAACATTCAGTTTTGCAGAAATCTTACAAGAGACTTGTCTGCTGATAGACCCTGCTTGTTGTATGTTTTGAATCTGTAAGCCATAAGAATACAATCATAAGCCATAAGCCACAAGAACACAACACTTAATCACATCCTATTCCATCTATGCTATTATATCGAAACTGGTAAATTACAGTTAATTTACATTAGCACATCTTTCGTTTTCACTAAATAAATAACTTCTGCCAAACTAAGGACAAAGTGGCCAATACAGAAATTTTTGCATTTTCTTTAAAAAGTAGCATGTATTCGGGAAAATTGCTAAGTAGCATAAACTTGTAACTGTTCACTGTTTTAAATTACAAAGTCAACTGGAAGGAATACAAACCTGTTCAGACTCAGTGCTACTAGCATCTTTAATTTCTTTTTTCTTCTGTCTTCTTTTTTTCCTAAAATAATCACAAAAAATACAAATATAGACTTGTTGTTAAACATTAACTAATCACAAATACTTTCATGTTAAAAGTTAACAAGTGATCCCAACCATAAAGGGAAATAGCTATTTATCCTCAATAACATTAAAAACAATATGGACCTTTAAAAAAAATATTACTTGGCTTACAATTTAATCTTGTTGATGATGTTGTGTCTCCCAATACTGTATATTTGGGTAGTAGTGATTTCCAATCTAGCCTTTACCTCTTAATATCATTTCTTCTCTCCATTTCAAAAATTTCTTCTTTCTTCTCCAGTTGATCTTGTTGGTCCCTATTGGTGAGATGGTCAAAATCAACTTTTAGCAACACTGATCCAAGCTCCCTCTGCTGGTTTTGAGCATGCTGAGTCATTGCCTGCCTTTGGAAAGCCTTGAGGTGTTCCTGTTTCAACAGCTCTTTTTGTCTTTTCTGTTGTTCATATTCTATCAAAGTCTCAGCAGGTACACCAGGATAGATGGCGCCACTGTCTCTGGCTCCAAGAAAGCGATGGGGACCCATGGGGTGGTCATCAGTCAGGTGAAGCAGCTGGATGCCTAGGCGCTGAGATAGTGGGTGTGTGCTGCCATTATGGACCTGTGGTGCAGTCATGCTCACATTGGGAGGCCTGCTTTGTACTCTCGTGCCTGAGCAAATACAAGGCAAAAGACATTCATAATTATTATTAAGTATTTCTTTATGCAAAAAGCAATGAACAGGTTTCTCTTCTTTCAAAATCTGACCTCAAATGGCTAAGAAGCATTTCACTTAGGATCAACTTCTTACCTTCAGCATACTGTCTGACATCATGAGGCAGAGATGATGGTGGTCTGAAATAGCCCCTCATAAGCTGTGAGGCCTGATATGTGTCATCACGTCTCAGTATAGGCATAGGGGCATGAGTAGTGTACCCTTTCGGTTGCTGGGGCCCTTCTGGATTCTGTGCAGGAAATTTGGGAAACCTCAACAACTGAGCATCTGTCTCTTTTTCAGCAGCAAGACGCAGCATGTTAGGAATTCTAGGCTGGCCTACAGATGAGATAAAATAAGGATAATAGATTTAACTTTGGAATATACATAAAAAGCTAGCTAAATCCACTCCCCCCACCCCTTCTTTTTTGCAACCTGTCACTTAAGGTTAGGATGTCTGACCTGGTCTAAAAATGACAATTAGTGAATTGGAGTAAATGCACCTCTCTTACAATATTAAAAGGCAGTAAATCTTAAAGCATATTCCTGCTTATCATTACATTCATAGCTTGAACTCATCTTCCACAACATAACATAATTGTGAATTTCAACATACCAGCAAACATGGCAGTAGCCTCAGCATTCTCCTTTTCTCCAATTCCAGGCAGTCTGAGCAGAGGGAACTTAGACAGCAGACTATCTTCTTTAATCACACCTCTACCAACACCACCAAGTCCAAACACAGCATGACCTTGATGCCGACCTTGAGGACTGTGCCTGGTCTCCTCCTGCAGGTTCTGTAGCTCTCTTAAGGCTCCGCCAAAAATTGCCCTGCTTTCTTTCTCCCTTTGCTTCAGGGACTTTGAGCCTGACCTTGACTCACCACCAACCACCTGAGTGGGTGTAACTGTCTGCGAAGACTGCTCAGTTTTAGAGCCTGTGCCATATGTGTTTGAATCACTGCTCTTGGAACGGCTTCTCCTGCCTGCAGGTTGTGGAGTAGTCTGTGTGTTCACCTCAACCATATTTCCTGTCTCAACAGCTCCTGCTTCCCTGGATCTACTTTCAGTTCCAGACAAATGTGGTACCTGGTGGGGCAGCTGCATGGTGGCTGTCTTCTGGTGCTGAGGAACCATGCCAATAGATGGTGCCACAGTCTGTCCTGTAGAAGTCACTGCACTCTGTGAGGAGACAACATCTATAGCTCCCATCATGGCTAGTAGACTAGACTGTTGAATCTGACAAGAAAAAATCATATCCTGAACATTTTTGTTCCATGCAACATATGGTCGATGCATTAAGTTCCTGTATTATAAAGCTTTTAAGTTATTTGAAATCCTAAGATAAGACTTGATATATATTTATATATATATTTCCTAAAAAAATTGTTAAAATTTGTGTTAGTACCTTATGTTTGATAATATGTTTCTCAATAACCATACCAAAGCTAAATCCAATGCACTTCCCATAAGCTTTCAAAACCCTGAGTCAATACCTCCATGATTCTCCTAAATTCTCCACGAACCACATTTTGCAGTTGTTGGACCAAATCAACATTCCCACTTAACTGCTGAGATGCATTCGTCAACCCGACAAGTTGCTGGGTCCCAAGTGCTCCAATTTGCTGTTGATTTTCAATGTCTCCTCTCAGTGGCTGATCTGTGGGTTGAGGTACATTGGATTGTGAGGGTCTTGTTGTTGTAAGATCTTCAACAGCCAAAGTCTGTGATTTTCTAAAAATTGTACATTTTCAAAAACATTATTAAAACTGTGTCAGTCTATTACCAAAGTGTTTAATAATCAGCTGATATAAATGATTCAAAATCATACCAAACTAATGACCACAGCTTAAAAAAGTATTAAATACTGAAACCTCAGTCAACCTAACATACTGCCCAGTTCACATTTCAAAATGCATACTCAGATTTCATGGTGCTGCCAACAACATCTACTTCATCCTCAGCTAAGGAGCTGACATCTAAGGTGCTGCTGTCATCCTCGGGTGCCCCATCTTCTGGTGTCCCTCTACAAGGAGAATAGAACTTACATCATGATAAAATATCCATTACATCATTCTTTGAAGTTACTGCTTCTCTTTATCATACTTGGATATTATTCCCATTGGGGGTAAAGTTCCATTTTACTAAAAAAATGTAATGGATTAAACATTATAAATTGTAACTGATAACTTTGGATAACTTTTCTCTTTTATTCAACTTTTCATAATAAATAAGACATTTTAATCAATTCAATTACAATAATTTAATCAGTTAAAATAAATCTGCATATTTAGTAGAATAATTAAAAATGACTAAGATACCAATAAGAAATAGTAATAGAAATATTTACCCAGTTCGCTCCCTTGAGAATGACTCTGTCATATTTTGAAAGCTGAGCTTCTTGGCAGGTACTGGACCTGTTGTAGTAGACTCACTCTCAGGATCAAAAGAAACAACTTCATCCTGCTTAGTTAATGGTGGGGTGGGTTTCTTAGTAGCAGGCAACAAACTCTGCTGATTCCCTGACAGATCCGTCTTGAAAGGAGACACAGCTCCCCCTATTGGTGGGTAAGTGTTGGTCATGTAATTTTTGGCTAACTGTGGCGCATTACCAACTGAATCATATCCCGTTACCCAACTGACTCTGGGTTTAGATCTTTGCAAATGAGCATTCATTAAACTTGTAGCATCTTGTGCTTTCCATTTCTGCTCATTTGTCATTGCTTTCACATTAGGTGATGTCTTGCCTGGTTGATCTTTTGCAGAGATGAATGGTTTTTCTGGTTTTTGAATCCTTGTAGATGAAACGGTAAAATCTTGTCCATTCTTATTCCATTTCATTTCTGATATCTTGCCTTGCTTTCCTCCTTTCCTTGGTCTTTCTCCTTGTCTGACTTGAATCTGTTTGGAAACAACACTGTCATCTCTTTGTCCTGGTGCTTCTGGGTAATACTTGTTTTCCAATAGCCACAAAGAGTGCAGAATCATCTGTGGATGTACTTTGACCCTGACTGTAATTTTGGACTCAGACATGACATCTCCCATGATAGAAAAGGAATGGTGTTTTCCAGCCCACCTGGTCAGCCATTCCAGCAGTTGTGAAACTTTGGTATATGTCTCACTGTAGTTCAGCCTTGTGTGAAGAAACCACTTAAATCTTGGACTGGCTTGTGCCCTTGCTGACGAGGGAGTCACTGACCCAGATCTCGAGCTTGGTCTCAAATCAGACAAGCTCCTTCCTTGTTGGATTATAGGTGTCACTGGTGTTTGTCTGCCTGAACTTTTGCCAGTGAGGTCAGTAAGACTCCGACTCTTTCTTGGGTGCAGACCAGCAACTGCTTTACTCAAACCTTTAAAACTGACCTTCTGTTTATTCTTCACAACAGTATTTGATGAATCTGTGCCATTCTCTTGGCCAGAGCTGTCAAATCGTTTCTTAGTAATTGGAGTAACAATTGTGACTTTGTTTCCCTCTTGAGAGTGTCCACTGATATTAGTATGACTTTGGCTCCTAAACAGACCTCCTGAAGGTCTTTTGCTCGAGGAAGGTGTTGGCATTGACTGGTCATCCTTATCAATAGTATAAGCAGGAGGTGGACCAGTAGATGGAGAGGGAGACTCTGGTGGCTTGCTGTCACTGGCAGTTGAAGTAAACTGATGTTTTAACTGCAGGCTCAAAACTGCCTTGTGAGCCAGTGACCCTAATTCCTGCTTCCTTAGCTCGGAAGCAAATGGTGACAAAAGAGGACGCTGGTGCACTTCATCGCTGTCTAATAACTTAGAGAAGGTTATTGCGTAGAATGTATCCAGGAAATCTATAAAAGCTTCCTCTCTCTCATGAGGTCTTGAGCCAATCACAGTGGCATCCTTGCCCATTGCATTCTCATCTTCAACAAAACTGACAAATTCATCATAAGCACCCAGGAGTTTCTTTTTCCTTTCAAGCACCCTCTCATAATGGTTGACTTGCTTATGGTAGTAAGTTGATAATGTTTTTCCTTTGGGAGACTTCCCTAACAAATTACTCCTTTCCTTAATGATAGAGGGAGTACTGTCTAAGAAAATCCCCTGCCATTCTTTTAATGTTCTTTCCACTTTATCCTGCAGCTCTGGATCAAAATCATCCAGGTGGCGAAAATGTTCTGCCAAAATGTCTGCCACATCCTGTGTTGGTTGAAGCTCCTTTAGCACAGAGAGAACAATATCATAGATGTCACTCTCATTCTGCAAGAAGTGACTGAATGGAAGCATGTGCAGAGCCCAGTTCAGACTGACAGTGCACTGGTTTAACCAGTCTGTCTCCTCCATCAGGCGTCCAGTCTAATAGGATAAGAATTAAAATCAAACAAATTCTATTTTCAAGTTCAATGAATTTACATACAATAAAATATCAGATCTAATGGATACATAGTGCCTGTTTAAATACTGCCTGTTTGACAAGTCTGAATATTTGATACAGATAACCATGGTATTTTTGATACATTTCTGATACTCATGTCCTAAATAACATTCATTGCATACAGATCTTTCTTTACTGACATTTAGATGTACTATGTCCTCTACATCAGCTAATTTCATACCTGCAAGTATTCCTTGCTACAAAGCACATCATAATCCTTCCTAAGAGCTACAGAGAGTTTTTCTCTGACGTGTAGTAACCAGACCAAGCCACAGAAGTCCCTAAAACAAGCTAGGGTGTGGAGTGTTGACCAATGGTCAGTGTGGCCATCAATAACTGAGACAAGGCTCTGGAAGGTGGTCAGGGTGTCTGGCAGTGTGACCAGGGTGTCCTTCCTTTCACCCTGGAATCATGGGAGGAGAAGACATTATTTAGAAAATGGTAGAAAGGTGACACTCTAAAATCTGATTTATTTTCAGAGATGACAAGATGATTCACAATGAATAAATTAAATTTTGCTACTTCTGATGGGTTTAAAAAAAAACCCAGTGATGAGTTTCACAATTTACTGAAATTTATCAGCTTATGTTTAAATTGTCAAGGGTGGTATACTGTATACAGCTAAATACGAGAAGGACAAATGTATGAATGGTAACATCTCTCAAGCCCACATGCACATAACCACACACACACACACACACACACACACACACACACACACACACACACACACACACACACACACACACACACACACACACACACACACACACACACACACACACACACACACACACACACACACACACACAAGTTTGCAGAAGAATAAGAAATTAGATAAATGTTAGTCCTCTACCTTGATTAAGATATCCTGTATAGGTGCCAGCTCCTTCACATACCACACAGCAGCAGGTAGGGCAGTGTGGGAGGCCCTCATCACAACTGTGATCAGCTGGATTAAACTGGACGTCTCTTTTCTCCTGATCATCTCCTCTCGGACTTCTTCAGACCATTCCTCCTTGAAACAACCAATTTTCGACGAGGTTAATTACCAAATGCAGCATTTTTATTAACTTATGAAAATGATTGAGTAGAAGAGATTTTGGATAAACATTTATTACTATGCAACTTGCATATTGTACATATTTTAATGCTATTTATATTGGGCACCACCTGGTGGGGAAACAGTTATATGTAATACGTCTGAAAGCCTGAATACCACATTCACAATTTTAACAGGCCTTTTTATCTAAATCAGTATCTCTATCACACATTAAATTGTTACTTGTGACTGAGATCCAACCCTTGTATTCTTGTCTACCTACCTCAGAGGTTACTGCTGGCTGTGGACAGTACAGAGGTGGGGCAGGCAGATACACACCCTGGGGAACCAAGGTGGGGAAACTGGCTACGGCCACCTTGAGCCTGTCCAGCAGACAGCCCAGTAGCCAGGGTGTGATGTCCACTTTGGCCAGAGCTCCGGCCATCAGGAGATCATTCATGGTCCGGGTCAGCTGGTCCAGGTTGGTCTCGTCATCTATCTGTAAGGAGGCTGCAAGAGAGAAATGAGTGAGTTATTTTCTGAATGTTTTCTGAAAGTTGCGTGTTTATGGAGGTTCAATTAATACACAGTGAATCTACCACATCAACATCGATCAAGTCTGTATTTCAGGAGTATCCTCCATGACTGCTACTCACCCACAGATGGAGTTTTCTGCAGGGAAGCAGGCTCCTCAGAATTTTCACCTCTCTTGTCACAAGCCTCCCTGACTGGTCTAAGCAGCTTCCTGAACATTGCTTTCATGATAGACATGGGTTTCAGGTCAACAGGGAGACCCAGGATCAGACCAGCTCTGGAAGAATTGAAGAATTGAAAGTGGAGGATGTTAATTATAGGATCAAGATACTAGAAAAGCAAAAAAAAAAAAATCTCAAGTTTCAACTTCATTAAATTCAGAAATGTTATAAACAGATGTGGTGCCCTTTTAAGGCTTTTACATACACATACAAAATACTGAAGATACACACCTCACATTAACATCTGGCTTTATCTTCCTGAAAATGCTGCAGGCCACAGAGAGTACAAAAGCTGTCTTCCAGTCCCCCATCTTACTGGCAAACCACACAGCCTCTGCCAGTGAGCCACACAGTAACAGGTACTCCATGGCCCACTCTGGCGTGAACACAGAGCTCAGGGACTGCAGTTTTATCAGATCTGTAATCTGTCGTTTTTCTATGGTCAGCTGCCTGCAGTGGCCATTTCCTGAAAGTAAATCCCGACATAGGCGTTAAAACCATCGCACATTCAATGAGCAGGGGCAGATTTAGGCCGTCTTCTGGGTCTTCCGGAAGACGGTCAGATTTTCAAGTTTACATTGACGGGTATCTAATTTTTTCTGTTGGAAGACGGTCAAAAATAGAGGATGGATCAACAGAGATAATCGGTAAGACTCTCAGAAAATATATCTGGATCCGCCCCTGATGAGATTCACTTATTCAAATGAGATTCACTTATATTGGCAATAATTTTGACAACAGGTTCATCATCTTTTTGAATTTGCTACCACATGCTGTTGGTAATCTGAATATCATATTTAGGTTAACATCAACTAAGACTCACTGTAAAATTCCTGAGATTCCTGTAAGTGGAGGTATGGCAGTGGCTGTGGAGAGTGGGGAGGGAACACATAGGGGGCACCATTGGTGAAGTAAGCTGCCATGAACCTGGCAAGAGACAGCACCACACTGCGGCATCCACCGGTACCAATAAACGGTATCTCCTCACCAGCAGCTGGGTCCTGATAGGAACGAGTGATAATTATTACCACAAATAAACATGATGAAAAAGTTTATATACAATTCATGACATATTGTAAAATGCTATTTAAAAAGGCTATTTCAATTATACTTGATAAATTTAATCAAAACATTTATGACATCAACTTTAGCTACATAACACAATGCCTATGTGAAAAGTGCAAAAATTGTACAAAAATATTCCAATCGTTCTATTTATTATTTTATTCTTTGTCCTCATTATATATCATTTGCGAACATGTTACCTGAGAAATGTGATCTGGCAAAGTAGAGCTTTGAATGGCACCAAATTCTTCCAGTCCCCTGGCATACCTGACACAACCCTCAGCCTGCTCCAGGGCTGATGACAGATCTCCTTTCAGAACAGTGGTAAACAGAATGGCTAACTGCAGTCTGGTGCGATGGGGACCTGGGATGTTATTGGTATCTAGAAAAGTTTTTCAAAAAATTTAAAAATGACAATAGCAGGAGTACAGTGCACACTGCATCATCCAGTTTTTAGGTTTAAACTTTTTCGCTTTTAATTTGTTACAGCACAGTCTTACTTATTATTACTTTTGTGGATAATACAAACAAAGCATACAGTTTCATTAATAAACCATTTTTTTTCATTTAGTTTTTATAAGTAATACTAGACTAAGAGTAACAACAACAACAACAACAAAAAAAAAAAAAAAAAAAACATTAGAACCCTCTGTCTTGATAATTCAATGCTCCCCGTTTTTTTTTTTGGGGGGGTAACTTAAAAGGATAGCTTAATTTATGCCTCATATTAAGCTGTGCTACACTATCTGAACCTTTCAATAGCATTTCATGTGTCTTTGCAGCAGCAACCAAAATGTATATCTGTGTGACAATTAATCTCAATACTCACCCTCCAGGCCAGCAAGCTGCACTTCCCACTTTTCCAGAGCCTGCTCATGAGCACCCACAATACTCAGCTTGTCCCCTACACAACAAGAACATGGCACTTTTATACACATGTACAGTAATACAGAGACAGAATGACAAAATCACCAACAATCCCAAACTGTTATCGGCTCAAAAGAAAATATCCACTTGTTCTTTGGTTTCCCTTTAATTTTTGAAAGTCAGACTAGACAAAAAATGCTTCTAATTATTCAGTCCATCTTTTTAAGTTAACCAAAAATAAATTTTTCACACCCTCTTGGACTTTTCTTCTGTGTTTATGCGTTTCACATGACCCGTTCCATGCTTGCAACAGCCTCTGGGCAGTGCACACAAGTTGCTTGGCTTTGCGTATCTCTGATCCCTTGGCATTCGATGAGATCAGGGAAGACAAATGCTTAGCAATATGCTTGAGTAGTTTCTTCAAAGTAGGACTCAATCTGAAATTAGAGGGTAATCAACCATTAATGTGTACTCTATTACTGGACATTAAAGATATGGAGAATATTCAGGCAAGAAGTTGCTTTTGCAGCAAGAAAATTAAGAAAGAATATAATCTTATTTGACTCCAAATGATAATGAGGTATCACTTTAAATAACAAAGGTAGATGGGTGAAAAAAGTAACACTCAAACACAACAATAAACAGATGAAACTCATCATTTGACTGGCATTGATATCTAACAAATACCTCCTAGAGGGTCCATTTGTGGTCTGCTTCAATGGCTGAAAGACAACAACAGGCATGTTTCTCTCTCCATCTTCTTCTGATGTTGGCAAAGGGGCTTCTTTCCCTTTCTTTTTTTCTCTAGTTTGAGATCTCCCACCATCTTCCTCAGCTAAAGGTTGAACCACCATTTTGTCACCTCCATCCTCTTCCTTTGCTGGTGGATTTCCCAATGCTTCACCCTCCACTATTTCCACCTCACTGAACCCTTCTAACCTGTATCCCCTCCTTCTCCTACCAACCATCACAGCAGGTTCAACAACATGGGTGCAACAAGCCTGCTGGAAGAAATTTGTTCCATTTGATCTTTCATGTCGACATGGCAGCCATGTGTAAACTTTGTCCAGCACAGTCCGAGCGGTCATCACAATGGCCAAAGCACACCTTATGAGATCTCCCTTATTAGCACCACTGTCTAAACTTTCAGTGGAATGCAAGACACAGTGGACAGCTCTTTGGACAAAACGTAAAGAGCATGGTATCAGGTTCTGACTCAATGTATCAAAGCTAAGCACTGCCAGAACTTTTCTAACAATCTGCAGAACTCTGAGTAGTCTGGGGTTTAGTTTCCCATCTGATGCCTGAGCCCCAGGTCTTGACTTGGCACTGAGACTAGCCTCTGGTGGACTTTTCAAGATAGCTGAGATCAGTTTGACTATATTCAGCAGTGTGCTGAAAGCAGTACGCTCTAGTTCTACAGTCCAGGTGAGGTTACATGACACAATCAAATTCCATGCAGACAGCAGTGCCACCTGTGCTTCATCTACAGCTTGCTGTGTCATGGCAACTGGGTCAAGGGTCAACATGGCCATGCTCTCTGATGTTGCATTAAAAGCATCCTGTTCAGCAAATATAACCTTTCCAGATTCCATGTTCAGTGCTGGACCAAATGGAGTAAGTTTTCCTGTGTTACCATCCAAGCTGGCTTCACTCCCCAATGTTGTGTTGAGTGTACCTTCAAGCTCTTCTAGTTTGAACTTATTTTTGTTTCTGATAGCTGCTGGAGTGCTGGTGGCCTTTATGGCAAGACCTAGTTGCTTCCATTTCTTAGACTTTGACCTGACGGTATCCTGAGATCATATTAAAAGAAGAATTTTTTTTAATAATCTTGATCCATGACATAAACACCTCTTTTAATAGTAGTTTTGTTTAAACACTCTCAATAATTACTTAAGCCAAAATGTGATAAGCATATACAAAATTTTCTTATACATTCACTGATTCAGTTCAATATCTGAATCAATTATCTTTCAGAGCTGGAACTGCAAATGTAAATCAATTGACAAAAAACAATACATATTATACACATAAGCAGTAAATTCTACCACAAACAATACCTTTAAAGTTAGATTCATAGTCCCCCCTAGTGTTAATTGCATATTCTGTTGTTCCTTGATTTTCCTCAACTGCTGGTTGGACTCCTTCAAGAAACCCTTCACCATACGGACATAGGACTGTTCTGGAAGTTCTACACTGTCACTCTGAACATTGTCTGCCAGCTGCAGGACTGTCACAAGGTAGCCATCAGAGCAAAGAAACACAGGAAATTTTGGATGGATGGCCACAGAAAACCTCTGCCTCATGAGGTCTTTGTCAGAATGCACAGAATCTTGTGATTCTGAAGGGTTAACATTTTCCTGCTGGCGCGTTGGGCTAGAAAAAAAAAGAAAGATGTGACAAGTATGAAAACACATTCCTCTAGACAAAAATCCTGAAAGGACTCATTTGAATGATTACGTAAATAACTTTTATGAAAGTGCATAATGCACACTTATATTTTTCTGCAGTTTTTCAGTTTAAATGTTTAACTTAAACAACAAATCCAAGCCCATAATTTTTATCAACCACAAATCATACTGCTTTGACAGAACACATTCTTTTCTTTTTTTTTTAAGATCTCATACCTGATAGAAATCAAAGGATGCAGTGGCAGAAACTGTGCAGGTCCCATTTCCACAGAGCAGCCACTGGTCTGCAGGTGGACAGGCTCTCCCAGCCGACTCAATACACACAGGAATCCTTGCTTGGTCATACAGACCACAAACAGGTCATCTGATGTCCACTTCAGGTCAGAAATCCAGTAAGACCTGCAGTTAAAATTTAAGAAGGAACAAAATTTGAATAATAAACGAGTTCAGTTAATTAGACCCAACTCCTCAAGACATGTCAAATCAACAAATAAATCTATTCTGCATACAGACATGCAAAATCTTTAAAACAAAGTATGTTCTATTTCTCCTTCAATCAAAATCAATAGTTTCTCCTTCAATCATTCTTGTATAAGGGTATACGCTACTCAAGAGATTCATACATTCATACTACTCATACAGATACATAACTAACCTATAGATTTGGTGGATCATCTTAAAATTTCAAAATCACTGACAGCTACTCCTTTATACGTAGAAATGATCATATACATGTCCAAAATATAGAAAAACTTAAAAATTTAAAAAGCACAAAAAATGTCCACACCTTCCTTCCCTGTGAGCTCTAGCTCCACATCCCTCCATATCTGTTGCTATAACAGTGTCTGTCAATGGAGATACAAACAATATCTTTGTGTCATGTGACCTCTTTTGATTGACAGCCACAGCAAGCACATGACCGCCATGTGACTGACATGCAAGAACAGCACCTTTGGACCTGATTGCTTTGCACCTTGGACCAAGATCTGACCATGGGACCTGAAGCATGGTCCATTGCACAGAGTAAGTAGGCTGCCTGTAAAACAAGTTTTGCCATGAAATGCAAGTCATATATGATGCGCGTGCAAAACATTTTCAACCACTTTCTTAAATTCTGTCAAAAGTATCATCATGTAAATTTAGTTTATAGATACATGTGCAAAATAGATATAACAGATATTTTCTCTGATCTCTTTAAAGAAATAATCAAACAAACATTTCAAAACAAAATATCCAAAATGCAAGATATCAATTGATACAGAATGATATTATAGTATAATTGCCTTAACTGCCACTATTACATACCCCAAAGTGTAAATGTTCGCCTGTTCAAACCATCTAAATAGCACTGTGGTGATGATCAGCATGCCATGGCCAGAAAAGGCAAATGAACACTGTAGGCAGTCACCAATAACCTAAAAATGTAACCCTTTTTTTTCAAAAAAAATTTGATGTGCAAGTGCAACCAATCTGTATTGTGTCATCTGTGTACTTCTTATCAGGATGATTCCCCATCTCATTAAGATTAACCATTAACATCAAGTTTTAAATGGAAGTTAAATCAAGTTTTAATTTATACCGACCATTTTAAATTTCAATAAAAAACTGGAAATAAAATGACCACAGCAGACTCTTGCCTGCATATAACAAATTTCATCACATGTTTAAGATGATCAATGCACATTTATTATTCTTTTGGAAGACTGAAACTCTACTGGCAAAGGTGAATCCAGCATGACAACTGTTGCAGAAAAGCGGATTAAAACGGTCATTTCAAAACAAAATAAAGCCTTTGGAGTTTCCTATAAAAATGACAACCTATTTTGTTATACTGCAATAGCACAAAGAAAGTGCCTGGTTTAAAAAACATTAACAAAACATATTAAGACAAATGTATACTTCAAAAATCACCAAAATGCATACCTGATGCTGATAAAACACTGCACTGATACTGGTCTCCTTGCATTGGACCATGGGTAATTCTACAGTGTAACTGTGTTGTATACAAGACCATGTGCCCTGGACATCTGCCTGTCTGGGAGCAAACACATTCTGCTTATGGTTCAACTCCCATAAAAACAGGGTTCTCCTGCCAATTACAACCAGTATTCTTCTGGCATCATTGGAAATAAAGATGGATGGTTTTATGGAGGCTAAAAATATTATAAGAACATTTTTGTGTTTAACTTTTTACCTTTTTTATGTACCACTTTTACTAATGCATTGTAACATCAAAATAACAAAATTGGCAATGACACGAAGTAAAAAAAACTTTTAAGCAACCTCTATTAAATTATCTTACATAATAAATTGACTAAACATTATTTGTCTGTTATCTAATTCCTTTTCAATTAATTGTTCCCTGAGAATTATGTAACATCAAATTAACAACTGAAAATAGTTTCTAATACTATAGTAGTCACAAATAAAATATAAATTATAACTATTCCAAAATAATACTTACTTTCCCCATTCCCTTGGTTGACTAGATCTGGGACACCATGGACAATCTTCAGCAAAGCCTTGTCTTTGTGCCACAAGAACACATCTCCAGATTTTAGCAAACCAACCAGAAAATGGCCTGAAATAGAAAAAAAATCATATTTTAATAAAATTCCAAAAATAACAATCATAAGAATCATCTGAGATATGCTGGGTTTTCATTTAAAAACATGATACTAGGTCATTTTTAGGTCACTTTTTGCAAATATGTGTGAGTCTGCTAGAACTCCATTAACCATGAAAATTATTACAATTTCCATATAATATTATAAGCATGAATATATCAACTGACAAAGTTTTAAAGCTAATATAAAAGCATTTAAGAAAATAGATTCATCCAACCATATCATCATAACATCTACCATTATCTGAATGGTTGAGAGCACTTGTATCCTCTAGCAGTTGATGTAATTTTGGAACTTTCTTCTTGGTTTTCCCTGATGGTAGAAACAGCACACTGGCTCTGTGTGTATCAAGCAGAAACAAACTAGCACTGCTCTGAAATCAAAGTTTTTAAATGCAAATTATTAATGGTGTACATGTTTCACTTTTATTTTCCTGCCATATTTAGACTTTTGTATCATACCTTTACTGTTTTGTGCAAAATAGTGACCAGCAAACAGGTCGTGTAATGCAATTCTTTATCAATGAAATGTAACGGTTATCATCAATTGTTAATTTTATACAAAATAACATTGGATAGTAAAAAGAGTCAAAGCTCAAAGCCAAAGATTTATTCCAATTCTGATACATAAAGGTACAAGATAGGGTTAAATGAATCAGTAACAGTAACATGTACTTACCTCCCCCAGCCAGGCAAACCTTGGCCATGGTTTCTTTCTTTTGATGGCAGTGGATGCCAAAACTTCTAATTCCAATTTCATCCTTGCTCCCTAAGGTTATGTGTGACTATCTTTCATTGCTGCCTTACTACAATGCCGTGTGACTCCGACTGGATTTAAGTCTGTTTAAAAACAATGTTCAGCTAAAGTGTTTGCACTTACTGGATATGTTATTACATTACCTATTAATTTCATTTCATGTGCATGTAGCATTGTACAGAAGACGTGCCAACTAAACACAAACTAAGGAAAATATAATTACACTGATACAACATCATGTTTGCTGCCCCTGTTAAAAATACACCTGAAGTATGACAATGGCAGAAATAGGTTACAGGAATTTGTCTTCATAAGCATATGTACAAATAAAAATATATGGTGAAAATAGTTAAACTTCCAGACAGTTCCAGTTGCAATTATTATATCTATCGAACATCGGTAGCAGCGAAAAAATGTCTACCTATGGTCGCATTTAACCAGATTAAAAGAAAGATTTACGTCTTCAATTTAAGCATCTGAACACAAACAATAACGAAATCGACAGCAGTGTGGAATGATGAGTGATGACTCTGGTCTCCCCCTCCCCCCTTCTCTTCCCCCTCTCCCCATTTCCCACCCGGTTTTAAAAGATCTAGACCATAATGTTATTCGGAGCAATCAAGCTGTAAATGAAAAGAATGCAGAAATATCAATATAATGAGAACAAATGCAGTAACTTCATAACTAAAGACGAAAAAAGAATGATAAATCATGACAGCACAGATTTCCTTACCACGCGCCATTGTGTTTTGAAAATATGTTGGCTATCCCACAATTCCAAAATGGTCAAACCGAAAAGGAGGCGTAGAGGGAATTCCCCTGCTGTGAAAATTCCCAAACAACAACATTAGTCGGTCGCGCGGTGTCGGTCGTTGATATCATGATCACTGTCACCTGATTTATTAACTGTAATTTACCATTGTTTTATTCCCAGAGACTAATATCGAAGAGGTGAGTATTAATTTTCATCTTTAATTTAATTAATAAAGAAAAACCATGCAATTTATTATTTCGTCTTTGCCGTTGAGTGTTTAAATGGTGTTACGCTAAACACGTGGCTTCATTTTATGAAGTGAGACAAAAGGGTTTTTAGGTTTTAATTATATTTTATCTTTCTAAATTAGAGAGTCAACATAACAGAAGTCATACATTTATGTATTTGCCTTAAAATTTGCCTTTTAGGTCCGGGATACTGAAGCTATGGCACAGGAGAAGTCGACACAGATTTGGAAGACGGTATTGCAGCAAAACCTAGTACACATAGGCCATTCCATGAAAACTGATCGACTGGTCCCTTACTTAATACAACATGACATTATTTCTGATGATGATATGGACACTCTTAAGGACATAGGAACTGAAACAGAGAAGGCGGAGTGGCTGATAAACCATCTTAGAAGATATGCATCTGATGAAGGATTCAAAATCCTGATGTATGCGCTGAGAGAAGAAAGACAGAATCATGTTGCTGATTTTATTGATGACAAGCTAAAAGGTACATTGATAAAATGCACATCTCCTTCATTAAATAACCACCCCTCCACAATAATCCTAAATAAGTAACAGCTAGAGCTCAATATTTTAATATGGACATTGCAGGTACAGTACTATAGAAAGTATTATAATGTATATATTTTCAATCTTTATATGTTTGATGTGTTTGATATGCCTGATCCATTGTGGGTGTGTTCATAAAAATGTTGTTTATCACAACTGTCATACTAGCGTGTGATGCACCTTGTGATTAACAAATGAGGTATCTTTTGACAATGAACAGATAATATGCATGTGATTATGTATAATCAATTCAGCTAATTTGAACAAAAATTCACAAAAATTGAAATTTTTTTTAAAATCCGTGCTGTGTATAGAACTGATACCTCTAATAAAATTAAACCACACCTGATGACAATACTAGTACATTCTCCATGTTTTTTTTTTTTTTTTAGAACTTACAATGACTACAGCTGAAAATAAATTCCCCATGTCCAGATACGCTGATGCCATTCAGGTTCCACTAAATATAACAGATAAAGATAAAAACTATGAGAATCCACTTACAGTAATTTCTGAGGTTGGTAAATGTATTTGTTAACCAATAAAATGCTCTATGAATAGAGCATTATTTTATTTACATTTAATTGTAGATTTTGATGAATTAAGCTAGTAAACATAAGAATCTGTTTGTTGATTTTAGTGCCAGGCAGTTTTATATCATAACATGGTTATAAATTTTAGCATACCAGATATTGTTACCTTCCATTTGTGTTATTTTATGATAATGGTTTGAAAATCGCAACTGATATTTTAAAAATACATTTTCTGATTGGTTATTGAGCAAAGATAAGTTTATTGAGTGAAAGTGAATTAATATCCTTTATCTTGTAGTTGAGTGAATGATTAATCAAGTGGTCAGTTGTACATTCACTGAAATAAATCATTTAACTTCATGTTTCATAGTGTCCATCAGTGGGTTTATGTAAACACCACAAAGCAGGGTGTACAGAAGTTGTGGCCAAGGAAAATCTGGACTACCATATTGAATATGAATGTCAGTACAGACCCACCCCCTGCAAGAACTGTGGCAAGGAAATGCCCTTGAATATTATCACTGAGGTACACTGTACAATTTTAATTTATGAAATCTCAAAAATCATTGCATTATGTTAATACTTTGTAATTCAGTTTAACTATTGCTGGAAACTAATATATTCGGACTCACACACAATACCCTACAACCCACACACACCATGCATTTAATCTTTTCAGAATAACTGTCTTGGATCATGCAGACAGATTGTTACTGTTACAGCAATACAATTAAATTGATTTACTTTTACAGATTAGCACCTAGAAAAATAGAAACATCAGCATTTTGGTACAAGTTCATTTAGTAAGGTTTTGAGCTATTGTTGTGGGAGTGTAATTATATATTCATTTTTTCAGCATTTTTCAGTCTGTTCTGGCCAGATGTGTGTCAAATGTCCTTTATGCAGCAGAGATTTCTCTTTTTCTGAGGTAAATGGCTCAATTTCTTATAGGTTTTTTCACGTCTTTTATGGATTTTTAAATGAATTTCTTTATTGTAGCTTGTTTTTGAGAATAGATTCAAATCTTTGTTGTTTCTATTTTTGCTTAAATAGAGTCTTCTTAACAAATTTTTTCATAGATAAAAAGGCATGTTGCACAATGTCAAGGAAACTGTCAGAAACCATGTCACTTTTTCAAGAAAGGATGCTCCTTCAAAGTAAGTGAGGTGGTTTGCACCCATGCTAAAAAACTATCAAACAAGTCGTTTAAGGCTGTTGTGGTGTATTTGCACTAACACACTCACACATATAAGTGTAAATACCTATCCTTTACAGAAATCTGTCATATCATACTGCCTCAGTTTGCCTTCCAGTAATTGAATGAATGTGGACATACCCCTGGTATTTGTATGAATAGAATACAAGATCATAATACCATTTAATACTACAGATTGCATTTTAGTTTAATTTCTTGTGTCTTTTAAAGTAATATAAAAGAAAGTTAATTTGTTAACAAGTTCAATATTCCTCCCTCCCAGGGATCATCAGCAGACATGGATCAGCATAACCAGGTTTCTTCAAGCCAGCATATGGAACTGCTTCTAACCCACATTGAAGGCATGGATAATAATTATCAGAAATTGTTGGTGAGGACTAACGAATGCAGGTTTTTATGATTAGCACAGAGGCCATAAATAACTAATTATCAATAGATAGACTTTGTTGTCAAGTATTTCTAATATCTGTCCTACTGCTGTGTGAGGACAGTACATGTAATCTTATTTATTTCTTCTGCATGTAATGTTATATTAGTCTTTTTGCATGCATTTCTCATGTAAGCTTGTTTTCCTTTGTTTACTTCAAACAGTTTTATTTACCTCATTCTGATTCATATTTATGAAAAATAACAAATTAAGCTAAAGATGAATTTGCAAATACTGATTCATTTTTGTCATCTTCAGAGTAAAATCACTGAAATTGAAAGGACACTGAAAAAACCCAGTACACCACCTGGAAGGAGAGATTCTTGCATACAGACAAATGGATGTTGTACAGAGGATTTGCAGACTGCAGCTGTGACCTTACCAGCCTCATTAGCTCCAGGGCCAAAATACCGTGAGTAACTAGCAAATTGAAGTTATGTTTTACATGTACCTGATTGATAACACTTTGAATTTTGTGTTATTAATTTTTGATTCTTGAAAGTTTTTTAATACTAACAAATTACAGTAATGAAATATTAGCTTGCTGTTCTTTTTTTTTTGTGTGTAATTTTCAAGTACTTAAATCTTACATTTGATATAATTTCTACTAAAAATAATTTTCATGACAAATATGGCAGTGACAAAAATTACATTTTATATCTGCATAGATGTTTTAAATGTATGTCTGTCTGTCTAATCTTAGGAGGGCGTTGCATGAGTTCCCCAACTGTTATCATCAGGCCAGTGGCAACTGTTAGCCCATCTCAGTCAAGGGCAACTTCACAAACTTCACTGAAACTTGGTAAGTATTGAGGCTTGTTTGTCTGTTCTCTTTTTCTTCTCTATTAAGTCTAATTTTGTCAAAATCAGGGCCCCTCAACTCGAAAGCATCGCGTTTTGCGAATAGCGATATCACATAGAGCTAGGCTACAGTGTATTATATGGGGTGAGTATGGGCGAGTTATGGATTTGAGACGCTTGCACTCCGTCGCAATGCATGATGCTTTCTAGTTACGGGGCCCAGTTTAACCAATTAAGAAGAATCTAAGGACCTCCTACCTCCTTTATTTAGTCAAGCCTTTTAAAATCGATGTTATACTATGTATAACAGTTTTAAAAACAAAAGGAAATTCTTTAAACAGGAATCACAAAGGCATGTATATGATATCACTTAGAGTATGCCACACAGACATGGCAATGGAAGCATGGGGCTAGGCACAAGTTCATTTACTGCTCACAGTAATAACGTACAGGGAATAATGTACTGTGTGTGTATTATAAGTAACATTTATACATTTGAAATAAGTTAAAGCTTGCTTTTTCTAATTTCAGAGGATTCGGATCAAAAGAACATGAGCAAAGAGCCACAAAAAGAACCAGAACCACCTATACCAGAATTACCCAAAAATAGTGCTGGTAGAAGCCTGTTGAAGTGTTTTGTCAATTTTGTCTGCAAAACTTTATCTAGCCAAACTGTTTAATTAGATTGGAGAATCTGAACCAGTAGTAGATATGGAATTTTTGTTTGTTGCAATCTATGCAAATAACTGTCCATTTTCTAGAGAAAATAAAACCAATAGTTTAGTCCCTTTTCTCGTTCTAAACAGATGTCTCCTTTTGACAGTTGTCTGTCTAATGAAGTTTACCTCACTTTAGCTAATGTTAAACTTCAGTTCTTCAGAGAAAGTTCTGTGCCCATGGTGACTGCTTGATCAGAAGGTCATACTGCGAAGTCTTTAGTGTAAATGGGCCCAAAACTAGGACCAACTGTAAAACTAGTGTGTTGAAGTCATTTAATTGTCAATGTACCTTATGCTTTTGGTAAGAAAACCACTGCACTTGCAACACCAAACTCGTTATACCTGGACACTTGCATTTATTAGATACAGGTAGCTTGATTTTAATATTTAAATGATTTTTCATAAAAATTATAGTAAATGTAACAATCATGTTTCTTCCATAATCAACCTGGTAGGTTATATTTTAAGTATATTGAAAATAAATGAACAAAATGTTCTTTGAAAATCTTTTATTTTTTATTTTAGTCAATATGTCATGAGAGACACATTTGTCCCTCTTACAATTTCTTCTCAAGATCCAGTCCTTATAAATATATAAATATACAGCTAAGCTTTTCATCACAGAAATAAAGTCACAGTGCCTGAAAGATATACAGTACCAGCACTCAATATAACATTACATAAGATGGTTAATTTATATAATTATATCTTCCTTAATATATTAATTTTTATATTAGCAGCAACATTTTTGTCTTTTCTCCAATAGTGCTTGAAATAACTAAATGTATTACAATAACATAACAACAACAAAACAGGCAAACAAAAATATTTCCATGGTAGAATAGAAAGCCCCAAATCCTGGGTATGTTTGATGGACCATGCCACAAACTGCATTTCCATAATGTACATGGTCATTGCAGCCTGTAGCCTATTTGCCACAGCCAATCATGTTTTCAAATTTACATTTATTCTGATCTCCTTTTTCCACTTCCCATATTATTCTTCAACTTAAATAAACAAACAGATAAATAGTGATAATGGCAAAAGAGTGTCATATGGCCTGCAGCCATTAGTACTGGTATATAGTATATTTGTATTCTGAATGCATTTGGCAATATTTGGTAACACTGAAAATAACTGATTTTATTTTTGCCAAACCACATATGCCAGTGTTTTGTTGGTCCCTTTTTTGCCATTGTCATATTACATGCAATCAGGCAAAAGTGATTATGTAACTTATTGGTGCCAAATCTTATATTCAGTAACATCTGTTTACTTCATTTGTGACCTCTAATTTATACCATATTTATCATAAAGCTCTATTCGCATAAAGAATAGACTTTAAAATGAAATACAAATATTCAAATTAAATAAATGGGAGGAAAATAAGGAGGGTATAAAATGTTTTATCCATTTCATAAATAAATTGCTTTTCATCAATCAAATTAAGTAACAATTTGTGCCCTTAGTGTCCAAATCTCCTCTTAAATGACTTTCAAATTTACTTAATGTTATATCCTTTGTGACATTTAGATGATGTTTGTGCTCTGGCTTTCACCAGCCTGGTTCCCATAACTGCTTCATTGGTCCCATGCAAAATAAACTGATCCCATATATAAATCTCAAAATGTGGAACACCTAAACAATATAGCACATGAGCCTCCCATTACACATGTGCTCAGTACTGTATTCTAATCGAAGTCTTCCCACAATTTTCCATATATTCTCTCCAGAACCCATCTCAATGTTCAAGATTAAGGTGATGCAAAAAAGATTTATCAAAGTGGAAAGTGTCAAAGGATTCTAACCCATTATGATATCCTTTGTTTCCTGACACAAACCAAACTGCATTCAATTTGGCAAGTACATTTTTGTGTCAACAATTACACTTCAGTCATGTCAGACCATCTGCCTAGATTCCCTTCCACTGCAGGTTCATCTTGAGCCTCTTCATAACCAGTTTTCATCTGCCATATGCGAATCTGGGTATCACTGGACAGCAGAAAAAAAAAACAACAACAAAGGCTAAGTAATAAAACTGAAGTTAGACATAAACAGAAAATGAAGAAAAAAAAAAAAAACATTTAAGGCATTGGGGAAATTTTCTGACTGAAAATACTAAACTGAAACAGATTGTGAATAAAATTTTGATACCTAATGCGCAATGTAAACTTCACATTCTCCCATCATTCAAAGAAATATTCCAAAAAATATGTTTTTGGTTTAAATGATATTCACTGCCATATATCTCCATTATGAACCCCTGTGCTCACCATGAAATTTGAATTTTTTCACAACTAATGAGCATATAATATTTGGAACAAAGTATGCCAAAGTCACTTTATTCTGATCAATCACAATTTATTCTGATTCAATTAGAGACTTCCTTTCTTTTGATACAAAAAATTGCCCCTTTTGCCTTTAAACACATAGGATAAATCAAGAAAACAAGGCAGCAAAGCTGTCAAATGTACAGACAAAAAGCAGACAATAACAATGCACAAAAAAAGGTTACTGTCAATTCTGATGCAAAAGTACATTATGCTTAACTGCAAATTCAACATCAAATTTTAATTATGCTCAACAGGTAATACCAATGTAAGTGAAATGTGTAACAAGCGTAAGGCTTCAGGCCCATGGGAGTTTAAGTTCACACTTTGAAAATGCCAGAATGAGAAAAATGAAAATTTCACATAAAACTGCTTAAATTCAATAATAAATGATAACCCATTTGAGCTGGCTTTCTAATTTGAACTGCATGCCAATCCTACAAATCATACTTGTAAGTTGAAAATAATAATAAGTAACATAGTTTTCTTTTCATAATGTTTGTAGTAGCAGTGCAAAAAGATTTTTGTCAATTTTGATGTANAAAAAAAAAAGAAAAAAAAAACATGCATGCTTTACATCTTGAAGCTGCAACATAGGTGGAACCAAATGTACACTGAAATATTCAAGCTTTGAACTAAAAGCATGGGTTATCAAATGAAAAAGCTGAAAATTCAGGTCTGGAATGTTCATCTGTTCCCTGTGCATGTGGCACATCAGTGTCTGCTGTTCAAATAAACTGTTCCCTGTGAGCATGCTGTGCATGATGGTTAGCATTTTGCCACAGTCTTATGTCAGTCTCGCTGAAACAGAATGGAAGTGCAAATATGCATTGTACCAGAGAGAAGTAAGCAATGACTAGGCAAAACTGTGACTATTTACAAAGGTTAACAAATGATTATCAAAATATTATGAAAAAAATATAGATATAAAGTTTATATACTGAAAGGATTGTAACACACATTTCTATATATGAGTGCAAGTTTATTCAACAGTATGATTACATTTGTTTTGGTTCATCCTCAGTATAGAAGATTTGCTTTCTTTGAAGACATTTAATCAAAGAAAACTTTTACCTGACCTAATACTGTCTTCTTAAAACCAAATGAACAACATAAGCTAACCATAAAAATATTTTACGTGTAGCTCAATCTTAAGCTCCCTATTACATGAAAATTTGTTAACTGTTTTTTCAACATTTATCAGTAAAGAAAAAAGGGCAGTTACTCACTTGGAAGCCGTGAATATGGTGGATGAGTTGGTAGTTATTGCATTGATAGGACTAGAGTGGGCCTTGATTTCTGCCATCTGGTGGCAGTCCTCTATGTTCCAGAGTTTCAGGAAGCCAGCTCTACAGCCACTTAGCAGACCATTCTTTCCTGGGGTAAATGCCATGGCACATACCCAGTCCTTGTGGGCATTATTCATGGACTGAAGTGAAAAAAAAAACAACAATAAAAAATTGGCACAATACATTTAATTCAAGAAAACTATATCACATTAAATCAAATGACAGAGCTGCAAAGTTGGCAGGACCAGCAAACCCTGCTCATAGTTACCTCTAGGTTGTTATGATAAATCCAAGACTTAGAATTTTTATCAATTATATTTATTGCCATGACTTTAAATCCAATTACTTTGAAAAAGTTAAGGCTGACCAAAGTTAATAAACAGAATATTATATTTGTCTTTCATAAAACTATATACCACATTAATTATCGTAAAATGCAATAACTTACCTGTTTTAAAGAATTTTCAGTAAGGTCCCATTTCTTAATACACATGTCCCTGGAGCCAGAAAACAGACAGTCTCCATACAGGGCCAGACTCTGGATACCATCATAGTGTGGGGGCTCCAGGTTCAACTTGGGGGTCAGAACACCCACAGAGTTCTCAGGGACCTCAAATACCTGGATATTAAAAGAGTTCAATGGGAGATTAAAAATAAAAATAAAGGGAGTATTTTTCACACACTAAGAATCCATTCTTCTATTCTTTTATAAAGTTAAAAAACCACTCTTGTACATATCACACCCTAATAATGAAAGTGATAACTGACATATATTTCCTGATAAAAGACATAACTCTAATAAAAGACACAATGAATACAAATATATTTATGAATTAAAGGACAGCGCTGCCACCAAGACATGTAGCTGTTTTATAATAAATTTAAACTAATAAGACCAAGCAATAATTGTGTTATGTAAAATCATATCTATAATAAAGCATATATAACCTTAATATAGTGATCCTTGGACCCAGTGACCACAGTGGCAGACTCTCCCTCCTCAGTCTCATCTATAGCCAGCACCATCACTGGGGCTTGGTGACCACCACTGAACTTGCCTACCGCGTTAAACCTGGAGTGGAAGCAGAACAGCTATTGTGTCGAGGTGAATCCAAATGATTAGGGATATTTTTTCATTAATTTTGCAAAGGTTCTACAAGCTAGATTTAATAGAAAAACTTCAATCAAATTCATATGAATTAGTATATAAAAGCCTAGCCCCCTTCCCCTACCATTTTTCCTTTTAATGTCTCTTTTTCTTGTCAATGATGAACAAATATGGATACCTTGCACCCAGAATTTAAATATATTCATTCCCTGGTTGAACATTTAAATTCTATTCCAATCTCTACAGAATCTCTACACACCTTCTCAAGTCCCACAGTCTGACCAAGTTCCCTGCTGCTGAATACAATACTGTCCCATATCTGTTGAGGACAATGTCATTGACAATCTGCTCTCCTTGTGGTACCGCTACTTGGCGTCCTACGGTGCCAGTGCTGGAAGTGGAGCCTTGACTGGTCAACCCTGAGGAACTGTAAGAATTACACAATTATTATTATGCTAAAAATTATAGTCTCTTGGTATAGAAATCATTACTAAGGCACCTAGATGTTCATGTGAAAAATGACAAAACATGCAGAATGAGTAACAGAACATGACACTCTAGTTACATTTGATCTCTATAATATTCTTATTATACAAGGCAGCAAAGCTGTCAAATGTACAGACAAAAAGCAGACAATAACAATGCACAAAACAGGCTACTGTCAATTCTGATGCGAAAGTACATNGGCGACAGGGACGGCGACGGCGACGACAGACGCAGGTGATGGCAATATGTACAGACACATCTGTGTCTGTACATAATAAAAAATAATAATGACTGTGTTATAATATTAACTCATTAATTTAAAGTCACCAATATTTTGCTGCTGTTACGGATTTTAAAGGGATGAAACCTAAATAACTGTGAATGTGCCCAAGTACCTTCTGTTCTGCCAGAGAGAAAAGGACAGATTTCATACATTATGTTTATAAGACATTACAGAATTTCGACCTTAAACATAAAGCACACAGATACATACCTTAATGTCTTAATACAGTTTTGGGTTTTGTCTCGGATGTCCCACACTTTGATGACAGAGTTGCAGACACTGAAAACAAGCCGCGTGTACTCAGAATACCGCACACATACCACATTATTGGGGTGGTCTCGAAGGGTGACTATGTCCTGTCCTGTCGCTAAATCCCACACCTTAACAGTGCGATCTGAAATTGGTTATAGATGCAGGCCATTAAATATTGCTATAATCAAGTTTTGAAAAAAAAATTGGGTATTAACATGAATAAAAATATTAGAACATTATTATGTAGTAAACATCAAAGGGCAATTATGCATTCAATATCAATAACATATATGCATCTTTAAATGTCTCACACTGTTGCTGCTTTCTTGGCTGCAGGATGAAATAAACATTCAAGCTGGTTATATTTCATAGATTATCAATACTAACAGAAACAAACAGACATTCATTCCACAAGTAAAAAGGTTCATTACACAGCATACATTTCTATATCAGAGGCACTTCAATACCTAAATCAACCACAGAACATGCAACAGCACCATAGCAAAAGACAGTCACTTCCTAGATTCTGTCTAAAAATGCCCAGTGTTAATTATGTATCAAGATGCTGAACATAATTTTTGTCTCACCAGAATTCCACTCAGATTAAAGAAAGCATTTTCGTCCACCTCCCTTACCTTTGCTACTACTAAACAGCACATCATCAGTGGCAAAGAGTGACAAGATGGCTTTAGTATGCCCAGAAGCTGTGTAAACACACTCTAGTGGACTGGGACGACCACTGGTCTGGCGAATAGAGCCTCCATAGGGCTGGATACTGCCCCTGAAATACAACACATCAAAACTATTACACAGTCCCTTAAAAGTTTATATGCTTTATTCTAAAGATGAGATGAACTATCATCAGGATAGACATTCCATGGTAAATGTCCCACCCTATAATAATTTTTTACATGTCCAAAAACCAACAGACTACCTGGACTTTTGAGCATCTGCCCTACTTAACATTACAAAAAAAGTTTTGTTTTAATCAATTTTTAAATTGATAGAATATTGATAATACCAATCACTTTATCAATCAGAGGAGTTCAGCTGTGAAGTGAGTTGTAAACTAAATTCTTAATTTCTAGGATCTGGTGAGCTAGGCTGTGTATTACCGGTGAATATGGCTGAATTCTTACCTTTTAGGATCTGGTGAGCTAGGCTGTGTATTACCGCTGAGTCAAGCTGAATTCTTACCTTTTAGGATCTGGTGAGCTAGGCTGTGTATTACTGGTGAGTCAAGCTGAATTCTTACCTTTTAGGATCTGGTGAGCTAGGCTGTGTATTACTGGTGAGTCAAGCTGAATTCTTACCTTTTAGGATCTGGTGAGCTAGGCTGTGTATTACTGGTGAGTCAAGCTGAATTCTTACCTTTTAGGATCTGGTGAGCTAGGCTGTGTATTACTGGTGAGTCAAGCTGAATTCTTACCTTTTAGGATCTGGTGAGCTAGGCTGTGTATTACTGGTGAGTCAAGCTGAATTCTTACCTTTTAGGATCTGGTGAGCTAGGCTGTGTATTACTGGTGAGTCAAGCTGAATTCTTACCTTTTAGGATCTGGTGAGCTAGGCTGTGTATTACTGGTGAGTCAAGCTGAATTCTTACCTTTTAGGATCTGGTGAGCTAGGCTGTGTATTACTGGTGAGTCAAGCTGAATTCTTACCTTTTAGGATCTGGTGAGCTAGGCTGTGTATTACTGGTGAGTCAAGCTGAATTCTTACCTTTTAGGATCTGGTGAGCTAGGCTGTGTATTACTGGTGAGTCAAGCTGAATTCTTACCTTTTAGGATCTGGTGAGCTAGGCTGTGTATTACTGGTGAGTCAAGCTGAATTCTTACCTTTTAGGATCTGGTGAGCTAGGCTGTGTATTACTGGTGAGTCAAGCTGAATTCTTACCTTTTAGGATCTGGTGAGCTAGGCTGTGTATTACTGGTGAGTCAAGCTGAATTCTTACCTTTTAGGATCTGGTGAGCTAGGCTGTGTATTACTGGTGAGTCAAGCTGAATTCTTACCTTTTAGGATCTGGTGAGCTAGGCTGTGTATTACTGGTGAGTCTGGAGAAGACATTTTCTCCCCTGTTCACACTCCTACGAGATGCTGACGGAGAAGATGGAGGGGTCAGGTCAGCACTCTCTCTGAAAAAATGAAAAAAAAAAGAGATTTTTAAACCAGACTTCACAAACTTTATCTTTTTTAAAGCATTAAAATTTATAGTTATTTCCCCCCACCCCCCCCCCTTTTTTTTTTTGTAGCATCCCTCAAGTGTCCACTCTAGCTTGATCATTAAATATCAAAACAATCAATTGCTAATGCTATGTAGTGCAGTAATGCATACAGTCCCTCTGTTTCTATGGTTTTCATAAGAGTTTATGATTACATTCTACTTCAAATCATTTGTACAGAATAGGTTATTGTAACTTGTTCTTTCATGTCAGTCTAATAATGAATGTTACCGAAGTATTAAGCACAGAGTAAATGGATACAAATATAACCTTCTGTCAACTTAGCATAAACTCAGTCACCTTCTTGGATATTTACAGAAGAATGGATATGAATTGGTTGGTCAAGAAACACTTAATAAAACATTATACTGACAATAATTGTGTAAGTACTTTGAATGGGTGCTCAAATATATTAAGAAGGGCAGAAGGGTAAACCACTTCTTTGAGTGATCAAATAACTTCTTTAATATGTGAACATACAGATTTGACCCGAACAGTGATTAAAAAGGAAGAAAAGGGGAAAAAGATTTATATTTTCATAATCAAGCAAATGTACTATTTCTTTAAGTGGTGAAATAACTTTTCAACATAATCACGTTATCAACATCATTTCATTTCATGTGAGTAATTAACTTTTATATAGATTTTCTATGCAGGGCATAATCTTTGCACATTTTGTGTATGAATACTACTCTTAATTTTTTCCATGAACTAAAAAAAGTTCAACTTTATTTTCCAATGCAACACTGTATTAAAATTTTCATAAACAATTCTTCACCTGATTCCAATACTACATCACTATTGCCTATTATTTTCAATGAGCAAAATAACAAGCACCATTACATATAGATCTTGTCAGGCATTTCTTTAGAACTACTTTGCTACTCAATTTATTCAGTCTCAGTGTGTTCTCCTGTCAAATACGGGAATGTTTGTGTGAGGAAACTAGTTTTCTTTTCACTTGTTGACCCCTAATTCTTCTTCCAATTACACAAATATTAACACTGGTCATTGACATTGAGCAATTCTAAATACAACCACCTTTACAATGACTTCTTTGCATTCAGAAAGTTGTGAGAAAAGAGAGAACTGTTTTATTAATTTACCCACAGATGAAAATGTCTCAATTTCTTTTCAAACCCAAGTGGTGTTTTGCGTCACATTTGCCCCTAACGACTCAGGGTATTATAGTACCAGGGTATGGTGTCCAGTCAAATCAATAGGAATATTTATTGATCCTCTTAAAATCACTGTTCCTTGTTGAATCAATACAGAAATGGTGGAGTATGCCAATGAACTCTCATCAAACATGCAACACCTATTGATCTTTGCTGGAAACTTCACTAGAGTTCAATTCTTTTCAGTGTTGTTGTCTTGGAACGATGTCTGGTGTTTTTAATTAACTCACAAAACAGGATAAGGTTTTAAGTGTTTTTTTCAACTCATAGTGAAAAAGCCAATCACTGCTTCAATTAAGTTGCCAATGTGCAGTCAATTGCCGATATTTAATCAAAGATGGGACAAGACTGTACTTCATAGCTGAAACTTCTGATTATCACCACAAAGAGTGCCAATTTCTTTCACATCAACAGAAAATGATGACTGCACTGATTGGGCAACCAAGTTTTCAACTGCTGAAAGAACACCATGAACACGAGTAAGTCTGCCGAAAACTTTTCAGAGGAAATGCTCAACCCAAGAGGACCTTAAGAAATTCAATAATGAAAAGATACTACTGCTCTCCTTACAATGCCAAATGCCAAGATGGATTCCTGAGTCTTAACTTCGGTAGCATTAATGGGGAAACCCAATCGCATCAGCCAGGACGAATATGGAAAAATGGGAACCGCCTGCCAAATGGGGTGAAATTTCCTCGCCTAGATCATAGCGATTTAACAGCACAATCGAGCAAGATTAACTTAGTACAGAGGGAACCCTCTCCTTCGAAACAGTCACCATTTTCTCTCCTCCCCAGGGAGATCACTCTAGATTCTAAAAGCAGTAAGACAAGCTCACCTCAGGGTAGCAATGGCAGCAGCATTTCTTCAGTGGACACAAAGCAGACTAAGACTCACCCAAAGAGGAAAAAATTGAAATTTCCAAGTCTTGGAAAAAAAGCATCGAACAAAAAAGTTCATTTTGCTGATGAGCTATCTGTGAAGGGACAAACAGAGGCAAAGTGAAATCGTTGCTCAAAAAGCCCTCATCTGATTTTTAAAACTGCTCAAAATGGGATACTAAGTATGTAAAATACAATTATGAACAATTCTGAAGTCCAAAAACCTTAACTTTATGCAGAAATACTTCAAAGCAGTTGCAGCAATACTGTTACAGTAAGAGAGTTTAAATCACCTTTAGGGTACAAAGATGGCTCAAGAAGCGCAATGTAAATGTGTCACTACATGTGAGAGATAGTGAGCCCCTGCAAATATATTTCTTAAAAATACTCATAGAGATAATGCCAGTTTGCAAAGAAGTTAAAGGGAAGAATAATATGACATTGTTTATCACACTAAGGAAACCATATTTTAGTCATGACATGTAAGTAATTTTAAGGAGAAAATGTATCCTGGTGAATATGATAATGTTGATCACAGTTGATGTGCACATCTCAGCCATGACATCTAAGAAATGTTACAGAAAAAATATGCAAATTGCCAAACCAACAGTGTTTAATGCTGATTTCAACTAAACCTGTGATATGCCACAATGGAACTCCTGAATGTATTATCATGACAGACATTGTATGATACTGTTGCTTTGGAAGTAAAATATTTTTTGATTGCTCAGAAAAATGCGTAGTTCGTGAATACATTGTCTTGTGCATAAAACTTACAATCCACCATAAAAATTTTAAATCTTCACTCACATTTTTTTCTTTTAACAGCGGTATAATAACAGTTTGACAAGGAAAGCAGAACTGCTAACTCAAGTTTTCTCGATAGCTTGCCATTAGTAATCGTGTACTGTGTAAATTTAGTACGTTTGAATCTTATAACATTGTCTTACACCTTTCTAAATCAAGACTAGGTTTTGTTTAGTCATGCTAAAATTTCTATGTAATTCTTCATAAAGTTATAGCGTCATGAGTCAATGGTCAACACTCAATGTCATAAGTGATGATTTTGACTGCAAAACTGAGTTTATTCTTATCAGGTAACTCAGCTTTAAAACAATTTAAGTTCTTTCACATCACCTGTCTCTTGTGCCCTTCTTACAGGTATGGACTAGGGCCTGGGGGGGGGGGCGTGCATGTAGGTCAGAGGGTGTAGGTCATACACCATAGAGTCATTCCTATGGCACAAAGCACAAAGGTTTATGAAATGTTAAAAAATTTGACAGAATATTTAGTTGTTTTTGCAATTATATTCATTTCTTTGAGATGCAACCTGAATAATATAACTTACACAGAGTTTTGCCTGGAAGTGGAATTCATCATGGCTTTCCTCCTGAGGCTAGGGGAAGGTTCTGGGACTGGCCTGCTGGCAGGTTGAGCAGAAGGAAGACCGTCTCCTGAACGTCTTCCACTGGTGGCAGGACCTGTTGAACTGCGTGGCAAGTTTCCTATACCATCATCTGTTGGTTCCTCACCCTTTGTCATTCTATTAAATCAAATTATTCAAAATCAATTCACTAATAACTTTTCATTTTATTACATAACAATAATAGCCAGATATTCAGAGTTTTTATTTGCCATTATACAAAGGACTGGTATATCTTTAAAATATATTTTGGCACACATACTGCATTCAAATCTAATAGCATTAATTAAAATATTCCAAAAAATATTTGTCTTTTATGCCAGCAAAAAAGAAAGCATGGCCTGAGTTGTTAAAAGTTGTCTTACTCAAAGAAAATAAACATATGCTTTCTGATGTATATATATATATTTGAAAGGAACCACTTATATTATGGACCACAAATATGGAAAGAAATCATGAATAAATGTTTCCATGCACTTTCTCCTTAATGTAAGAAATGACAGCATAGTTATATACCTAGGACATTTTCAAGACTTAAGCAGGAGATTTAACTTTTACAACAGTTAAAGGCCAAAATGAAAGAAGCTAATCCATAGGTGAAACTTTGAAAAACATCAAATAGAAATGACAGGGCACAGCTGAGGAAGTCATATTATAGTACCTTTCTCAAGGATAAAACTAACAATTATCTGATTTAAATTAAATACACTACTTGACCATTTCAGGTCTGTAATTTGAAAAAAAAAATCCAAATTTATAAATAACCCGTCCTCCATTTCTTTAAACTGTGCTTCAATGCCCAAGAAAAAGTGCAAAAGCACACATCTTTTCTTATAACCATAAATTTAGCCCTAAAAACGTACATAAACAACAATTACATGACCAACAATTATCACTACCAGTAATAGATGAGCCATATAGAATGCTCTTTATTTACCACCCTGAATACTGAGTCTTAAACTGAAAGTTTTCCTACCATAAATTTTCAGTCCAAGATGTAAATTTTCAGGATAACTGCTAAGAGAAGCTACTGAGTATACATGCTAAATGAGAATTCTGCCATGTTCTAAGCAAACAGGGAAAAAGTTCATTTTGATAACGATGATTTCATATGAGAGCATACATACATACATGCATACATATACTATACATATGTTCACTATATAAAAGTTTGCAGAATTACATTAAGAGAGTGTAAATAAACACCATCCATATTTTACCAATAACAAATATCATTACCGTAAAAGATAAGTTCTTAACCACTTTTGAAAGCTAACAGAAAATGAAATAGAAAGTGTATAAATCAACATGTTTGTTTATGAGCATTCATTCATCAATGACAGGAAATGTTTTTGCTGTTAAGATCTCACAAATAAAACTTATTTCCAATTTACCAAAAAGTAATTTTTCCATGCAATCATATAAAAATACACGAAAATATTATGTATTTCACTACAAAGCACAATACATATTCAAAATTAATCGGTTTTTGAGAAAATATTCATAAAACATAGCAAAACATCAACCTAAATTTTGGATAACAAACCAACTTCCTTGACTACAAAGCCAAAACAAATAGTACTAGTACAAGATGCAAATATATACTTCCCCCATTTAATAATTTACTGAGGACAAACCCAGGCATTCTTATACATTTAGAAACATTCAATTCATAGTTTAATGTGTACCTTATGTAACTTAAATGTAATTCAATTCTTAAAGCTAGTGACCATGTTGTATCTTTAAATTTCTTTTGAGATAGCCATAGCAAATTCTCATATAAACATATCAAATTCCAGAAGAATATGCATTCGGGTAAAAAATCTACATTAGGAATTCAAAGCTGAAATTCAAAGTATTTTTGCCAATAATACTTTCCCATGTTTAAATCAATTCTTTATGCCATCATGCTTTATGAAACAAATTCCCTCCTCCCCCAAAACAAAAACTAAACATTCTCACTGCATTTATCTATCTCACTATACGCACTTCAGGGAAAAAAATCAACCCTCCTATGTTCCCTACCTTGGCACCAATGCTGTAGGTTTGGCAATCATTGAAGGTTTTGGTGGAGGCATTACGAGGGAATCTCCTGCCTGCTTGCCCTCAGTATCTTCCTCCACTGCTGGAAGAACAGGGAGTGCTGATCCGCCATTGGAAAGACGCGGGGGCCCTCCAGAGTCTGGATATAACAGATCTTCTGTGGTGGCTGTTCTACGCCTTGCCTGAGATTTGAGAAGAAAAACATATTGCAACTATGTAAGCCTAAGAAGTATGGTGTAAACACGCTCGGCTGTCACCTTGATTGGATAGTAAACGATTGTCGTAAAATCACTAAATGATATTAAAACCGGGTGCATAAACTTGGAAACCACCTAGGACAACATTGGACTGCCACGTTAATCCAATACAATGCAAAAATAAACTATAACAAGTGGTTAAAGCCTTCAAACCGAATGTCATAAAGTCCCCATACACCTCCATAGAGACAATAAAATAGAGTAAGCTTGTGAAACAAGAATCCACCAACTTAAACATAATAATCGAAATAAAATACTGCCAGGCACCGGAGCGGCCTAAAACTTGGCACGCTTACCGCAAATACTGCAGGCTACATCATCCCGTCGCTCGTTTGTAAATTCCGTGCATGGCATACGCACAATCAAACCGTAAATCAAAATTCCAGCTCTGATGTTTATTTCGGTCCTCTCCAGAATCCAATTCAGGAAATGACGTAACCGCAGAGGTCGTATTGTCCAATGGCATGGCTTCTTTTTCTTAATTGGAGGTTAGAGTGCCATCATTTAGCGATTTTACGACAATCGTTTACTATCCAATCAAGGTGACAGCCGAGCATGGGTGTAAATGAAAGTAAGTTGGTGATTTTCATGTGCATTCTGATTGAGATTTTTGCAAAGATTTTATTAAAGATTGAATGAACTATAGCAATTTTAGATTAAAGTATACATTGGCCTACCTTGTCCCTTCTTCCTGTCTTTTCTCCCGGCTGCCAAGGTTTGGGTGTGCTGCTCAGAATTTGATCTTCCATCAGAATGCTAGGCAAGAATATACAGCAGACACACAATACTGAGGAGTTCAGAATTGGGGGTGAAGGGAGAAATAAAATGGCAAAACACAGCAAAACACCAAATATTAGATTTTGATCACATCACAAAAACAGAGATCAAATAAACATGTTAAAACACATTTCCGACAAAGGGAACATCACATTACACAAACAAAAGTTTTAAAAGGACTATAAAATTGATATAAACTTATAAGCTAAAATTAGTAAGCACATGCAACAAAAGACTATTTCTTACAAAAATGTATAATTTATTGCAGTCATATCAAAAGCAGTAATGTATGACTCAGAACTAGGTACATCATATGGGCAAGAGCAGCACCCTGCACCAGCAGAACCCATGTTGATAATATAATGGCTTCATGAGCAATGATGTGATTTGTATGGCACAGTGATTGAATAAAATGTCTATATTTTACAATTATATTTAATATCAATTTCATGATTTTGAAGTCTTTCAATTTTTGATTGGGTCATATCACAGTTTATGAGGTATCTGTACAATAGCATCTTTGCAAACCTTTCCAGAAAGTCTGCCATCATTTGCATCCTTGTGCACTCTAATCAAATGATTTATTTACAGTAGTTTATTTATCGATACAGCACATATGCCTTTCAATTAGTCTGCTTCTCTCTTATTACAAAAGGCAAATCTTTTAGCTGCCAGCTCATGTTTCACCTGTACATCACTGATGGGGTGTATTTCAATTGTTTCCTCATATTTTCCTCCCTGATCAGAATAAAATATCTTCTTAGCACAAATTTGATTCAATAAAAATATAAATTTTTTGTAGGGACTGATCACTTAGAAATGTCCAATCCTGAGCAGTCATAGAAACATGGTGAGCAATGTAAAAACAAAAAATACAACTGCAGCAAAATAGGAGAAGTCACTACAACATATAACATAAAAAGAAAAAAGTTTTGGGGTGGTTTGTTTTTGTTACATTGGTGTGCCAGTCAGTTGCAGATCCAATGAGAGCATAGGGTAAAAAAAGAAAGTGCCACAATGTTAATAAATGTTTACGTATACCTTCAAAAACTGATTTCAAAGATGGCCTGTTACCCCGTTTTTAGATATTGTAACAGTGATTAAAAAACAATTGTTTTTGAAAATATCTAAATGCTTTCAAGTTTAAAGACTCAATAAAATACTTTTTTATATTGCAGATGTTGTAACATTGATTAAAAAACAATTGTTTTTGAAAATATCTAAATGCTTTCAAGTTTAAAGACTCAATAAAATACTTTTTTATATTGCACATTTTAAGAAAAAAAAGCCAACAAAAGTTTCTGACTATTTTTGTTAAGACTGAAGAAACACTTTAAAAGATGTTAGCCCCATAAAAATAAGAAAAAAAGAAATTAAAAAAGAAAATACTGCAAAGAACACTGGACAATGAAAATGCACATCTAAGCTTTACTGTTTAAAATTAAATCAGTCAAAGCTTTTTAGGACTCAGTGTACAAAGTATCACTAAAGCTGTAAAAGGACATGGCACAGTAGTCATCCTCTATTAATAATTCTATTCTATTTAGTATTTTCTCCAATGTATATATATATTTTTTTTAATTTCTTAAACAATTAATTTAATTATATTATGAAAAATAATTTTTTAATCAAAGAGTGATCTCCAAAACTCTTGAATCATAATATTTTACCTCTTCAGTAAATTTCTTTTAAAAATGTGATGGAATATATCATTTCAGCAAATGTGGTCAAAATGGTAATATATGAAAACCAAACTGGGATGACTACTGCCCTTCAAACTGAACTTCACACCTTTACAACACAGGCCATCTTTATCTATGTATTCATTGTCCAAACAATACATTTTTGTAAGAGTCAGTTCTAGATTTATAAGTTCTCTAGTGCATATGGGTTTCATATGGTGTATGGCTTATTCTACTCCAACATTCACACACACTGATTTAAAACATTTGTTTCCAATACAGTTTTATATACAGGATTGTATCTGAATCTCAAACTGAACAGAATCATTGTTGGAACTAAATTTTACACCAGGTGAAACCCAAAATGACACAAACACAAAATAGGTTCATTACTAGCCTAAAAAGTGAAGTACTTTGCTGCTTGAAGTGATATTCTATTGAAGTATCTAGAGGTTAATATATGTGATGCTAGTTGTTGTGTTTTTGTGCATTTTACTATTATAATAACATTACATTAAAACTCACCGGTCGACTGGAGAGTCAATATTAGATGTATCACTGCTTTCAGAATCTGAAACAATAAGAAATACATAAAACTGACTTTTTTCTATAAGTGGATCTAAAAATATACGCACAAATTTCAAAACAATTAAAGAAATCTCTCTATAGGTATATGTTCCTGAAAATTCAATATGGCCAAGGGTACATATATATTTGCAAGTAAATACAAATGTGTTTTACATAAAATGTATAGATCTTCATTTGTAAAAACATAACACAATATCTAATATTAATTTATAATCTATCCCTACTCATTGAATCTATATCAAAATTTCAGCTGTACTAATGCTTACTACTGGGAGAAAATTTCTCAGACAATATTTGATTGGCCCAATCATGCTTAAACTATTTTTTTACAGACTAGTAACTTTGCTTACATTTTTCAATAGGTTTATACCTAATCTATAAAACAGTTAATGAAAACTTTTCATGGTAACCAAACATGCCAATAGTTAACACTGCATATTGCTCCACCTCCTCTTACCCTCTTTCTCTCCTGGGAAGATGCCATAGATCTCCAGGTCGTCCACCCTGTCAGCTATCACATGCTCCAGCAGCTGCTGGGTCAGCGTACTGTTCATCTCGGAACTGTGGAGCTTGGCCCCAAGCTCTCTGGTCTCTGTCTCTTTCTGAGCTGCCAGGAGACCCTATATGATATAACATAATACAACCTAATGTGATGGACAGTTGTTTTGTACCTACAGTTAATGCTATAGTGATTGAATTCTAGTGTTTTTTGCATTCAGATCTATTTTAACTTCGATAACAACCAGAGCACACTGCCTATTACAATAGTTGACAAAAATATCTCAAAAGTACAGCAGACTATTTTCACAGAAAAATAGATCATATCCATATGTGACTACTCTGGCTAAATATTTCTGGGTAATCACCACTGCTGTTACCTTGTTGATAGCTAATCCCAAAAAATGCTCCAGAAGGTATAATGCCTCCTCATGGGTGCACTTGTCAATAAGCTGGCTAAAGTCTTTTTCATCCTGAAATAATGATTATAAACATGCAGTTTGTATTATCACCACAAGACAACCAAAAAGCAATGTACCAAGGGTTTTCAAAGATAACACAAAATCTGTATGGATCTAGATGTAAACACTGTCAATCTTAAGTTAGGTCTTCATCTAACTGCTCTTCAATCAAGACCAATGTTTGTTACATTTTATGGGATGATTATAAGGCTGAACATCATGATGATTAAGAAGTCTAATCTCCAAGACCATACAATCAAAATTCTACATGCAGTGTCTTAAAATGTAGAACCAGACATTTTTCATTCTAGCATTTCAACATGTTCACATAATCAGGCATTTTTCTTGCTTACTTTAGTACTCTCCTCCATCTGCATGATATTCTTCTGGCAGTCCATGATGTAGTCCTGAGTGAGATCTATCTCTGCCTTGAGTCCAATCAAAACTTCCTCCATTTCCAAAGCTTCTGATTCCTACAACACAAAAATTATCAAATCATTTTTTCATATGGCAAAGAAAAGTATCATCTTCTACAGTAAAATATTATCAAAATTTCATTTTTATTTCATGTGTCATATATGACCAATGTCACACTTAAAACTAAAAACACAAAATTCCATGATGCATTATACAGTTTATACTAAAACACCTGTTTTCAAATATTCTTATTTAAAATTTGGCACCAATTATACCTTATCATCATCCAGTAATTTTTCTCTCCTTTTTGTCACTTTTTCAATCTTCTTCCCTAGATCTTCCCTTCTCTAAAATAAGATGGACATATTTGTTTTTTTTTAATTCTAAGTTTCCATTCATTTTAAAGAAACAGAAACTGAAAATTGTGTAAGTCATGGTTTTATAAGTAACTAAACCTCAGTAGAAGCCAAATTTGTTTCATCTTTTAAAAGTATATTTTTATGAACGTATTGGTCTTTGTGAAGAATCTCTTTATATGAATACCTGGCCTGACTCACCTTCAACCAAATATTCATATCTTTTTCCATGTGGTACAAGGTCTGTCTCTTTGTCACCGTGGAAGACACCTATGAGAATTAATGTGCCATTATGTCATCTAACTGTATATAGTATATTAACGATAATATAAGGTTTACTTCTTTCTTTCTTTGTAATATATGTTACATATTGAATGTATACAAGAAAATATATCATAAATCATCAAACACATTGTGTTATACATGCCTGCTTATTATGGATTGTTTTCAATTCTAATTCTTTCTAATCTCCCTGGGGAGAATACAACCCACGCTGACCAGGTCTTATTAAAAACAAGTATTTCTTTCTCTCTTTATTGGTAAAATAATTTCCAAAAAAATATATATATATTTAATAAAAGTAAGTAACACAGTAAATAAACTTAATTTCATAAATCCAGTGATTACATCTCTTTGAAAATCAAAAAACAAAATCTACTTCACGTTCATATATTCAACCAAAATAACCAAAACAAAATGATTTACATGTTTCTCTAGAATATCCCATTTGTGTTTGGCATCCTTTGGATTAAAATCCTTTTTCTTCTTCATTGGCTGCTGCAGGTAGCGAGGTCTGGCACTGTAGTTGGCAACACGGCCTGCTGCCTTGGCAGACATAGGCTTCTGTTTCTTCTTCAAATTTTCAACCTTGAAATCACAAAATGATGGGAAATGTTCACAATATATTATAATGCTGCTGTAATGTATTCAATGAAATGGTATACACGCACCCCTGACGTAGACAACTTTTGTTCCTGACCTGTAAATTCAATTATATACAATGACAACCACTCATATGTCGCCATTTCTAAATTCAAAATTTTCAAAATCAGTTTGCATATTTTTCCATTCGCTCCATGTCACTTTTGCTATATTTAACATAAGATTATGTATGATCCACAGCTCACAACACTTAAGAAATTCTTCTTCTTAACACTTGGTATTTAGAAGAGACTATTCTTCTAAATACCAATTGTTCAGTTCACTAGAGAATTTCAGACAAACCTAATTACCAGTGACTGAAGAGGAGAATAAATCTGGAAGGTCACACTCCCTAGCAAGTCATTCTCCCTAGGGATTTTTTCTACGATGCTCTTTCAGTCTAATTTAGACCTCACCTCTTCAAACTTCTTCCTCAGCACCATCTCCTTCTGCTGTTTCTGCTGCTCAAGCTGCTTTATGGCTGCCTCCTTCTTGCGATGCTCTTTCCTCAACTGGGCAATCTCTTTGTTCTTCCTTGCTTCAAAATTTTTATTCTTCTCTGCCTCTGCCTTCATTTGGTTCATAAGCTTTACCTAATGAAATTAGAAATAAAGTAATAATGAAATTAGATGAATAAGAAATCCGAAGGGCTAGGGGATATATCACTTAATACACTTTGGCTCTGTTCATATTTGATAATGCAGATTGGTTCAGAAAACGCATAGAACCTTTAAAAGGGTTTACCCTCAACCATTACCTTGATCAGATGAGACCAGTTTGGGTACAAGGCATGGCCAAGCAATCAACTTCAAATGATTGCAATCAGTAGGATAGACCCATGTTCACAAAAAGTGAACTTATCTTGTTGTCAAACCCTACAACTGCAAAAGCATTCCTCTGAACCAGTACTGAATTAGTTTAGCACTCATCTACATTATATCTTGTGTGAACAGAGACATCCTGTGGTGTGTGACCCCCGTACATACCAAATAAATCCAATTTATAGATTACTCAATGAGTATCAAATTTGAAGGACTGTGCACAAGGCAGTACACAGCTTGCTACAGTACATCATTACGTGGCTGCTCAATTATAGCAAAATTGCCCTCAGCCAACAACTTCAGCAAACAATTCATTTAGTATCTAAATCAATATCAGCACAATACAAGATCCACTATCTGCTGTACACCAACTCACAGAAGTTATTGTCTGGCTACACATTGACATGAAGACCAGCAGACTGTACATCTCTTAGTTATTTGTATTTCATATACAACCATAAGATAATTCAAAAGCTAAAATAGATTAGTAACTTCAAATGCTTCAGCAGCAATATTTTTCCAAAGCAGCCACAAATTTCAAACCATAAACTTAATCTATCACAAAAATTATACTGCAAATTATATTCAATACAGCATAATAAATATCAGTGCATATACTGCATGGTGCACTCCAATATAGACTTAGATGCAGACTGAAGGGTTAGACAAATTATCTAGAAAATCAATAAGCAGTTAAAGACCTTGCAGCCCATCAGTAAAGAGTTCACACCTTACATACTACACAGGACTGAGACATTTGCCAAACAGGTGCTCAATCACAGTGTGGAGGAATTCATGGAGGAAACCATTTGCACATCCACACATCACAGAACTTTCATAAAGAGACCTAATCACAGAGGGTCTATAATCACACAGGGGAATGATGGAGTTTTCAACACACTCTTAAACAGTTCATGAGACCTAAGAAGGCTGCATGAGGAGATGATTATGAATATATTGCCAATGAATGCCTATTACTAGCAGTTTGTGTCTTTCATAAATTTAAAACAGGGTTAACCTTTCAATATCAATAAATCATATTATATGATATAAACCCTTGGTCCCCTCCCCCCTCTCTCCAACCAAACCACCCTTCTATACAGACTAGCTAGTGCATACTTACTCCACAGGGACTCCTGCTGAATGCAATCAGATTTACAGATCAATACGCCTCCTCCTGGCATCGAGTAGTATACAGAAAAGCTGTATGTTCGAAACGAGAGAAGGCATGTTGATCTGTTAATCAGATTGCATTCAGCAAGAGTCCCCATGGAGTTACTGTGCATTAGCTAGTACCAAAAATTCATTGCGAATGCACCCTAATCCCATTAATCCTGAGTTTATTGGACATAGTATTATCCACCCTCACAACATATTTCTCCACACAACAGCTGATGTATGACAGACTAGATCAAAAATCAATGCATCAAAATACGCATCAAGTTATCCAGGGCTTTCAATCATTCTTGTCGCAAATGTAACCACTCTGATTTTGCAGCTTTGGCATGTAAAAATAACATCTAAATGTTTCAACTAAAATTATATGTTAAAAATGAAGTGAATAAAAAAGAATTTTTTAACATTACAGGACAAAGCGTAAAAAGCATAGAGGACAATACCAACTTTCAAAAAAACTTGATGTAGTCTGCAAAAGGTAACAATATAAATGAATATGATTGAAAAAAATCTCCAAACTTAAATAATTGCTGTAATAACCCATACATGACACATCATAAAAACACCTTAGAATTTCTTGCTGTGATAACAATAAGCCATTATCCCTTTTTTTCTGTTATTGAGGCTGTACAATGCAGTTAATTACATAGAAAGGATGAAATATAGATACAGCATTTTGTTTGCAAAATGACAATATTATATAAGATATACTAAAAGATGCTTGTTAATAAATGCTATATATAATATAGTTCTGCTTCCCTAAATCAGAAATGCTAAATAGATTTATAGGATTGTGAGATAAAATTACCAGTGAATTGGTCATTTCTGCCTGAAAATGTTAAAAATCATGCAATAATTATCAGGAAAACACCATTTTGAAGTCAAAATGATATCTACATCTTCAGCTCAATTATACATCTAGGACATTTAGTAAACAGTTATATAAAAAATTAATTTTGTTCATGCAATGAGGTTTTTCAACAGATAATCTAAACATCTAAATTATCTATCTGAAAATAGATTAAACATAACAACAACATGCACTAAATCTGTAATGTCTTGAAATAATAATACTGAGGAATAATGTTTAATCTAATTAATCTACACAAAAATTGACAGTTTATTGGATAATTCACCTTTGTTTTCTTCATCTCTGTAAGCTCCCGCTGCAGCTGTTTCATCTGCCTGTCATACTGAGACTGGTTCTTCACAAGTTTGGAGTGCTCTTTCTTTGCTGCATTCAGCTTCTTCATTTCATTCTGCATCTCCCTCAGTTTTTTCTCATATTCTTCACGAATCTTTTTAGCTTTATCATTTGTTGTTTCCCTATTGCCTGAAATGACAGCATTGTCAGATCTGAATTTTTTCCAGGAGACTTGGAAGTAAATATTAACATGCATTGTTTTGATGTATACGCCCCCCCCCCCCCCTCCTCAAGTATAGAATTAAGCATACAGGAGAGCATTCCTTTACAGTCATGTGCTTATCGTGTTCAATATTGTAATATAAGAACCACTAACCTAAACTGGACAGAACTTTGTCCCTCTCCTCCTCTGTTTGCTTGATCTTGGACTGTAGCTGTGACAGCTTTTCCTCATACTGGATCTTCAGTGACTGCAGTCTGCGCTGACTGAGCTCCAATTCCTCAATAAGCTTCTGCTTGATAGAAATCTCACAAGTCAGCTCTGCTAAGTCCTCGTGTATGTTATCAGATTCTGTAAAAAAGTATACTATTTAACTCTATTTTGTTTATCAATGTGGTTTGTTAATTATGTCCTTGGAATGTAACAAAGAATGAGCTATTAGTGCAGATCTAAGACACGAATTAATGGAGCTTTGTTTTCTATTCTTACTACAACTATGAGCAGTTTTGCTATTCTATTACACCATATAGTAACGAGTATTCTATAACGAGTGGTTTTTGTGCATATGTGCATATAGCAATAACTGGGTTTATCTATCTCATTATATCTTCAACTCAAAATAGAAGGATTTTAATATGAAAAAGTACCATGCAACAGACTCTTTTTGGGAACAACTGGCCATTCCAAGATATCAAAAATAAAATCCTCATAACCCAGACATCATTTAAATACAGCATATTTGTCAAGATATAGAAGTGACATCACATCAATAATTCCTCAGAATTCTGGAAGATGGACTTGAACTAAAAATAGTATTTAAAACCTGCAGGCAGTTTTTTTTTTACCTTAATCTTAGAAAAATACAGCTCTGAAAATTTCTACAAGACCATAAACACACTTCTAAAGCAGAACTGATAAAAAAGATCAAATGGTTTGATTGGTTTGGGGTGGGAGGGACTCATCAAATAACATCAAAAACATAAAAGAAAAAACATTAGGTTCAGACTTGCAGTAGGTATAACACAATGTCAAATACAAAGATGGTATATTTTCAGTAAAAGATCCCCGTATTTTTGAAGACAACATTCATATCAATACATCAGTGTTACATGCCATGTCCACCACTACATCTACACCCCCTCACCTGAGAACAGGAACAAATCTCCTACAATGTGCAGAGACAGTTGTGACATGGTGATAACATGTGCACATATTAATACATTAACATTCATCAACATATTAAAAATAAGTAAACTTCTGATTCTTTGACAGTGGTCACACTTTCTGTGATTTTTTTAAATGTCAGAAATAAATGTCACTTTCTGTGATTTTTTTAAATGTCAGAAATAAATGTCACACTTTCTGTGATTTTTTTAAATGTCAGAAATAAAAGTGTAAATGAAGCAGAATTTAAAGAGCATTGTCTTTTTGCTGCACTTTTTGGCAGACAGAATAATTATGAACAGTAAATATATGTATTGCAGTATATCAATTATTCTCATGCAATCTTTTTTAAAGATACTCCTTCTTACCTAAGTCTTCTGAATCTGATGAGGTGGAGGACTCTTCATCATCATCCTCATCACCATCACCATCATCATCATCCCCATCCTCATCTTGATCTCCTCCATCACCATTCATCACAGTTTCCTCTTCACAGTTTTCTTTCTACAAATTTGGAAAAAAATAATACCAATGTTGACAAAGTTATTAATGACCTGAATGTTTTTCACAGCAATTATCCTACTGTAGAGATTACATATGAAATTAATCAAGGCTTGTTTGGGGAATGCTTGTAAGCTACAACCTTATAAATAATTTATCAATGTTAATTGCTTATATATATATATATATATGCATTTCTTAAATATTTTATATATTCAATTCTTATGATAAAAATTATGAGGTACATCATAACAAATAATCCAGCGCCTTAAATTAACATCTGAATCTTACATTCTGATCCCCTTCTTCAGTTTCTGAATCCTTCTCTTGGCTTTCCTCATGTTCTACATCGTCTGCTACTCCATTCTTCTCAGCATCTTCTTTCTCTTCTGTCTTCTCATCATCACTGGCTTGTTCACTGGCAAATGAAAAGCACATCTTCAGTGAAAAACATGCCATTTAAGAAAATGCCTTGCTTATGGAGTCCCAATTTAAGTAATGGAAAATTATTTGGCAATATCTAATTGGAAACAAGATACTGGATCTGAATATAAATAAATTTTAAAAGTAAAAACTAGAAATACTTTGAATGCTTGAAATGATTTTTTTTCTGCAATAATATCCATGCAAAGGTACATAAGCTTTCATTTAAGGACATCAAAGAAATTCTGTGAAATCAATACTCTTGAACATCTTCAATAATAATCCTTTGGCACACATTCCAGAACAATCTTTAATCTAATTTACTTGTGATACCCTTCATTAGCTACCTTCTGCTTGTATTCCTTGACCTCACTTTCTTTCTCATCTTCTTTACGTCTTTTTTGGCCAATTCTAACAGTGCATTAACATTATTGTCTGGAGAGGTAGGAAGCTCAAGGTTTCTACTAAGTGAGCCACCACTGGTCATAGGGACTGCCTGGAATGTGTTTTGGTGCAGGGGGCTCATAGCAGCACGCGAGGCAGGTGTGCGCAATCCTTGCCTGCGCAATGTTTCACACATTGCCTCAGATTCCATCAACTTCGTTCTGGAAAAAAGAAAGAAAGAAGATCAGTCAGATATTACACACAGGTCTGTTCTATGATTTTATGAAAATGTTTAAAATACCACTTAATGTTCTATGCTGACCTAATATTACAATAAAATAATCTTGTAGCAATGGTTAATGTAGTTGTTTTTTGCACTTTTTCATATAATTGGTTAAGTATCAAGTTACCTTAACTCTTCTATCTCCTTTAAATAGCCATTAATTAAGGAGCTAATCTCATCACTACCTTCTTCACCTGGAAAAGACAGCCATAAAAACTTATTTTCTCATAAAAACCTCAATAAAACAAGACTGTTTTGGACCAATCTCAACTTTGTATAAAACCAGTTTGTATCAATGGTAATCAAGTTTTTAAAATAAAAACTAAGATTAGTAAATGTTGTCAATTGGCAACTGTCAAACAGCAACAATAAACATAAAAGGTATGTCTCCAGTTTAGTAGTGGGGACCCAGGCTACTTTAACCCACCTCAGCAGACATTCTGATTACTATAAGCTCACCAGAGGAGGCCAATCTAATCCTTCTATTGCACCACCCCAACTATTATAACTAAGGTTACTTATGTGCTATTATATCAACTTCTGGTGAGCTAATCATAATCACACTGCCTTCCAGTCTGACCCATCTCCACTGACACTCTCTGTATAAATGGATAGCAGATGCTTGCAGTCATTATCATTTAACAAACAGGGTAAGTTTAACTCTGCTCCGTAGATGCTTCTAATTCCCAATTTTCTGGTCCAGTGTATCACATACGCCTGTGACAGGGACATGACCTCACTAATACGCCATTCACATTAACTCTGTGATGTACCTGAGATATTACTTAATGCCAGGTTTGCTCTCTCAGCCAGAACAGATACATTTCTGGCTGTTAAAGAGTCAATAGTTTCCTGTAAGGCTTTAATACGAGTCCTAAGGTTATTGTTTTCTGTCTGTAACATTGTGTTTTCATGGAACATGTCATTAATTGTTTCCACTCCATCTGCATCCACCATTCGTTTCCCCTGTAATTAAAAGGTGCAATTTTACAGAAGATATAATAACATCATTAAGGATTGAAGTTTCTTAATTTGCATATGCTGTAATAGCTTTCTGAAGTAACAAATAAAGAAATCCACAGGAAAGTTGTATAAAAAGAACACATTTCACCATCTTTTATCTGCTTTTGATAGATAGCATGCAACTGCATTCTTCACACTTAAAAAACATCATGGAATCTCAAAATTGATAGGTAAATTTCCTTACTGATTGATACTCCTGCAGCTCTGCCTGCAGTGCACGGATTTCCTCGCGTAGAGCCGCTATTTGTCTACTGGCCTTGTCCTGGTTCACTACCACTTTATTGGTGATGTTCCTGGCTCGGTTTGCATACTTCATAGTGTTCAATGTTTCCATGAAATCTCTGTCAGATGGGGACACACAGGCTATCATCACAGTCCGACTGTAATTGACCAAAAAACCATACATTTGGCAGAGTTTTCTATAAAAATACTAATTCTAATATATAATACAGGTCAAAAAGGATCAATGCCTTCTGTTATATACAATGCAATATTCTGATAATATACTATTCATGTTATCATTGATAATATTGAATAAAATTTATGAAAGAACTTGATGAAAAAATAATTTTTGTTTAGAATTTTTCAATCTAAGTCCATGAATAAGGAGTCTTTGCATCATGAGAGTGACATAACATGTATCAATATATCATATGTCAAAGAAAGAAATTAACATATTAATTACAGTAAAGGTATGCAAAATGTCAGTATTCCTACATATGACAACTGTATTGTGTACCCACCTATTTCCACCCAAGGAATCCTGTAGTAATCGAGTTAGCTTAGAGTCCCTATAAGGCACATGGCTGCCTTTCTTTGCCTTGTCCCCCAGTGCTGATATCACATTGCCCAGGGCAAGCTATAGGAGAAATGAGAGAATTCCTAAATGTTTTTTTTTTTTTTTTTTTTTTTTCAGTTTGAGTTCATATAGGGAATGAAAGTGGCATAGTTTGATGCTTTTAATGAAACATAACATCAGGAATTATAAAAACATACTTCCTGAAAACTGCTCTTCTTAAGATCAATGCTTCAACCCCTCTCTCTCAAAAAGAAATCTTTAAATTCTAAATGATCTGCCGGTACAAGCTTATAAACAAATGCCAAAGCAATCTTACCAGGCCACAATTGATAGAGATGCCTTCCTTGGCTCTGTCTCCTGTTGCTCCTGTCCTTTTGAGCCTTTCTGATCCGGCAAGGTCAACAAAATGGAACTTTGCCGTAAGTGTTTCAAATTCTGTTTCTGTTGTGTCAGCTTCTTTGCCTTCTTCTACTTCATTAGAGTTCTGCAATAAAATTACGCCAATTGAAAGAATCTACATATCTAAGGTATGGATTTTTACATAGCATTTTTGTCATGGTCTTCAATTTAGGCACTTGTTGCCAAATAAGTGTTACTCAAAATGACCATTTGATAAAATTGAACAGTCAAATATTAGTTATAACTTAAAATACTTGACACCCAGACTATTTAGTGTCATACAATCCAATTTTCAGACTATTATCAGTGATTCCTTTGAATCCCAATATGTCCCCTCCCCATGATGCTCTTATTCTTGAGTAAAAACTCACAGTCACATTAGGCACAACCCTCAGCTGTTTGATGTGCAGTGTAAATATGGCGTGAGATCTGGAAGACTGAGAGTTCATATTGGTACTGGCTGTAGTACGGGACAAGGCACCCATCTTCAGGCACTGGAGTGTCTGAGTTATAAAAAAAAAAACAGTAATTATGTTGCATGAAATGGAAGACTGATAAATTGTAATGGTACTGGATGTAAAAATAAACAAGTAATTCATCAGCAAGCACAACACTGTTTGAAGGTAAAAATATATGAAAATAACAAATTTCAAATCATACCTGAAAACAATAAAACTCATTTCAGTGTACTTAAAATACTCTGATGAACATATGATAAGGGGATTAAGACAGCAGCTAATGTCATCATTTATTATTGATCATATATCTTACAATTAACTAAGCTACTTACATCATCAAGTGAGGTTGTGGTCCTAGTGGTGACACCTACAGTGTAAATTCCACCAGATGCATCTTCGTGGATCTTTATGTGAGACTTGCCTCTCTGTAAAGCAGAAAATAAAATAAAACTAATTATTTTCATTATAAGTCTATATTTTACATCTTCCTGATCCAGGTTTTAAAGACAATTAATGAGCAGGACTAGAAAAGACGTCAGAGACCAAAGACCTCCACCAAGGCAGCTCAATTTATATTTATAATTTATGAATTCATCGTTGGATCACCACCAAAATCTATCTGATTCTCAGTTAGCCTATTTCTGATCGACCCTGAATTTTTTATAAAAATTCGTCCATAACATTTTGAGTTAGGCTGCCTTACCATGTTGCCTAGGTTTCAGTTTTTTTCTTCTTTTTTTATGTCAGAGAGAGAATAATATTTGGATATGAATATGATAAATGTTAGAATGATTAACTGCAATAACAATTTTTCACAGCATAATTTTGCCTTTAAGTTGGAAGTCATTCCAGTCTAGACCAAAAATCAATCTAATCACACAAGTTACCTATTCATGGAGAACAGGAGATTGACTCACACATAACTATATCTCATAAGATGAAAAAAAAAGAGCTAAAAATCAATACATAATATGTGTTCATTCTGCAAACTGTCATCTTTCAAAGACTTGAATGATGCATTGGAGAAGCTATAAATGAAATAAAATACCCCCTTGTTAGGTAACTTCAGTTATACAGCCTATATAAACATCAGTGAAGAGATATCCATGAAGTCAATTCAGCTTCAATAGCTTTGAGATATACACTGTCTTTAAATATATAATTTGTGATGTGATGTGATGTGAGAGAAAGCTGCATGACTGTTCTTTTTTTAGTGTTAACTACAATGGTTAATATCATTAACTAATCTTAAAGATGAAGAGGAAATATTTGAGATCGAGTAATAGATAAATTACCTAAAATCATGCAACATGTCTTTAAAACATGAGTACAAGACATCTAAACAAAAAGAAAACTGAAAAGAAGGGGAGGAATATCGCAAATTGCACCACTTTTTCCTTATAGGCAAATTGTTAAAAAAAACACACATTAGCTGACACTTTGTAATAAGTGGCATAAAACAATGGTTACCCACTATTTTCTTTTCTTACACCCAAAGCAAAACCATAAGCGACCTTTCCTTATTATGACCAGTGTATAACCTAACCAGGTGAATAAGTAAGTAGTGGCAATGTCAGTAGGTGTCAACCTGAACACTAGGTTACACCATTACCTTAGGACACCCCTAAGTCAGACAATTACCACCTGTTCATTAACATAATTAGCATTCACCTCAGTCCAGTGTAAGGTCAGTAATATAATACACAGAGGAGGTGCACTGAATTCTCTACCCCATATATCACCTTTGGCTGAACAATCATTTATGTTCATTGAATTAAAAATGATAGGATAAGGTGTAGCACCCATAAGATGCTGGACTAAATGAATGATGGCTGAAATGGACAGTGAGAATTAACACTACTCGTAATGTCTTTAATCCTAAAAAAGAGAACGGTTTCACTTACCCTTGATTCTGCAGGATCTCTGGTTGAATCCAGCAAGTCTAAAATTTCTTCATTGTACAGCTTAAACAAAAAAAAAAACATCATATAGATGTATTTTGAATAGAATGGATGGGTTAATATGTCATTTGTTCCCTTGACCTGTAGACTAAATAATTTACTAATAAGACAAAACTGAAAATATACAAATTTGTATGAAGTTTTTTTCCTAGATATCATTAAGGGCCAATTTGGTCAGATGATTTATTTGTCTATGTGTGTTATTTCTTGAAAGTGTGGGAATTCAAGACAGTGTTTTGTAGCTAGCATAATTTTCTTTCTTATTAATTTTTTCATTTCTGCGTCTAAGAGAGATTACATAATAGCCAGCATCACTCTGCTTGGTATTTTCAAATTGAATTTTGTCATTATCTCCATTACTTTTTTCCCAAGCCCATAATGATACTCTGCATACAACATTCACCTCAACACAATTGGTATCAAGTTATTATCTACTATCTACAAATGAACAAGCATCTCTTGTGTTCTGCTCAATTAATTTCCAATCATTCACAGCTTCACTCTTGCATCTTAACATTATGCCAGTGGCTAAAAATAATTCATCTGGCTAACGATGGATAATTTTTTCCTCTTTACTTGCTATTGATTGCTATAAGAACAAAGTAAAATTTAGTACGAATCATTAATTTATCTGAGATCATAAGTGATCAGGTAAAAGCAATCTTTTCCCAGCACTGTTGCGGTTGAAAACTCTGATGTGACTATAACCTATTAGGCATTTATCTAGAACAAAAACTACACTTCACATTGGTCTGCTTCATGGATTCACAGAGAACAATGCTCTTGTCTGCTTAAAAAACAATTAACCCTATCTGCTTGTCCTCCAGGTGTCAAGTACTGTGTAGTATCCTCATTAATTCTAGAACAATTTAGACAACAAACTCAGCGTGACTTCCCCATATCAGTGTACTGAATTGTTGATTACCAGCAGACTCGGTGTGAATTATATATCAGTTGTATATGTATACTGAGCATATGGCAAGATGACCATAATGTTTAAACTTAACTTGGCAATGCATATTTGATCACAATTCAGATTATTTATATTTTGACAGCATGAATCATTATTTTGTTTATTCACAAGTTCGATACCTTTCCTTTCTTTTCTGCCGCGTGCATACAAAATCAGTCAAAACTTCAAACAGAATGGAATCAATCATAACATAGAGCTGGCTTTTAAAATACTCACTGAGTACAAAGTCAAAACCAGGACTTGACAGGAAATCATGTTTTACCAACTTAAATTTTTTCTGTTGGGGGCTTTGGAGATTTGTTACAAGGAAGAAAGGATAAAAAAACCTATCAAAATGTATTTTTGGGAGACCAGGATACAAGTTCCAGGAATTAACTTTAAAAGTCAAAGCAATAATCCATCTATAATCATTTTACATTTTGTGCACTTGTAGAGTCTAGTCTCTGAAGATGAATCCTTTAAAAAAAAAGATAATTCAACCCATAGATTCTAAATTATCAACTTCAGGAATTCACAGTATAGTAGAAAGTATGCTTTAAGTGCACTTTATTTAGCTATGAAAAAATCTACCTCCATAAACTGCGCATTGACTTTGAAATCAGGAGGAGGCAGGTTCAGTTCTGCCGCTTTCTGTTTTCTCTCCTCGATGCCCTTGAATAAATGGTCCACGGCCCTGGGTATGATCCCTATCTGCTCTGGATCACAGGCCACATCCAGCCCAGTGCCCATACTGAAGGTTTTACCTGAGCCGGTCTGATGACGACAAAGAAAAGAAAATGTTTTTCTGGTTAATAGATGTTGTAGTTAACAAAGATACAGCAATACTTCAATATTCAAATGGCCTAGCAAGAACAGGGAATATAATCTACAATTATAGCTACCATTATATACAGTGCATGAGAAAAATAAAGTAATAGGAAATACAGAAATTATCTATTAATCTAATAAAACATCATAAACAGATGACAGAATATTGTATCCTCTCGTGTAAAAAACTTTCTATATTGCAGGCTATGATGAATGCTAGAAATTATGCCAAGTCTTGTTTAAGTCTAAGAGTAACTGCTTTTCAGTAAAAAATGCTAATATAACTGCTATGTCATATTTAAGCACTGTTATTTGGGTAACAGAATCAAGTTAAAGCATATATTACAGATAAACACTATTGAAATACCCATTAACACCTCTTATCTTAGGTGTCAAAAACCTGTACTTAAAAGTAATAACACTGACAGATCATGTTTTTTGCAAAGATGAACACGATAAGAACACGCCTACCTGAGTAAGGCAGGCAAACCACTCAGGAGAGATAGCACTGAAGAAAGCATGCACTGACACTATTCAGTGTGTCTGTGCAACAAAATATTGTAAGGCCGACTACCATATGGGTTGTTTTAATGTATTACCTGTCCATAGGCAAATATCGTAGCATTGTAACCTTCGAGGCATCTGGAAAAAAAGTAATTAAAGTTTAAAATTCTCTGATTTGCACTTTGTTTCTGAGGTAAATAAACAACATAAAGTCCAAACAGTGAAATTTATATAAAATTTTATATATATGATTTATCAGAGAAACAGACTTTATCATGATAAGTATCACCTTTTGATTTGTTTCCCTTGCTTTAAATAATAAATTACCATATATATTAAATCAATAAAAAAAAATCAGGTTATTGTTTATTTCTGATTTAAAAAATAACTATTGAAAAAATTACACATGGTGTGTGTGTGTGTGTGTGTGTGTGTGTGTGTGTGTGTGTGTGTGTGTGTGTGTGTGTGAGTGTGTGTGTGTGTGCACGTGTGAATGTACATATGTGTGTATCAAACCAAAACTGTCAAACATGTTTCTAATTTTTATCTACAAACAATGTGTCATTATATCAGCAACCCCTTGTATCAAAAGTCAAAAAATTATACAGCTATTATAACATTAATTCAACAAGTAGTCAGAGCTTTTATAGAGGAACAAAAAAAAAAGGAACAGATGCAATTAGGCCTTCACTGCCCGCCATTTTACACCATAGAGTCCAACCATATATCAGTTGACAAGCATATATGATTCCAACATAAAGTTCTTTAACCATAAGGTTAAACCACGTATAACAGGCCACAAGTCTGAGAACCACTGCAGCTTCACACAGCTACTTTCCTAGTTTTCACAACCGAAACACAAAACATCCCATTAACCTTATAAAAGGAAAGGCTAACAGTCCAGACTTTATTGATCCATCCCTTTATATCAGGCTGAATTTGACTTCAGGATGTATACAGCTACAAGAAGCTTACAGAGAAATCCAACCATGTTCAGGCGTAATCCTTTCAACAGAATCAGTTGATACCCAGTGCACGTGCAAGGGTATAAAATTGCACTGGTGTTCATGCCTGGGGCCTGTGCTTCATGACACAGGCAACTGCATTTTACAGCTTTTCAGGCAAATTTACATGACAAATAGTTATGCAATAAGTCGGAATGAAATTGGGAGAGAAATACCACATGAGGTCACCAATGTCCTGACTGGTCATTTATATAAAATGTCATGAACTGAGGAAATATTGCAGTCATTTGGTTCAGAAATTTAAATCTATTTGGTGTAGAAATTTATCTTTATTTTTGTCAGCATTTAGAGCAACAATTCAGAACAAACCTAGACTATGCAACAGAATATTGCCTTCCTCAACACTAAACAAAACCTTTTTAATATATATATTTTTAATTATTCCTACTTTGTTTGAAAAAGGTACCTTTATAAAAAGATTGCATACAATTTTAGTCGTCACCATTTCTTTGCTGAGTTTAACACATAAATGCATATATATGCATGATGTATATCACATTCAATTTTAAAGCACGCTTTCCAAAAAATGTGTTCAGAATATGGTAATTATTTTGAACGTCTTTTATCTCATGAAAGAAGATATAAATACATAGTGCTCCAGGCATTGGTATCTGAAAGCAGGTTAAATTATACAAAATTCAAGCTACTGTTACTGCACACACATACATATGTACCGGCTACAGTTTCATATGCAATGACACCCAACTGTTTAAATCAATATGTAGCCAGGAATTAATCTAGCATAAATTCTTCTTATTAAATCAGCATGGTTCACTTCCTCTGATGAAAAAATATGGGAGCTTGCAGGTTTCAAATTTGCTCAAACTACGTGCACCGCATGTGTTATATCTGGCACTCAAAAAGAAAGACATGGTTAAAGAATTTAAATTGCTTGAAATTTATATGGGAAATTGGTTACAAGTTTGATTTAATAGACACTACCTTTTACATTTATTTTGTTGAACAACTTGCATTTTCTGAAAAACACTTGTATACAAATTGTGGAAAGAATACCCTTAAATTTTACAATACATGTAGTCAGTATGATTGTCCTACTCCCATGCTTAACTTAGAGACATCAACTGCATCAGGCACACCCTCTCAATAAAAAAACTTATTCACATATATCATATATCAAATCCACATACACATGGCAAGAGTTCTTAGTCAAGGCTATGGAACTTAATATCACAAAAAGGCAACTGTTTTGGGGATTTAACTGTCTGGGTTTATCTTTTTAATTCTTTGGTATCGACTCGTAGTTTTATACAGAGCTAGAACGTTATGCATATTGTGATTCAGTAAAGGATTTCATCAGCTGTGTTGATCACTCAGTCACCATGATAATTTTTTCAATCAACAGCTAAAATCAGATTTTTTCTTTGTTTCTACATTTGTTATATATGTTCTGCAAACCAAAATTATTTAAATAAGGCACCCAGTAGACGGTTCAATAATTGGGTATAACAACCTGGGCCAATCAACACAGAATGCATTTCTCTCATGTATACAAAAGAGCCCAAGTTTGCTCAGCTCCTGAGGCACTGCCCACTCCAAGGACAGCTACTATATACACACTTGACCAATACAGGGGTACTTTGAGAGGGTCAGTTCAGATGCTTAAAGCAAGAGGTAGACATACATTTTTCGGAACTGTTGAAAGGTTTCCCATAAATACCCACTGAGGTATTGGAAGCCACTGGAACATACATGCCATCCTTCATAGTGAAACATTTGCTGAAATGCAAGGGATTTATTTTCTACTCTAATGAAAGCAGGAGTCAGAGATGCACAAGTGTTCTTGGGTGAAACCTTCTGGATTGCTCTTGGTTCATGGTAATTTCTGCCAAAATTCGTTTGTACTAAAAAAATAATTCTCAAAGGGACCAGTTGGAGAAGCAGAAGGGGAAGAAGCTGGAGGTGAAAAGTATAAAATGGGATCATTTGAGAAAACCTACCCTTCAATGAGAGGTCTGGCACATGTGTCATATACTTGATCCTGTGTGGAGTCTCTGTCGAATACATAGTCATAGGTGAATGGCTTGTCCTTGCCCAGTGTCACCTGTGGTTCTCCAGGTGTCACAGATGTGCACACCTGACACATGTCTATCTTCTCGCGAGCCAACTGAGGACGGATTCTGGAAATAAATAGGCACTTCAAAGTCAATGAAAGTTGAAACATACCTTGGCAAGCTCTGATACTGTTGTTAGTTAATTCTACAAATGTCTTCCACTTAAAAAAAAAAGAAAAAAAAAAAACTACCAAAGTGGTGTCTCTTCATGATATATTGCGTACTTTTGCAAAATATATGATTTATATTCAAATGCAAGTAAGTAAAACATTTCTCATAACTGAAAACAGATATTAAACATTTATTTTGAAGCTCACATACTAATACACTTGACCTCAAAGCTGGGGATATTTTCATCTCTGCATATCAACACACCCTCTGATATTGTACTACCCATGTTGTTATATTTCATAAATAAACGGTCATTAAGCTACTATAACTGAAATGTTCAGTATTTCATATGTTAAAAGAATTGCTGCCATTTTGAAAGTGTTGGTTCTATAAATAAGTAGGAAAAAGTAACTACATACTCATGAGTCTCCTGTATAAATATGCTACTACAACTAGGACAATTACAAGGGAGGGCATCTTCATGGCGTTTTCTGGTTTCAAATGATCAATTAATGACTGTTTGTCTTGACAGCAACATATTTTACACAAGACTTACTTCATTAAAAATAGATACAGACTTGTCATCTGAATGGTTTAAATTCTACATGTGTGTATGACTAAGTATCTAAAAGTGTGTGTGTGTGTGTGTGTGTGTGTGTGTGTGTGTGTGTGTGTGTGTGTGTGTGTGTGAAAGGGAAAAAGAGAGAGAGAAAGAGAGGCATGTAGGAGGAAGAACTTATTTCAGTTTATTCATTTATCATCACCCCCCCCCCTTCCCCCCCTCCTTATTCAATGCACACAAACTAAGTCGGTATAATCAATCTTACTCCAAATCCCATAATCTTCTGGTTTAAACTATCTGACCATTCCCCTGATTTATCATCATCACAACCCTCTATCCCTACAGTGCAAAACACCTCTAATACGCATGCCCTTATCACACAAACACGGCTTGTCTACATGCTTGTACAAGGTTCCTAAACAAACGCATATCTCCACAGGTGCCCAGTACAACATAGAAGAGTTGAAGATTTCTTTCACGTAACTTCTAATTTTACCATGCTTTACCTGAGAATAAAAACACAACTTAAGGGCACTCAGGAGGAATCCTGTTAATTAATACACATCCTACTGATAATACACTCCAGAATAAAAACCATTTTAATCCTGTTGTCATATTATATAAATTCATTAAAGGTTATCTAAACATCAACATTTAGGAAAACAGGTAAGGTGTCTGTGATTAGGAGAAGGTAAATGTTCTCAAAGGGATCAAATTTCTGAGAGACAGCAGGTATGAAGTGGAACCCCTGACCAAACCCTTAACTTTGAATCCTAGGAATGTGAAGATTCCTCAGAATTTTCAGGCTCAGAGAAACACAGGTCCCCAATACAGGTAACCACTTAGTAATGAGAGTCAAATTTCATAAGGCACTATGATCATAAGGTCAAGATGGTTGATGTTTCCAAAAGGTCAGGTAATTGATTAAAAAATTCATCTTCATTTTTCAAAAAAAAAATCACTTTATTCAATTTATTATCTTATCAAAAATCTAAAGTAAAGGGAGTAAGTAATCACTTCTTACTGAGAAGTGTCAAATCATTTTTGTAACTAGGACATTAAAAACATTTTAAATTTACATCAGTATGCCAAGGAGCAAGTGATTGTTGAGGAAATATTTCTGCCGATTAATTTTAGGGTCATAATTATATGACTAGATCCATCCATTAAAATAAAAAGAAGTTCTGCAGACTATAATCTAAAAAATTCTGAACAACGAACTTGTTGCTTCACTTCACCACATCATTAAATAACAATCTCGGCACGTTGAGATAATAACTTCTGACTGCCAAGTGTGAAAACAAAATGTCATTACAGTAATATAATCATAGTATATATATTCTACAGGTAAATTGGAGCCTGCCTGTTCTCAGTAGGAAGAAGCACACTGATTAGCAGAGGAATTAACGCTAGTTACAACTGACAACTTGGTTACACAGAGTCAGTTAATCCATTCTGGTGGAAAGAGATAACTTTAACTATTAAAAAGTTTGCATATGATGGTGGTGGGTAGATGGTGGATGAGAAAGGGGGCGAGAGGCAAACAAAGGCACTGGACTTTATTCAGTAAAAGCGCGGGTGGGGGTACAAAAAGGTAGTGCATCAAGTATTAAATTCTGTTTTGGTTCTTAATACCTTCATTGTGTTGAATTTGGGCCAAAAAAAAGTGAAATTTCTATATGAATATATAATCATTCCAAGTTATTTACCTTTTTCTAACAGCAAATTGGGGGTGGGGTGGGGGTGGGGGGGGGGTAAGACAGCACACAGTACCACTCAGCCATTCCAATCATTTAAAATCTGGCTTGAGAGGAACAAATGTGGTAAGCATGGTAAATCTTTTCTGAAGTGTTTTTATTGGGTAATATAACACAATGCATACAAAACATTATATGGCAACACACATTTCTCCACACTCTTACACATCGAAGAAATCATAAATATGCACTCACAACTAAAAAAAAATTGATGACTATGTGGGTACAGTGACACATCAACATTTCAAGATATTAAAATGCTACAGATACTTTAATGTCAATAAATTGCCAAGACATTCCTTCAATGTTATCTTGATATTCTTGAATCTAATTGAAAAATGGAATCTTCTCTTGACTTCAGGAATAACTAGAGGATCAGAGAGGCGATACCGCCTCCGAATATTGTACCACCAGCTGGAGCAAGCGCATTCGTATAGACCCCCACATACACAAAATAAGGGACACAGCCACCAGTCTTGTGCTTGACAAGCTGTAAACATGCAATCAACAAGAATTTTCAATATATGCAAAAAATATATGAAACTAAAAAGTTCATCGTAAGGTAGGTGAAAGGTCATTTTCAAGGTCACAGTAANTCACTTAAAAAAAAAAAAAAACTACCAAAGTGGTGTCTCTTCATGATATATTGTGTACTTTTGCAAAATATATGATATTCAAATGCAAGTAAGTAAAACATTTCTCATAACTGAAAACAGATATTAAACATTTATTTTGAAGCTCACATACTAATACACTTGACTTCAAAGCTGGGGATATTTTCATCTCTGCATATTATCATTAACACACCCTCTGATATTGTACTGATAATTACCCATGTTGTTATATTTCATAAATAAACTGTCATTAAGCTACTATAACTGAAATGTTCAGTATTTCATCTGTTAAGAATTGCTGCCATTTTGAAAGTGTTGGTTCTATAAATAAGTAGGAAACAGTAACTACATTCTCATGAGTCTCCTGTATCTTTATATGCTACTACAACTAGGACAATTACAAGGGAGGGCATCTTCATGGCGTTTTCTGGTTTCAAATGATCAATTAATGACTGTTTGTCTTGACAGCAACATATTTTACACAAGACTTACTTCATTAAAAATAGATACAGACTTGTCATCTGAATGGTTTAAATTCTACATGTGTGTATGACTAAGTATCTAAAAGTGTGTGTGTGTGTGTGTGTGTGAAAGGGAAAAAAAGAGAGAGAAAGAGAGGCATGTAGGAGGAAGAACTTATTTCAGTTTATTCATTTATCATCACTCCCCCCTTCCCCCCCTCCTTATTCAATGCACACAAACTAAGTCGGTATAATCAATCTTACTCCAAATCCCATTATCTTCCGGTTTAAACTATCTGACCATTCTCCTGATTTATCATCATCACAACCCTCTATCCCTACAGTGCAAAACACCTCTAACATGCATGTCCTTATCACACAAACACGGCTTGTCTACATGCTTATACAAGGTTCCTAAACAAACGCATATCTCCACAGGTGCCCAGTACAACATAGAAGAGTTGAAGATTTCTTTCACGTAACTTCTAATTTTACCATGCTTTACCTGAGAATAAAAACACAACTTAAGGGCACTCAGGAGGAATCCTGTTAATTAATACTCATCCTACTGATAATACACTCCAGAATAAAAACCATTTTAATCCTGTTGTCATATTATATAAATTCATTAAAGGTTATCTTAACATCAACATTTAGGAAAACAGGTAAGGTGTCTGTGATTAGGAGAAGGTAAATGTTCTCAAAGGGATCAAATTTCTGAGAGACAGTAGGTATGAAGTGGAACCCCTGACCAAACCCTTAACTTTGAATCCTAGGAATGTGAAGATTCCTCAGAATTTTCAGGCTCAGAGAAACACAGGTCTCCAATACAGGTAACCACTTAGTAATGAGAGTCAAATTTCATAAGGCACTATGATCATAAGGTCAAGATGGTTGATGTTTCCAAAAGGTCAGGTAATTGATTAAAAAATTCATCTTCATTTTTCAAAAAAAAAATATATATATCACTTTATTCAATTTATTATGTTATCAAAAATCTAAAGTAAAGGGAGTAAGTAATCACTTCTTACTGAGAAGTGTCAAATCATTTCTGTAACTAGGACATTAAAAAAAATTTAAATTTACGTCAGTATGCCAAGGAGCAAGTGATTGTTGAGGCAATATTTCTGCCGATTAATTTTAGGGTCATAATTATATGACTAGATCCATCCATTAAAATAAAAAGAAGTTCTGCAGACTATAATCTAAAAAATTCTGAACAACGAACTTGTTGCTTCACTTCACCACATCATTAAATAACAATCTCGGCATGTTGAGATAATAACTTCTGACTGCCAAGTGTGAAAACAAAATGTCAGTACAGTAATATAATCATAGTATATATATTCTACAGGTAAATTGGAGCCTGTCTGTTCTCAGTAGGAAGAAGCACACTGATTAGCAGAGGAATTAACGCTAGTTACAACTGACAACTTAGTAACACAGAGTCAGTTAATCCATTCTGATGGAAAGAGAGAACTTTTAACTATTTAAAAGTTTGCATATGATGGTGGGTGTGTAGATGGCGGATGAGAAAGGGGGCGAAAGGCAAACTTATATA